AACACAATGGCTCTCGACCTTGACTGCACAGTAGAATCACCTAGGTGATGGGCGTAGAGTCCAGGCAATAGCAAATTATTAAACTTTCCAGATGTCTCCAGTGTGCATGCAAGATTGAGGACCACTGAACTAGAAGTTCAGTTGCTCTTGACTAGTCCATTTCCTGTACAGGGAGGAGTCACATTCTGACTTCACACATTTAAGCCATGGCACAGGCAGTGACCAATCAGAGTGGACACCAGTGAAAAAGAGTCCTGGAAGCCTCCTCATTTCCAGGAGTTAGATTTTTAGTTGCTGGATTGTGAGGATATGTGGGGATCTCAGAGAAGGGGCACATTTTGGGGGCTCAAAGAAATGGCTATTTACCAAGTATTACTCAAAGAATACATAACAAATAAAGAAGAGTCCTTATAACGCCAAGTAGTAAATATAGAAGGAATGTGAAGTTTGAAAATCACCATTTGACATATTCATAGTGATAATTGATTCAGGCAAGAATCATCAATGGTTGACAAAGCAAATAGAAAAGGAATCAAATAGCTCATACCCTCAAAGCGTCTCCTCACAATTTACCTATTAATTACTCTGAGAAAAAATAGTAACTTTACTGTGGAGAAACCTGGCAGACACCACCTCAAACAAAGTTAACATCACTAATAATGGAAAAATAGACATCATGTGGCTCCTGATATAGTGTACCAAGAAAGACACGGCATCAGTTCTGTGTTATTTCAGCCAAAAGTTTATAGCCTCAATGAAATATTAGAGGAAATATTACAGAAATCCAAAATTAGGGATATTCTACAAATAGCTGGCTTGTAATCTTAAAAATGTCACAATCATGAAAGAAAAGGAGGGACTGAGGTATAGTTCCAGAGCAGAGGAGACTAAAAAACAAACAAAAATACAAGTAAACAATTAAATGCAGCATGCAATGTGTGTTCCTGGGCCAAATTCTTTTTTGTTGCTATTGTTATTGTTTTTGTTTTGTGTTTTCTATAACGAACATTATCGGGATGATTGGTGAAATTTGACTTGTGTCTGTGCATTAGATATTAGATATTAGGTATTGCATAAACATTAATTTCCTGATTTGGCTGGTTATATTGTGGTTATACAGGAAATGTTCTTGTGTTTTAGGAAATACACACCAGAGCATACTGTGACATTGAGACATCTTGTTTACAAACTCTCAAATTATACGCGTGTGTGCGTGAGAGAGAGAGAGAGGGAAAAGGAAAAAGAGAGAGAAGGTGAATAATTTATAATTTAGGGATAATATTTTGGAAATTTGGGTGAAAAGTATGCTGGAGTTCTTTATACTATTCCTGCAACTTTTCTCCAAGCTTATTTCAAAATAAAAATGTTAATTTTAAAAAAGAAACCAGCACAAGATCCACACAAAGTCAGTATGAAAAATGAAGGAAATATATTTTTTTAAAAGGTACACATAGAGTAAGCTGGACAAAAAATTTTAGAAAAATGTTAGTTTTTTCAAGCAAGAGTTTTTGACAATTCTGAGCAGAAAACTTTCAGTCTGCAAGCTACAGTATACCCTTGGCTTAATTTCAGCTATCAGGCATAACAAGTGAGTAATAACATGTATTTCTTAGAGCTGCAAATCACTAGAATTTTATAGATAATTATTTAAATAGCTACAAGAGAGCAACATTTAAATAAAAGTAAATAGGCATTTTTTAAAACTATATGTCATGAGAGGGATGTTTGAGAAAGAGAGAGATTTAATTTCAATGATTACTAGGAAAATAGCAGCCACCATCAAAAAGCTGAAAGGCATCAGAGAGATTTAAGATATAAAATTAAAGCTCATGAGTAGACCCCTGAGGAACCAAAATTGATCTCTGTACCAGGAAAAGTATTTTAAAAATTGGATACTGCCCAACAATTCAATGGGCAACCTTTTGAGGAAGTATTTAATCAGACGCTGATGAGGATTGGAAAGAGTTTAGAGGAAACTGCTTTATGAGGTGCAAATTTTAAACTACATAGTCCTCAAAGTCTGTTCCAACTTGGGTGTGTTTTTATCCAGGCATATATTGGGAAATAAAATTGTGTTGCATCCATCACACAGTCTGCCATCTATTTAAATAATTCAATAAAAGACTAAATTTTTCTCAAGCTGGAATTAGAAATATATATCTTCATAGAGGTCATGAGAATTGTTATAATCAAAGCATAAATTAAAACTTGCCAGGAAGAAAAATATAATCTCCAGGCTAATTTGAAAGTGGAATACTTTGTATTACTCTTGTAATTATCATATGATAATACTATAGCCTTGGGCGAAAGCAGTTTCCTAAAGATCTTTGAGCATCTTGTGCCCTGAGTCAGCCCCTGCCTAGGTTGAGACCAACTTTTCAGAGATTTTCCATCACCCTGTGCCATCAAAACACCTCCAGCCGTGGGACATTGCTGCTTGCTCCTCCCAGTCGAGTACCAACCCCATCTCACCTCACACGCCATTCACTATGGTGTGATTGTAAAATATGTATGGTTTATTTCAATAAATACTTCAACATGTATATATTATTTAGACAAAACCTAAGTGAATAGAAGTATAATCTTGTGCAGGTAAGTTGAAGAACAACCATCATCCTGTCCACACCTTATTGCAGAGGGTGGACAAAAGTCACCTTTGGGAGAATGTCGCAAAACTCAACATCTCACTGTTAGAGCAGGAGGTAAGCCAAAGCCTCTCCAAGCTGTAGTACGCGCTTTTATTCAGTGAGTCACCATCAAATAACAGTGCTCTCTGCAGAACATGACAAAACACTGATATGTTTAATTTCAACATACAAATCAGAGAAAATTTTACTGGCAGAAAACATGGTGTTTACCATATAAAATAACATGCATGAACACACACCCACACATACACACACTGTCCATATGAACTCTATTGGCTATTGCAAAATTTTTCTTGTCTGTTATTGGTTCATACATTTTGTTCTCAGCTAGAGCTCTCTGGAAGGCAACATATGAATAGCGGCGATTATAAAAGCTTAAGAAACATTATAGAAAGGTAACATAAAATTGAGATAATTATATCCATTAACTTTTTTGTAAAGTGAGGAAAGATGGGCATTATTTAATTTAGCAATGAAACATTTTGTTCTCAGTCAAAAAAATAAAATAAACCTTCTCCCTTAGAAGCACAGTTTGAGATACTAGACACGCTGGAGACCTCTGGAGAAAGTTTTCTTTCAAACTTCAGTTTGAAAAAGAGACTCAGCGTAGCCCTTTTATAAAGCACCAGCACTAAGGAGAAACTGCTTTACTATCAGGAAGCCCAAGGAGCAGCAGAAAGAAAAAGTTTAAACAGATATAAGAACTCTCAGGGAATCATGTAATAATAATAATAATAAACCTTTTTATAACATTTAGCAGATTGAAAACGCACTTCGATGTACAATTGCAGTTCTGATGGTTACTACCCCTTATAGATGAGGAAACTGAGACAAGAAAAGGAAAGGAATGTCCACCGGAAGCAGTCGTTCCTGCACCATCTGGTAGCAAGTTGTGCTCTTAGACCTGGTCCCACGGAGTTCCCTGGACGCATTAGGGTCTGATGTAAGCACAGGACCCTGCTAAGCTCAAGACTCAGATGGAGCAAGCTGATATTTGCTTTGACCTCTTCCCTCTCCAGGTTTTCTGAACCTGGTTCCAGGAACACATCTTGTGCATAGACTCTTGAGTTTAAATTCTCAAGTTTCTTCAAATGTCTCTAGTTAAGTTTTGCAGTTGTTGTTCTTTTTTTCAAGAGTGCTTACCTTTTCAAAGTTCTGTACTTTCAATTATGGTTGGTTTATATATACAAAGGGATTGAATTTCAGTTACTGCAGAACTATGACCCTTTCAACAAATTCATCCTCAGTTTTCCAAATCCTAAGTGCTTTAAGCAAAGCCTTTGGCCAACTAATATGCCCTGGTGTGGTGGGCTGGCAGCAGGATCCCATGTGCCTTGGGAGACAGGGCACTTAGTCCCATATCAGGATTAGTGATGCCAACAAAACAGGTGCACTGGGGCTCCCCCAGTAAAGCTACAAGTGAAGCAATCTATGACCAAGTCCACTGACACAGTTTACAATTAAGAGTTTTGTTTTATTTTGAGTTGGAAGATCAAGTTAAGAGACTTATATACTCTGATATAAGGTCTATCAACTTTGTTCAGAGGACTGTAGCTTGTGGGCAGATTCCAAAAGGCAAGTGCAACTAACTGATGAATCTGTACCCCTCATGTGGAACACCATCAAGGCATCCAGACATAGTGTAGCTGCGGTAGTAGGTCAGAAGGCTGTGCAAATGTGTTCATAGTAGCTGGTAGACATTCATGTGGCGTTAAGAACATTAAGCCACAGATACTGGAGTCCCTACGTGCTGGGAAGTTCACAGTATAGTTGTCCCTTGGTATCCACAGAGGGGCTGGTTCCATGCCCCTGCATGGATACCAAAATCCACCAATGCTCAAGTCCCTTCTGTGAAATGGCATAGTATTTGCATATAACTTATGCATATCCTCCCATATTCTTTAAATCATCTCTAGATTACTTATAATGCCTAATACAATGTAAATGCTGTGTAAATAATTGCTATAATGTATTGTTTAGGGAATAATGACAAGAAAAAATCTATACATGTTCAGTACAGATGCAACCATCATAGTCCTTTCAGTCCACGGTTGGTAATAGATTCTGAAAGCTGACTGTATAGTATTTGACCAGGACCTGAGTGTGGAACTAGGATGTTGTTACCCTAGGAAAATGACCCTCAAACTCTTTGGCCTCAGGACCCCTTTACATTCAAATTTATTGAAGACCTTATGCTTTGTTTAGGTGGGTTATATCTATTAACAATTACTTCATTAAAAATTAAAATTGCATCATTGGTAAAATATTTTGTAAAATATTTATTTTTTCATTCATGAAAATTTACAACATATCAACTAAATGTTAACATAAATAATACACTTTTATGAAAAACAATTCTATTTTCCAAAGCAAAAAATAATAGTGAAAAGAATGACATTATTTTATCTTTTGTAAATCTGTTTAATGTCTGGCTTATTAGAAGACAGCTAGACTGTTGTATTTGTCTCTATATTCATCTATTGTGACATCACACAGAACAGAGTCTCTGGAAAATGCCACTGTAAACTAATGAGAGTGAAAAGGGCAAATAACAACATAATAGCATTGTGAAAATAGATTTGACCTTGTGGACCCCAGAAAGAGTTTTGGGGCCTCCCATGTGTCCCCAGACTGCATTTTGAGAATACTGTCCTAGGGCTAAGCCTTCAATAGCACCCAACTGGCTATATTTGGTTATGACCACGAGTCTATTCATGGGGGTCTGGGTGATCTAAGACAGTAATAGATCAAGGATAAATGGTGACTTTGGATATGAAAGACCAAGAACAAGCTGAAAGTCCCAACACGCTAAAGGAGGGTGTGCACAGTAAGATAACAAGGGAAAAGTGAAGAGATAAAAGAAAAAGCAAATAAGATTAAGAACTCTGATCCCAGAGCAGAGATGTCTCCCCTACGCCATATCTTTACACACTCATCTCCATCTGAGTGATTTCTGGTCTATAGAAGAGTAGAGCAACATAAATGAATCCATTCATTAGTAGTAACATCAAGAGCCTAAGAGTATTTCATAAGTAAGATTAATTATAACTTCCTGGAGGTACTTTTAATGTCTATAAACATAAGTACTTATCAAATCTGTAGTCAGAGTATCAGTACCTATGGAAGTAATGGTTGCAAAGCTTGGGAAGTTATATTTTTAGCATCTATAATCATATTTTTATTTTCTATGATAGTAAAAGTAACATATAATATTCCTAATTGAATTGTTTCAGTTCCTGGAGTCAAAATTTATACAAGATACACAATGGGAGCATTTTCTATATCTTTAGCTACAGTAAGGATCTCTTTAGAAGCGATAATACTTTCAGTACATGTACTGGCAAATTACTGTATTGGTAGCCATGGTACTTGGAAAAGTCTACAGGAAAATAAAGTGCTATTTTTATTATTACTAGTTAAATAGTCTACTATATATTAATAACTTGTTATAGTGGTTATTTGAGTGCCAGTTATCACCAGTGCTCTCAGTTATAGTACTATGTTCTAAAACCCAAGAACAAGTCAGGTTAACTTAATAACTACATCTAAAGCAATAGTATTTACAGAGCCTAATGTGGTATTATTTGAGAAGCCAAAATTATCTGTGAAGTCTGTAGCAAGGATATATAAAATATCTGTAGTTCAATTTATGGAGCATCAGGATTTATAATTATAATTTAAAAAATAGTAGTATATATTCCACAGGTTCTTTAATCACACTTATAAAGTTAGTAATGGATGCATCTTTAGACATATCTGTAATGTTTACAGTGCTTGGAGTAGCCATTTCTATAAAAGCTAGTGCTGATATTTGTGAAAACTTATGTAGTGTAAGATCATTATCTGTTCATTGATTTTTCTATATCTGTAATAACTGTTTTAAAGAGATATCTGTAGTAGTTATCCTGCCTTGAGTAATAATCATGGAACTATAGTAGCATTTACAACATTTGCAATATAAGTAGATGCAGTAGCAGAGGCATCCATTGTTTTCCTATCAGGAGTGGTAGTATTTAAAGCATGTATGGTAATATTTGTAACATCTGTGGTGGCATTAGTTGCAATAATAGATAAATTACTAGCTGTAGAATTTGTTATTACCAGATGGTGGATTGCTGTATCTAAAACAGCAGTCATCAACCCGTCAGAGGCTGTTGTGATATTTGGAATAGAAATGTGTGTAGTGTTACCTGAAACACTGCTGACATTATCTGCATCAGTAATATTTACTTCATGCCCTGTACTGTTTATAGTGTTGGTGGAGGAAACGGCAGTGGTACTTGGAATGGAAGTGTTTGTAAGGACTGTGTCAGAAGTATTCATTGAATTTGTAGTTTTTGTGCTGGAAATATGTGTAGTGATGGTGGTGGTGTATGCTATAATGGCATTTCCTGTAGCTTTAGTAGTAGATTCAATATCTGTAGTGTTGGTACGTGGGGAAGTGGCAAAGTCTTGAGTAATAGCAATTTTGGGGTCTGTAGTAGTAGAAAAATTACTCACAATAGGAATAGTTGTCATGCTGCCATCAACAGTAGTTGGGCTATCTCTAGTGGGAGTGCTTATAATATTGGTAACACCAGTTATTTTATTGGTAGTATTTACATTGGTGGTGCTTGGTATAGTGCTATTTCCAGTGCCAATGGATGTGGTATTTAAAGCATTAGTAGGGATATGTGGAGGATTAGTCGTGGTAATGATTCTGGTAAGTCCCATTAATGATTCATTTTCTGTGGTGGTGGCACCATGGGTGCCTGTAGGAGGAAGAGCTGAAGTGACCTGAGTGGTAGTTTCTACAGGAGTAGCATTTGTAATCATAGTAACTGTGGTGAAGCCTGTATTTGTGTTTGTGTTTCTTGAAATGGTACTATCTAAAATATTTCTAGTAACTGAATCCATAGTTATGGATGTAGTACTTGTGTTAGTAGAATTGACAGAAGCTGGATTAGAAAAATTTGTGGAAATTAACGTTGTGTGGCTCAAAGTTTGTGTTGTAGTAGGAGAAGAATGGGGAGTAGTGAGCTGTGTGATGTCTGTGGTGGCAGTTTTAACATCTTCAGTGGAAGGGGGAAAGTGAATAAGGTCCTGGGTAGCAGAGACTAATGTGTCTGTAACAGTTGCTATAGCAATGGTAGTATCTGCAGATTTAAGTGTACTTACTGTTGTACTGTCTGTAGTGAGGCTATTTATTGAACTTGTTACGACGGGAGAGGTTCCACTGCCCAGATTTGTAGAAGTTAGCATTGCAGTATTAATAGTGCTAAGGGAGGCAGCAGTTATTTCTTCTGGGGGGAAAATGCTTATAAAATCAGTTGTAGCAGGTTGGGTATGTGCAGTGAATTTATCTTTGGAGGTATCTGGACTCCTGGTATTATTTGTGGTGCTGGTAGTAGCAACTATAGCATCCATCATCATGGTACCTTGTGTATCCATGGTGTTGAGATGAGTGGTGTCTGCGTTAGTAGGTGTTGTAAAATCAGTGATTAAATCAGTAGTAAATGTCTTACTGGTTGGAAATGTGCTCAAGCTAGGAGGAGTAGAGTTAGGAGTAGAAATAAGAGTATGAATTAGAGTGGTGGGAGGAGTCTGGAAAGAAGTAGTTGTGACAGAAATAGTATTACTAGTACCACTAACAGTAGGAGTATTTGTTGGGGAAGGCATAGTAGTAATAGGAACAGTGGTACCAGTTGTAACTTCAATGGCACTTGTTGGGAAAGGAGTGGCTGTGATAGGAAGAGGAGTAGTAGTCCTAGCAGTAGGAATATTTGTTGATGAAGGCATAGTGGTAATAGGAACAGTAGTACTAGTTGTAACTTCCATAGTTCTTGTTGGGAAAGGAGGGGTTGTGATAGGAAGAGTAGCAGTAGTCCTAGTAGTAGGAGTATTTGTTGGGGAAGGCACAGTGGTAATAGGAACAGTGGTACCAGTTGTCACTTCAATAGCACTTGTTGGGAAAGGAGGGGTTGTGATAGGAAGAGTAGCAGTAGTCCTAGTAGTAGGAGTATTTGTTGGGGAAGGGATAGTGGTAATAGGAACAGTAGCACTAGTTGTAACTTCAATGGCACTTGTTGGGAAAGGAGGGGTTGTGATAGGAAGAGTAGCAGTAGTCCTAGTAGTAGGAGTATTTGTTGAGGAAGGCATAGTGGTAATAGGAACAGTAGCACTAGTTGTAACTTCAATGGCACTTGTTGGGAAAGGAGGGGTTGTGATAGGAAGAGTAGCAGTAGGAGTATTTGTTGAGGAAGGCATAGTGGTAATAGGAACAGTGGTACCAGTTGTAACTTCCATAGTACTTGTTGGGAAAGGAGTGGTTGTGATAGGAAGAGTAGCAGTAGTCCTAGCAGTAGGAGAATTTGTTGAGGAAGGCACAGTGGTAATAGGAACAGTAGCACTAGTTGTAACTTCCATAGTACTTGTTGGGAAAGGAGTGGTTGTGATAGGAAGAGTAGCAGTAGTCCTAGCAGTAGGAGTATTTGTTGGGGAAGGCATAGTGGTAATAGGAACAGTAGCACTAGTTGTAACTTCAATAGCACTTGTTGGGAAAGGAGGGGTTGTGATAGGAAGAGTAGCAGTAGGAGTATTTGTTGAGGAAGGCATAGTGGTAATAGGAACAGTGGTACCAGTTGTAACTTCCATAGTACTTGTTGGGAAAGGAGTGGTTGTGATAGGAAGAGTAGCAGTAGTCCTAGCAGTAGGAGAATTTGTTGAGGAAGGCACAGTGGTAATAGGAACAGTAGCACTAGTTGTAACTTCCATAGTACTTGTTGGGAAAGGAGGGGTTGTGATAGGAAGAGTAGTAGTAGTCCTAGCAGCAGGAGTACTTGTACTAGCAGAACTAGTGATAATAGTCTCAGAAGTGGTAGCCTTAGTACTAGATGTAGAAGGATGTAGAGAACTCATTGGGAAGGTACTTGTCACGGGTGTAGTAAAAACTATAGGATCACCATACATCCAAGTAATTTCAGTTAACTTTTCCAGGCTGATATCCTTGTCAGTCAATTGAATAGTTAGTGTCTGCCAGAAAAGAAGAGAGAAAATTGGTATTTTAGAACTTCTTAAACTTTACATTTATGTCATACCTCAAATTATAATTTAACAAAAAATGCTGGATTCATTCTTTTCCAAGAGAGTAAGAGAAACATATGAAGATTCCTTTTCAGGTCATGCTGATTCCAGACAGATAAATATGGAGAGATGTTCTGTGCATAATCCCTGTGCTGGAAATCTCTTTCTGTCCACTTCATTTAGTCAGAACCACATTGCTCACAAGTATTTGCAGCTTTGATTAAAACCAATGTTTATAAAAATCTTTTGGCTTTGTCAGTAGATTTTAACCTTGCTGAGAACAGGCTGGTTTCATGTTTTCACCATCCCCACACCTAATCCAGTGCCTGTCACATAATAGGCATCTGATATACTACAAAGTTTCCCAAAAAGAAGGTGTTCAAACGTTCAACAGTAATTACTTGCAAAGGGTGGTTTGGAACTCAATAGTCCAGGGAAACTGCTTTGAAGTACAGAACTAGAAGAAATTATAGAGAATCTATTTGAGTGTTTAGAGGGTCATTTTCCAAAATCCAAATACCAGCAAGGCACTCTTTTTACCTTTTAGAAAACAGGAACTATACTTACTCAATTTTACTTTTCTCAGCCACACCCTATGGTTTACAGGATCCTTATATGTGATAGATCCAGTGTTCTAAAGTGGGATACTTTTCCCTTGTGGTTACTCTTGATAACTCTACTGGTATTTTGTCTTCCAATTAGTTGGATGTGTTAACTAAAGCAGACCCTACTAGAGGGTGTACTAGGGTCTGTTATTTACATCACTCTGTTTTGTTAACCAAATCATTTTATCTCACACCACAGGTGGGACATATTCATTTTAATGATTGCCACAGTTTACTGCCAATTTTCACCCACCTACAAGATCTATCGATTTGGCCAAGGATTTGAGTAATTTCATGAAGGAGCAGGAAAATCTCCAACAATTTTAGGGAATCACTCTTTCCCTGTTTTAGCCTCTGCCACGGAAGTAAGTTTTGTTACACTAGCCTGGAAGACCAACCTTAACATATAGTACAATTTCTTTGAGAAATACATAGAAAGGACTTCATCAGATTATTGATCATTGATCCCTGGACTACACTGGGAGAACTGGTAATGTGTATTTTACAATACAATTCAACAGCTTTTCAGGAACATACCTATTGCACATATCTACAAACTTTTTAATATAAGTAAATATAACAATGACAATAATAGCGACTATAATTTTGCAGAATAGTAAAATTAACTTATGATATGATAACATTAATTTGAGACATACCTGAGTGTAAGGGTCACTCTTGAAATTTGTCTCCATGAATTGCTGGTTGTCATAGGTGAAGGTCACTTGTGTCACAAACATAGAGTTTATCCCCCAGATTCGAATATATCCAACTTTCAGTGGATTCAAGTCACTCAAATACTTATTGTGTATGGTCTGAATTTCCAATATGTTCTATAAAGAATGTGTAAAGAGAAAAAATACGTAACACATCTGTTGATAGACTATATTCCATATTGCAATGTTAAGAAACCTCAAATTACTATGGTACTGCTTTGATGTTTTTATTCTTAATTAAACACTTCATGAAGACATAGTTGCTAGGTACCTGCTACAATAAATTTGATGATGCCAAAAATAGGTTTATGTATCAGCACTATGAAAGTTATTTTACGTGTATTATTAGTAATTCTTACAATGATTTGCAAAGAAAGCATCATTATCACCATTTTACAGATGAGGAAACTTGGGCTCTGGGAAATGAAGGGAGCAGCTCAAGGCCACACAGCTAAATGACATAGATTTGTTGGAATCATTACGGGCCTATATGCATAGTACTGCATGAGTTAACACAATGTGAAGAAAGAATTATGGCAAATAGTCTTTAGAGTAGGGACAGTTTGCAACACATACAGGAACTTACCTAAATCATGAACTGTTTAAGCATCAATAGAAGGGTTAAAATAATGTGAGATAACTCATGAGGTGGTGCATGATTAAGGCCCAAATGAAAATCATAGTGAATATTTGTTATAGTTATTCATAGAAAGGAAAAATCACTATGGGAATAAGGTAGTCAAGAAAGGACTTAAGAAGGACATGGAACTTCAGAAGTCCTAAAAGGATAGATAGGATTTATAAAATTGAATGGGAGAGGGAATAGGAGGCAGGGGTACATTGAACAAAGGCACAGTCAGTGAGTGCAAGGGCTATGGTAGCTGGTGCTGAGCAAACAGAAGACTGGTTAAGCATATAAGGTAAGATGATGAAGATTTTATACAATAAATCAAGGAGATAGTTGCAGTAGAATGAAGCTAAAAGCTCCTCAACTCCAATGGCAAAAGTAGAAACAAAAAAATATGTTCAACTGACATTATGGAGAATGACCAAGACTTTTGTGACTAATTGGTCAAGCAGAATCAAGAGAAAATGAAGAGAAAGAAATATAACTTGAAGCAAATGGGTGTGCTAGAGCTAGCTCTTATTGATTTGGGAGAGCCTACTGTTAAACTGCTGGAATTTTACAAGCCAGTTGATAGCTTGAAATTGGCTAAAATGATAGGAGTACTTACACCACAGAAATTAGCATGTGCTACAAATCAGCCCCCATACTTCCATAACCCCATACCAGCCAGCACACCATTGATAATAATTACCCCAAGAAAAGTTGAAAACTTTCTTTCATTTAAAGCCACCGATATTTAGGAAAAATTCCATCAAATATCATATAGAAATAAGAAACCATTTATCACTAGTTTGGAATAACAAAAGAATGTAATTTTAGAGTTAGGAGCTATTTAAGGGAAATCTAACATTTTATAATTAAAAAATAGATTAAACAATGGAAGTGTCTTCCTTAGGTGGAATAACTAGTCAGCAGTAGGAATAGAACTAAAATCCAGGACTTCTAGATCAACAGTTTTATTAAAAAACAAAATTCTGAGTGACATCAGCGTCATGGCAGAGTGAGTTGTTCCCTCAGTCTCTTCTCTTTAAGTTGCAACTAAATGGACATTCATTAACCAGCATATGACTCTCTGCATAGCACCATAGGACTTCTAAGAGATCCACACAGCTATATTTCTGAAGGTGGGTGGACTGGATCCCCAGGAGGCATTACTTAATGGAAATAAGTAAGCACACCCCTCCGTCTCCCTGGCAGCAGCAAGTCAGTTCAGGGATCCTTGCACAGCGGCCATGTGTGACTGTAGGAGGAGGCAGGGATAGCCCAGCCTGTGTGAACACTTTCAGAGTTACAGCCCAGCCTGGAGGAGTGCCCAACATGCTGCAGCAGCCCTGCCTATGGGAAGGCTCTATACTAAGTGGCAGCCACTCAGGCACTGCATACGTGCCCCTCCCCCCCAGCACAGCACAGACGAAAAGGCACCCTACCCACTCAAAAGACACCCCCACCAGTGGAGCACAGATGCCCAGGGGATCCACAGAGTGGAGGCTCAGCCCTCTCATGGGTGCCCACCACACTTAGTGCAGAGCAGGTGAGAAGACACCTCACTTGCTCAGCAGGTGCACCCACCCACAGAGCACAGCAGCACACAGGACCACCAAGTGGCAGCTCATTCCCCATGTAAGTGCCCCTCCCATGTAGCACACAGCAGAGAGGCCCTGACTATGGCGACTGACCTGCCCACCCAGCGCAGAGATCCTGCCCATGTGAGCACAACCTGCTGAGCTGCTGTGGCCAGCCCAGGCAAATGCAGCATACCTCTACCCAAAAAACTTTCCACAGATGGGATGGGATCAGAAAACAGCTCCTCCTCACCCCGCAGTGGTGGCAGGTGGAATCAGCGACCTGGTACTACCCCAAATGTGCCAGCAAAGGATCACTTCATCAAACACCATGAAAAACTACATTAACACTTCAGAGCAGAAGGAAAATGACAAGTCTCCAGAAAGCAACCAAAAGAATTTGAAATAGTTATCATAAAAAGCTCAGTGAGTTACAAGCAAACTCAGAAAGACAGTTCAATGAGCTCAGGAGTAAAATTAATGAGCAGGGGAATACTTCACCAAAGAGATTGAAACTCTTAAAAAGAAAGCCCAAAGAAATTCTGGGTATGAAGAATACAATTAATGAGATTAAAAAAATCTATAATCCATACAAAATAGAGCTGACATTCTGGAGGACAGAATTAGCGATTTAAAGGATAGAAATAGGGGCCAGCCTGGTGGCACAGTGGTTAAGTGCACACATTCCACTTCTCAGTGGCCCGAGATTCACTGGTTCGGATCCTGGGTGCGGACATGGCACTGCTTGGCACTCCATGCTGTGGCAGGTGTCCCACATATAAAGTAGAGGAAGATGGGCACAGATGTTAGCTCAGGGCCAGGCTTCCTCAGCAAAAAGAGGAGGACTGGCAGTAGTTAGCTTGGGGCTAATCTTCCTCAAAATAAAATAAAATAAAGGACAGAAATATAGAAATGCTTCAGGTGGAGGAGGAGAAATAACTAAAATTTTTTAAAAATGAAGAAATTCTTCAAAAAATATCTGATGCAATTAGGAAAAGTGACACAAGGATTATAGGTATTCCAGAAGGCAAAGGGAAGGAGAAACGAGCAGAAAGGTTGTTCTAAGGAATAATAGCTGAGAAGTTCTCAAACCTGGAGAAAGAACTGGATTGATAAGTACTTGAAGCCAATAGACCTCCTAATTACATCAATGCAAAAAGACCTTCTCGAAGGCATACACTACTAAAACTGACAAAAATCAATGACAAAGAAAAAATATTAAGGGCAGAAAGGGAGAAGAAAATAACATACAAAGGAATCCCTTTTAGGCTTTCAGTGGCTTTATCAGGAGAAACTTTACAGACTAGAAGAGAATGGAATGATACATTCAAAATACTGAAAGACAAATCTTTCAGCCAAGAATACTCTATCCAGCAAAACTATCCTTTAGATACAATGGAGAAATAAAAGCTTTCCCAGATAAACAAAAGCTGAGGGAGTTCATTGCCAACAGATATCCCTTACAAGAAATGATGAAGGAAGCCCTCTTACCTGTAACAAAAAGGAAAAGGTTTACAAAACCTTGAGCAAGGAGATAAATAGACAGATAGAATCAGAAAATTGTAGCTCTGTATCAGAATAAATGAGTAAATAATTATAACACAAAAGTCAAAGGAAGGAAAACATCAAAAACAACTATAAACACGTCAGTTTAGTCATAAACTCACAAAACAGAAAACAACAATTTGTGACAATAATCAATCAGAAAGAGAAGAGGAAAAGGATGGAAGCTGCTTAGGCCAATGGAGATAAGAGGCTATCAAAAAATGAACTATCTCATCTATGAGATCTTTTATACAAACCTCATGGTAACCACTAAACAAAAAAATCAGAGCAGAGCCACAAATCACAAACAAAGAGAAAACTATCACAGTAAACCACCAAACTGAAGTGGCATTCAGAAATACACGGGAAGGAAAACAATGGAAATATAGAACAACCGGAAAACAAGAGAAAAAATGCCAGTACTAACCCCCCATATATCAATAATCACTCTAAGTGTAAATGGATTGAATTCTTCAATAAAAAGACACAGAAGTCTAGATGGATTAAAAAAAAGACCCAAAAATATGCTGCTTCCAGGAAACACATCTCAGTTCTAAAGACAAACATAAGTTCAGAATGAAGGAATGGAAGATGATACTACAAGCAAATGGTAAGCAAAAGAAAGCAGGTGTTGCCATACTCGTATCAGACAAAGCATACTTCAGGATAAAAAAGACAATGAGAGGCAAAGAGGGGCAATATATGATGATAAAAAGGACATTCTACCAAGAGGACATAACACTTATCAATACATATGAAGCTAACACAGGAGCACTGAAGTACATAAAGCAACCATTAACAAACCTAAAAGGAGATATTAATAACAACACAATGATCATAGGGGATCTCAATACCCCACTTACATCAACGGATAGATGATCCAGACAAAAAGTCAAGAAGGAAAGAGTGGCCTAAAACGAAATACTAGACCAAATGTACTTACTAGATATATATAGAACATTCTATTTAAAAACAGCAGGATACACATTTTTCTCAAGCACACATGGCACATTCTCAAAGATACACCATATGTTGGGAAACAAGGCAAGCCTCAATAAATTTAAGAACATTGAAATTATATCAAGCATCTTTTCTGACCAACCACAATGCTATGGAACTAGAAATCAACTACAAGAAAAAGGCTAGGAAAGTCATGTGGAGACTAAAAAATATGCTACTGAACAACCATTGGATAACTGAAAAAATAAAAAGAAATCAAAAAATATCTGGAGAGAAATGAAAATGGAAACACAGCATACCAGCTCGTACAGGATATAGCAAAAGAATTCCTAAGAGGAAAATTTATAGCAATACAGGTCTACCTCAACAAACAAGAAAAGTCTCAAATAAGTAAGCTTAAACTACACCCAATAGATTAGAAAAAGAAGAAGAAACAAAGCCTAAAGTCAGCAGAAGGAGGAAAATAAAAATTAGAGCAGAAATAAATGAAATATAGGCTAAAAAAATAGAAAAGATCGATGAAGTGAAGAGGTGGTTCTTCGAGAAGATAAACAAAATTGACAAACCCTTTCTAAGAAGAAAAGAGAGAAGTCTCAAACACATAAAATTAAAAATTAAAGAGGAGAAATTACAATGGATACCCTAGAATCACAAAGGATTATAGGAGAATACCATGAAAAACTATATGCTAACAAAGTGGGCAACCTAGAAAAACATAGATAAATTCTTAGACTCATACAACCTCCCAAAACCAAATTGAGAAGAAGTAGAGAATCTGAATAGACCAATCACAAGTAAAGAGATTGAAACAATAATCAAAAACCTCACCAAAAACAAAAATCCAGGACCAGATGGCTTCTCTGGAGAATTCTATGAAACATTCAAAGAAAATTTAATACCTATACTTCTCAAACTCTTCCAAAAAATCGAAGAAGACAGAACACTTCCTAACTTATTCTATGAGGTCAAGATTACCCTGATACGAAAACCTGATGACAACACAAGGAAGGAAAATTACAGGCCAACATCACTGATACACATAGATGCAAAAACGCTCAACAAAATATCGGCAAATCAAATACAGCAATGCATTAAAAAGATCATACACCATGATCAAGTGGGATTTAAACCAGGAACCCAGGGATGGGTAAACATCTGCGAATCAATCAATGTGATACACTACATTAACAAAATGAGGAATAAAAATCACATGATCATCTCAATAGATGCAGAGAAAGCATTTGACAACATCCATTTATGATAAAAACTCTCAATAAAATGGGTATAGAAGGAAAGTATCCAAACATAATAAAAACTATATATGACAAACCCACAGCCAACATCATACTCAATGGGGAAAAATTGCAAGCTATCCCTCCGAGAACAGGAAGAAGATAAGGCTGCCCACTCTCACCACTCCTATTCAACATTGTACTAGAGGTTTTGACCAGACCAACTAAGCAACAAACAGAAATAAATGGTATCCAAATCAGAAAGGAAGAAGTAAAATTCTCACTGTTTCTGGATGCCACGATTCCATATAAAGAAAATCCTAAAGAATCCACCAGAAAGCTATTAGAAATAATCAACAACTACAGAAAAAAGTGGCAGGGTATAAAATCAACTTACAAAAATCAGTTGCATTTCTATACACTAGTAATGAACCAGCAGAAAGAGAAGTCAAGAATACAATCCCACTTGCAATTGCAACAAAAAGAATAAAATATCTAGGAATAAATTTAGCCAAAGAGGTGAAACACCTATACACTGAAAACTATAAGACATTATTGAAAGAAATTGAAGAAGACATAAAGAAATGGAAAGATATTCCATGCACATGGATTGGAAGAATAAATATAGTTAAAATGTCCATACTACCCAAAGCAGTTTACAGATTCAATGCAATCCCAATCAGAATCCCAGTGACATTCTTCACAAAAATAGAACAAAGAATCCTAAAATTCAGAGGGGCAATTAAAGACCCTGAGTTGCTAAAGCAATCCTGAGAAAAAGAACAAAGCTGGAGGCATCACAATCCCTGACTTCAAAATGTGCTACAAAGCCATAGGGATCAAAACAGCATGGTACTGGTACAAAAACAGTCACACAGATCAATGGAACAGAACAGAAAACCCATAAATAAAGTTGAACATCTATGGACAGCTGATCTTTGACAAAGGTGCCAAGAACATACACTGTAGAAAAGATAGTCTCTTCAATAAATGGTGTTGGGAAAACTGGACAGCCACATGCGAAAAAACGAAGGTAGACCATTATCTCATGCCATACACAACAATAAATTCAAAATGGATCAAAGACTTGAAGATAAGTCCTGAAACCATAAAACTCCTGGAAGATAATATAGGTAATACACTCTTTCACATCAAACTTAAAAAGATATTTTCAAATACCATATATTCTCAGACAAGAGAAACAAAAGAAAAAATAAACAAGTGGGAGCTCATCAGACTAAAGAGCTTCTGCAAGGCAAAAGAAACTAGGATCAAAACAAAGAGACAATCCACCAATTGGGAGGAAATATTTGCAAATCATATATCTGATAAGGGGTTCATCTCCATAATATGTAAGGAACTCACACAACTGAACTTTAAAAAAACAAAAAGCCCAATCAAAAAATGGGCAGAGTCTATGAACAGATATTTTTCCAAAGAAGATATACAGATGGGCAATAGACACATGAAAAGATGCTCATCATCACAAATCATCAGGGAAATGCAAATCAAAACTACACTAACATACCACCTTACGCCTGTTAAAACGACTATAATCACTAAGACTAAAAATAACAAATGTTGGAGAGGCTGTAGAGAAAAGGAAAGCCTCATACACTGCTGGTGGGAATGTAAACTGGGTGCAGCCACTATGGAAAACAGTATGGAGATTCCTCAAAAAACTAACATAGAACTACCATATGACCCAGCTATCCCACTACTGGGGATCTTCCTAAACAACTTGAAATCAACAATCCAAAGTAACATATGCACCCCTATGTTCATCACAACACTATTCACAATAGCCAAGACAAGGAAAGAATCCAAGTGCCCATTGATTGATGGCTGGATAAAGAAGATGAGGTATATACATACAATGGAATACTATGGATCCATAAAAAAAGACAAAATCATCACATTTGCAACTACATGGAAGGACCTGGAGGGAATTATTCGAGGTGAAATAAGCCAGACTGAGAAAGACAAACACCGATTTCACTCATATGTGGAATATGAGAAAACACATGGACAAAGACAAGAGTTCAGTGGTTACCAGGGGAAGGGAGGTGGGGGCTGGGCACAGGGGGTGAAGGGGAGCACTTATGTGGTGATAATCCAGAAATCATGTACAACTGAAATCTCACATTGATATAAACTATTATGAACTCAATAAAAAAAAATAATTTGAGGGTTTTAGCTGACCTTGAGATTTATATGTACCAAACATCTGATACATGTGTTTAAAAAATTAACACAATGTGCAGCAATAACAATAAGAAAATAGAGTCTAGCTACAAAGAGGTAATAGGCAAAGAGCTAAATAATTGTTATTGTTGCATGCAACGGAGGTTTTGGCTTGTCTGTTTTGCAGTAGAAAGTCAATGTTGTCCTAAAGAAGTGTAATGCAAACCATATATGTAATTTTAAATTTTTCAAAGCCACATTTTTAAAAAGTACAAAGAAACAGGAGAAATTGATTTGAAAATATATTTTATTTAACCCAACAGATCCAAAATATTATTTTAAAATGTATTCAATATAAAAATATTATTGAAATATTTTATAATCTTTCAATTATTTCAAAGTAGGCTAGTCAAATTTCAAGTGTTCAATAGCCACATGTGGCTAGTGGCTACCATAGTGGATAGTGCAGCTCTAAGATATTCTCTCAACCCTGGGCACCATGTTTTAAAAGAAATGTAGACTAATCATAGTCCAAACAGAATAATCAGATCTGGAAACCAGTATAAGCACAAAGCAGAGGAATTGTAAAGGTAACCTGGAGATGTATAATTCCAAGAAGAGAAGACAGCAGGGAAATTTGACGGACATCTTCAAAGACTTGAAGCAGTGTTATGTAGAAAACACACAATAGATTTGTGCTATACTATTCCTTAGTTCAAATCAATAGGTAAAACTTATAGAGAAGGAAATTCCAGGTTTGGCATAGAATGATCCCCCTACGCTAATTAGAATTATATAGATCATCCATGGAATCATTTAACATGCCTGGTAGATTGATTGTATAATTGTTTCAATCAATAGTTATTCACCCCTCCCTATCCATACCCTTTTCCATGTAATTTTGCAATACCCTCCCTCACTGAATGGGGTATTCTACCTCACCTTTGTCTCTGGCCTTCGCCATGTGACCTTGCCTTGATAATGGGATATTAGTCAACTTGATGCACAAATGAAGATTTTACAAGTGCTTGATCATTTCCACTTCTGTCTTTGCCCTCTTCCATAATCATGAAAAAGTCATGCCCAGACCCACCCATAAGGCCATCTTAGATCATCCAAGAGCCAGCTGACCCCCAAGATATGTGAGTGAGCACAGCAAGGATCATTCAAGTGCCTTAACAGTCCCATGACTGATTGCAGATGTATGTGAGCCAGCAAAGATCAGCCTCGTCCAGCCCAGATCTTCTGATCACTGCAGACTCATGAGCTAAATAAGTATTGTTACATGCTCCTGAAGTTTTGGGGTTGTTTGTTATGCACCATTGCTGTGCAATGGATAGCTGATCTAGCATTCATCCCTCAAAATTTTATCAGCCAGAACATGCTATTTCATCCCTGGAAAATCTGTTATACATATAAGGACTCAATTTTTTCCCCAGAATTATACAAATTACAAGTTTCTTTTTATAGGGTGATGGTATATCAGATAATTGTCAAAATAAGGACTGTTTATTCCTTATTTTCATGTCAGCAGACCTGATTTATAAATGTAAAGCAAAGAAAGTTCTCCTATTAAGATGTATGATATTATATTTATACAGTTAACTGATAATGTTTAATCTGTAGCTAACTGGGAAAGGATCGATAAAATTCAATAAATTAGTCTTACCTGAGCTGCTGTAAACTTTGCCAAGAAATAGTTTCCATTTTCATAGGTATCTACAAGCAAGAAAAAAGAATAAGCAACTACTCATTGCTTCAACTGTAAGCAGCTAGCTTGCATAGTCAGAAAATATCTCTATGGGATCACAATTACTGATCAGGATAATCATGAAATCTGAGGCGCACTAAAGATAGTAGCTGAAGGAGGATTTCATCCCAGGTTACTGTGGGGTTTTGCATATGGAAGAAGGTGCTTTGAGATGAGGGACAGGAGGTTGCAAATAGAAGAGAATCTGGGTTGAACTAAGGGTACATACCTTAGGTGAAGAAGTGTGGAGGCTACTGACTGTTTTTTTCTGTGACAATATAGCAAGCATACAGCCAGGAGAGCACATGGCTGTGATGATAAAGGCTCAAAGCAGGGGAAGTGGTTAGGAACTCAGGTTCTCAAGTCACATTGACATGGATATCAAACCCCACTCTTGTACTTAATAGTTGTGCAAACCCAGGCAAGTTACTGAAAATTTTATCATCTGTAAAATGGACATAATCATAGTGCCTGGCTCACGGCAATAAGGTACATAACATATTGCTTGTGCAGAATAAGTGCTCAAAATTTGTTGTTGACTATCATCATCAAAGTCATCATCATCTTCATCTTCGTTAGTCTCTCCCTGCTCTTGGCTCATCCTTTCACAGTGAGTGCTGTAGATCACAAGCCCTCCTGCCTCTACAGAACTTGCTTTATCAACTCTTCCCCATACCCTTTCTGCTCCTTCAGGCTCCAATTACATTCCAGAGCACTCCATTCTGTCAAATCCTTTACTGGATTCTCTGTATATCAAGCTCCCACATCTCCTTTTCAGTGCTGTATGTCTCAAAAAAGGTAGCCTCTGCTTGTTATGTCTGTGTACTCAATTCGTAATTCAATCCTACCTATCCTACACTTCAGCGCCTGTGTTTCCTTTTTTCGCTGAATCCGATCCTTTCAAATTCACCTCTTACATAATATATTGGATGTAAATATCTCTTCATGATGTTCAGCAGTTTTAAACTTTCGTGCCCAGACATCTGCTCCTTGAAATACTCCTTAGTTGATGTCTACTCAACTCATTCTCTTCATGTGGCTTCTATAACTCCCATTAAAAGTCAGTTTCATTTCACGTTCTATTCTTGGCCCTTGTCAACATTCCATCTCTTAACAATATTCCAACAAATTCTCTCCCTGAACCAACTAATGTTCTTCTTTGTTTTCCAAATTACCTCCACTTTTATGGAAACAATTATAAAGCCCATATTTTCAAATATAGCCTTGGCTAGAAAATGTAACCTAAGCAAACACTATAGCCTCTTTCAGAAGTTTTAAGAAAGAATTTGTAAAGAATGGAATTCTGCTAATATAGGTGATTTAATATTATCCTTGAACTAGCTATTAAATCTCCTTATATAAGTAAGGAAAAGTTTAACAAATAGTTGCCAACCCATTAACAGAAAATTTAAACTAAAGCTATACTTATACTGTATTTTAAATTTGAATTTCTAAGCCTGTTTGGTGAAAAAGGGCAAAGAGCTTCTCTATAGAAATTTAAAAGTGTAAAATATTTAAAACTTTAACAGCTATTGATTTTTAACATTGAGACTAAAATATACTTGTTGTAAGAAACTAAAATTTTATAGAAAATTGTTTTTGCTCCTCAAATTTTTGAAATATATTGTTCATAGGGGGCTGATTTTACACACTAAGTGTGGTATTATTTACCCACTCTGATGTCAATAATCTAGTCCTAATTAGCTCAAGCTGTATAAAAGGACTCCGGATTCTCTTAAAACATTGGTTCTCAACCAGCAGTGATTTTGCTGGTGAAGCATTTGGCAATATCTGGAGACACATTTTATTGTTACATCTTGGGATTGGGAAGAGTGATTTGGGGACTAGTGGTTAGAGCGTGGGGATGCTGCTAAGCATCTTATAATTAACAGCCCAGCCACCACAACCAGTAAAGAATTATCTAGCCCAAAATGCCAATAGTATCGAGATTGAGAAAATCTTTTCTAAAAAAAGCCCTTTCTTGAAAAAGTAACTGTAATCAAGAGAGTGTGGTACTGGCATAAAAAGAATACATATATATATTTAATGTGAATGTTTATTTCTGTGTCCACAATTCTACTATGTATATATTCACATTTAGCATCAATTGATTGTCAACAAAGGTTCCAAAACAATTAAACGGTGAAAGAATAGTCTTTGCACAAATTGTACTGCGACAACTGGATATCTACACGCAAAAGAATGTAGTTGGACTCCTACATCACACCATATACAAAAATTAACACAAAATAGACCAAAGACCCAAATGTAAGAGTTTAAACTATGAAACTCTCAGAAAAAAACAAGGGTAAATATTTGTGATCTTAGATTTGGCAATGGTTTTTTAGTATAATACAAAAAGCACAAGCAGCTAAAGAAAAAAGATAAATTTGGCTTCATCAAAATGAATAACTTTTGTGCTTCAAATGGACACTATTAATAAAGTGAAAAGACAAACCACTGAATAGGAGAAGATATTTGCAAATGATATATCTAATAAAGGACTTGTATATAGAATATATAAAGAGCACTTACAATTCAATAATAAAAAGACAATCTAATTTAAAAATTGACACAGGATATGAATAGACATTTCTCCAAAGAAGATATATAAAGGCCAGTAAGTACATGAAAAGGTGCCCAATGGCATTAGTTATCAAGGAAATGCAAATCAATTGCAACTACAATGAGATATTATTTCATACCCACTAGGATGACTATACTCAAAAAGACATAATAACAAGTATCGACAAGGATGTGGAGAAACTGGATCCCTCATACACTACATGGAACAAAAAATGCTGCAATCTCTTGGTAAAAGAATCTGGAAGTCCTCCAAAATGTTAAATATAGAGTTATCATATAACCCAGGTGTGTACCCAAGAGAATTGGAAAAAATGTCTATATAAAAATTAGTAAACGTGTGTTCATAGCAGCATTATTCCTAAGAGTGAAAAAGTGGACACAACCCAAACATCCATCAACCAATGAATAGATGTATAAAAGTGGTGTATCCATACAATGGAATATTATTCAGCCATACAAGAGGAATGAAGTACAGATGCATGCTACAACACTGTTGAACCTTGAAAACATTATGCTAAGTGAAAGAAGCCAGTCATAAAAGACCAAATTTATTCCATTTATATGACTCCACATGATTCTATTTTATATGAAATGTCCAGCATACGTAGATATTTAGTGACAGAAAGTAGATTAGTAGATGCCTAGGGCTGCATTTCCTAGGGCCAGAGAGAATGGCGGGTGGGGGCGATTGAGGGGTGATATTGATATCTAAAAGGTCCAGGGCTTATTTTGGGGGTGAGGAAACTGTTCTAAAATTTATTGTGTAAAGGTTGAACAACTCAGCAAATATACTAAAACCATTGAATTGTACTCTTTAAATGGATGAATTTCATGGTGTGTGAATGATATCTCAATAAAGCTGTTACAAAAAAGAAGTTAGAGTCAAACCCAAGAACTAAAAAAACGCATTCTTTTTTTAAAAAATGTATTTTTCAAAAAAAACTCTAATTGATTCATCTTTAAATCCAGTGTACGATTTCTAATTATTAAAATACTCTCAGGTTTATCGCTTTATTCCTCATCAGTCTTTCAATCATCACACTCATATTTCCAAACTCTGTATTGTCTGTTTCCATCAGGAGATTTCACAGGCATCCCAAACTCAAAGTGTGCAAAACTAATCTCATTATCTCCCATCACTCTATAAACCGGCTTTTTCACCCATGTTCCATACCATGATAACGGAATTACTTCCTGCCTAATCAGACTTGGCATGATCTGACAACACAAATCGTCTGCAGTTATCTTGGCAAAAGTGTCGATGTAGTGATATAGTGTTGACTGTCTCATCATGGCCACCAACACGTTTGGCTGTGATTTCTTGCTCACCAAACAAATCTTTAATTAATTAAAATATCATCTTTCACATAGACTTAATTTAAGGAAAATACATATGTCCTATTAGATGGGACCATTCTAGCCCATTAATAAATACAGTTCTTAAATTTACAAATTGGCGTTGTGGCATATTATTCTCTTATAATGTGCAAGTTCTGCCACTCTCTTAAAACCTAGTTTGAGTGGCTGGTTAATCTCCTTTCTCTGACTTTCGGACTTTTTGTTGTCATATTAACCACACTGATTTAAATGTAAAATATCTAATCCTAAAAGCTTATAATGGAGTTTTATTTATCTTGCTTATTAATGGTACATTTTGTTCAACATCCATGAGCCAAGAATTCTCTCTCTATATTAAATCATTTTATCTTCATAAAAATAATCTACATGATAAATAGTGTCTTGTAGATTTTAAAGATGAGAAAATGCAGGCAAAGAGATGCAAAGTAAATTTCCAAAAGACCTACAACTAGTAAAGGACTGAAATGGTATTTGAATCCACATCTATTGAATTCTAACATGCCACATGCCTCTCCCTAGAGTTTACTTATTAGATTGTGGGGTGGGGGGGGGGGGGAGGGGGTTAAGTCCAAAGACAGATTTGAACTTCGAAAAAAGAAGTAATCTAATTCCTTCGTATCCCTCCCTTTAGCCAGGTTCCATCTACAAATAAGCAACCAAATCAATTGAAAAGTATCTCTTTTATATACTATTCTAAATGAATATAGTGTTATACTGTTATCCATACACTGAGAAGAGAAATTTAAAGTGCCATATGCAATATCATTAAAAACTTAGAAATACTTAGGATACATTTAACAAAATACATGCAAGACACATTCACTGAAAATTACAAAACATTGCTAAGAGTAATTAAAGAAGATCCAAGTAATTGAAGGTGATGATAAATATAGATATATAGATATCCCAAAATTGATCTGTATAGTCAATACAATTCCAGTCAAAATTCTAGCAAGTTTTTTTTTTGTTAAATAATGACAATCTGATTTAAAAAACCTATATGAAATTCAAAGGAGCTAGAATAGCCAATGTAATTTTGAAGCTATGTCAGTCAAGACAATATGGTATTGGCATAAGGATAAACAGATCAACGGAGCAAAACAATCCAAAAACAGACTCTCAGTCACATGTGAGCTGTTGATAGCTAACAAAAGTACTAAGACAATACAACAAGGAAAAGGATTCTGCTTTTAAGAAAGTAGTGCTGGATCAATTGGATAAACATTTGGGGAAAAAATGAACCTCGACCATTGCAAAATTTAATACAAAATAGATGATAGTTCTAAACGTAAAAGATAAAAATGTAAAGCTTCTAAAAATATAGGAGAAAATCTCTGTAACTTTGGCTGTGATGAAGGCATGTGATGCTATGCTTTATAATAAAATATATATATTTGGTCTTCATCCTGGTTTCTGGCACAGAGTTCCTCAAACCCTCGGAATTTCCTAAATGATGGAAGCTATCAAAGTGTCTTTTGTTACGTTAATGACATGGCATTTTCTTCAACACTTAAACATACACTTATCATATGACCCACCATAGCAATTCCATTTCCAAGTTTTTACACAAGACAAATGAAAACATATGATCACGAAATGACTTATACTCAATCGTGGCAGATTTATGCATAATGTTAAAAATTTGAAACAATTTAGTTATTCATCAATAAGTAAATGGATGAACAAATTATGGTATACCCACCTAATAGAATGTAATCCAAGAGTCAAAAGTAATTACTTTCACATGTAACAATATGGGTGACTTAAAAAAACTTTTGCTAAGTGAAAGAAGCCAAACACAAAAAGAGTACACACAGTATGATTCTATTTACATAAAACCTAGAAAAGACAAATCTAATCTATAGCGATAGAAAGCAGATCACTGTTTGCCAGGGCCTGGAAATGGGGGTTGGGAGTGGGAGGGCAGTTCACTGAAAGAAGTAAAAGGGGAACTTCTGGGGTTATGAGAATATTCCAGTTCTTGATTGTGGTAGTGGCTATACAACTGTATACATTTGTCAAAACTTATAGAACAGTATACTCAAAATGGATAAACTTTATTATACATTACATTTTATTTGTGTAAATATAACTCAATTGAGTTGATTAAAAGGCAACAATTTTACTTCTAAGAATCTATGGAAACCCATGGAACCTATGGAAATAATATGAAATATGAACAAAGGGTAATACTCAAAGATGTTATTTATAACAATGAAAATGAAAACATCCTATATCCTGTATAGAGAGTAATTATAAAAAGTTTTAAAAAGCATGGCATACACTCTCAATGGAATATGGTAATCATAATGGTTTATAAGGAGTGTATAATAACATCAAGACATATTTCTGTCATTATGTTAAGTACCAAAAAAAGGATTTGCAAATTAAATATGATCTCAGCAATATAAAAAGTGAAGCATTTTCTTAAGTAATGTGAAAGCAAAAAGCAATATAGCAAACATATTAAAAGCAGTTATGTTTTTTTCTAATTTTCTATCTTTAAAATGTTTTCTTTAATGAAAATATGTTTACCCTTACAATAAAGAATTCTAAAAGGAAGGACTCTTTAGAAATATTACTAGTGGAAAATAAGCTATAATTTCAATAATTGTGACATGTTACAAGATTAGAATGCTCTGGTCCACAGTAATAAGTATCAGAAAATGGGTGTTGGTTGGTAATAGTATGTCAGTATTTTTACAGAAATATCTGAAGAAGAGGGTGTTCTGATTATAGTGAAAAACACCAATTATCTAAGATAGAACTATTTTATCCCTAGATGGGGAAAGAGAGCATAGAAAGTAATATTTCGCTGATGTAAGTATTCTTTTGACAATATTTAATTTCCTATTTCTGAGATATGAAGAAATTTTCTAAGCTCTAATTTGTCTCCTGAGTGGGCCTACCTAGGAGAGAAAGGGTTCCTGGTTAGAGATGGCTGCCCACATTAGAGAGCCAGGTCTATGAACCACTGAGAGTGAATGGTTGGCCTGATATTTGCATCCACGCTCTTCTTAGAGCAAGACAGTTACACAGAAATAAATCTCCCCTGTCTGAATCCACAGCATCAAGTTGCTGAACCTACAAAGCTGGGGACCATATGCTGTTCTACAATAATTAAAGTGTAATATAAATGAACAGGCAAAAGTCGCAGAAATTCTCCCAACATTGCTTTATGAGTAGAGGCAGAAATAGAGATAAGTTTTCAGTTCATGCCAATTATATCCTGAACTTCTAAAGGATGTTTTTTCTGAGTGCTTTATAGGGATCCTGGAGAGTTCATACTCACCAATGCTTTGTCCATCATCCCAGAACATCTCACCTTCGGCTTTCCCATTGTCATCCAAAGCAACAATCAATCCCATAAATTTTTGTCGACTATAAAAACAAAAGAGTTATTTTTCTCTAGATTGTAGGTTGTAAGAAGGAAGGATAGCTTCTGATGAAAATTTTACTCATCCAGAAAAAAAGAGCAATGCATTAAAAATTCACATAAAGTTCTAAAAATAGGAAAAATGAGACAAAATGCAAGATACTTAGAAGCTGATAGAATAAAGCATTTAAAATTTAATGAAACATTTGGTGCAATTTCAACTTTCAAAAATAAAATACACATACTGTACTTATACACATATTATAAGCAATGCAAGAAGCTACTTCTTTAGGAAGAAGATCTAATTTTAAAAAAACCCAAACAATTCTTTAGTAGCTTCTAGATTGCTACAGAATAAAATGCAACATACTTACCATGGCATACACAACTCTCTATGACCTGATCCTAATCTGCCTGAATTTTATAATTATTTATTTTATTCCTCTCCAATTCAACTATTCCCCAATTTCAATTCACTTTAAGCCTTTAGTTCCTTAATTCTCCCAGAATATCTCTTTCCCTTGTCTTCATACATTCAAATTCTGGTTTATTATTCAAGACTCAGCTCAAAGCCCTCTTTCATATGAAACCACGCTTTACACCACAAGGCTGAAAGTTAACTTGTCTCCCTTTGAGTTGTTGTTCTTTTTATGTATTTTATGTGTGTCTCTCTTGATACAGCATGTTCTCCTTAATGTACTATGGACATATGTGTATATATACATATATATAATCTCTCCTTGGGTTGACCAAAGTAGACCTGGGAATGAGGACTAAATTCCTGGGTAGCCATCACCAATCCAGGAGTTCATTAATATTCCCCATTTTTTTAATACTATAGAAAGAGATACACACTGCCCTCAGGAAGATTTTTGCCCTGGACCTTTGACACAGAGCTGCAGATAGAAGATCACCCCAAGACTGACTTCATGAATTCATCCTCCCCCAGATCCCACTCAAAAGGCACTCTCAGAATCAAATCAGTGAAACTGTCTGTAATTTGGTTTATTTACCCACAGGGCCCCGGGTGAGATGAGATGGGCAGCTCCCTGTAGGGTTGCCTCTTTATGGCAAAGTGAGGCCATCAAACTCCACCTCTCCTCCCTACCTGGAGTAAGTGTTCATTGCAGACTCTTGCCAAGGCAGGATGTAGCCTCCTCTGATGTGAAGGTTGATGTGATCAAGGGGAGCCTGCAGGGTTTTCCACTCACCTGTGGATGTATTGCCAGATTCCTGGAAGGGAGAATACAGGCAAGAAATGATGACAGAAAAAGAGATGAAATGAATGCGTGTCTTATTATAAGTCCTTCCTTTCCAAGGAAGCATGTTGGAAAGTCCGAAAAATACTGCATATCTAAGGAGGAAATGTCTGATTTTCAAATCTACTAAAAACTCTGAAAATCTAGTCTTTTCTCTGTATTCTCCAGAGGGGAGAGTCAATGTGATATGGAGGTTAGATTCTACATATTTATGCTTTTATGGATACTTTTATTTAAGCAAACCTTGCATGGCTAAAAGGTTGAAAATTACTGCCATAGAAAATATGTGTCTGGAAGTCAGGAAGGTACGAGTCACCTCTCTAGCCTGCATGGACCAGTCTGGTTCTTCACAAATTAACAGTTCTTACCGTGCTATAGTCATACCAACGAGCACTGGGAAAATAAGCATGGATCTCAAAAGTGTTCTGAAACATAAAATCAACACATCATTATGAATATTCCAATAATTTAATTTTAATTTTTAAAACTCTTGCTGTAGAATTAAGATAAAAACGGGAATGTTATTAATGATTTTAAGAGTTTTGGAGGTTTTATTGAGAAAAATCCTGGGAAATTCTTCTTCAAACACACAGAAAAATAAACTATTTCGAAAGGTAAATTTTAGGGGCCAGCCCTGGTGCTCTAGTGGTTAAGATTTGGTGCTCTCACTGCAGCAGCCCAGGTTCATTTCCTGGTCAGGGAACCACACCACCCGTCAGTTGTCGTACTGCAGCGGCTGTATGTGTTGCTGTGATGCTGAAAGCTTTGCCACCAGTATTTCAAATACCAGCAGGGTCATTCATGGTGGACGGGTCTCAGTGAAGCTTCCAGACTAAGACAGACTAGGAAGAACGACCTGGCCACCAACTTCGAGAAAGATTGGCCATGAAAACCTTGTGAATAGCAGTAGACCATTGTCTGATAGAGCACCACAAGGTAAGAGGATGGCGCAAAAAGATGGGACAGGGTTCCGTTGTGCTGTACACAGGGGTGCTGGGAGTCAGAATCAACTTGACCACACTAACAACAAAAATTTTATAGTGATGCAATGTAACAAGACTCTAAAATGAGCAATCAACTGAAGCTGCAAAGTTCTCATTAATGGAGACCTTGAAAAAAGGAAAAGATCTCCCTTAGGTGTTCTGGAAATGAATTTGCATGAAAATAGTGAGCTAGACAAGATGATCTTCAACATGCCCTTCCTGTACTTTGGATTATGTGATTGGAGGGTTTCAGAGCTCTCATGGAAAACTCACACTTTCTAGCACGGGGCTGATTAAGATGGCGGGTCCCAACATGAACTGATCGTCTATTTCCCACGTTTTGTTGTCAACTGTAAACCTTTAAAAATAAGTGAGAAAAATCTACCCTGTTATAACTGTTGCAGAGGGTTAATCACAAGACGTGCAGAGACCTGCTGCTTGGGAAACAGGCCATACTCACTCATGGAGAAGGGGTCGGACAACAGTGCTGCCCTCAACGTGAGCTTTATGCATCAGAGTATAGAGGTAAGGTAGCAGGGTGTATCTGGTCTGGAGGACGTTTCTTGAGATCATCTCAAAGGTTGAATTCCAGGCCACAGGATCTTGTCGCTAAACAGATACAGGAGCACATGACAGATTACCTTCTCTTTATTCCATCCTGGTGGTATCAGAAAAGGACCAGCAGGCACATATCCCGTATGTAGGAAACACACCCCTTCTCCTTTCATTTCTAGCCCACTCTTTCCCCAACCCCTGTCATCTTACTAAACTAGAGCTTCTTGCTTCTACCTCTTTATCATGGATTCCTAAGTCCCTGCACTGGTCCAGTCTTGGCCCTACACCTGTGTAGAGAGATGTTTCTATGCAGCACTGAAACATCTTGGATGGATTTGAGTACAATATAAATTCACTATTCTTAACAGCAAAGGGAGTTCCTTTTATCTTAGCTCCATAGGGAGCCATAAACTCTTCTCTCCTCATAGGCACTAATCCCCAAAAGATGAGAAAAAGTATATTCTTGAAAATTGTTGGTAATTCTAGGGTTTTGAACTCTGTGTCTTTTTCAATAAATGGAGGTTCTGGTGATTTTTATGATTTTTATCAAGAAATAAATAAGATACTTCTGAGGGCTAAAAGGAAGTTGTGAGGTGAGGACACAAACATTGCTGCTTAAACAGCTGCCTTACCCTTGTCCCGAATGTGTTGTGGTTCCTGGAAAATGGATAAAATGCCCCCAGTTGCATCCAACGAACACACATCTCATATTCAGCATCTCCAAAGAACCCACAAATATCTGCTCCCGTCTGAGAAGATGCAAAATCAGAGCATGACGTAAGACTTCTGTGGATTGCAGACACATTGAAATCTGACTGGGTTATTTGCAATGGCCCCACTATGACTTACATAAGATATTCCAAAGAGACTGAACTCCATCATGCCTGCAATGAGAAGACATAGCTGTTTGGACAAAGCAGCGCTTTGGGAGGGTAGATTTGACCTGTCTCTTCTGTACCCCCATTAAGCCCTGGGCCACTTGATGAAAATATCAAGAAATGGGGGTGGATTAAAACTCACACCTATGGAGAACTCAGCTCCTATTGATTTCACTGACCACATGGATGATGATTAGATATAACAAATGCAGCTGAAGAGCACACACTCCAGTCCCCTCCCCATCCGTAGAGGCCCCTGGGAATAAGCCCACACACCAATGATAGATTTCTTCAGCTGGTCCCATGCAGCCATGTTGTCTCCCAGCCAGTGTCCTCCCCAGCGGCCAGAAGAGGGGAAAGTAGAGCGGGTGATGATGACCCCTCGCTGTCCTGTCACCTCCTGCACAGCTCTAGTTGGAGGGGAACAAGGAGGTGAACTGAAAGTGAATTTGAGGATGGACAGACATGGAACTTCACCACAGACAGTAGCTTCAGCCTTAAGCATGAGGCAGCAGTCATGCTGTATTTTGAGCCAAAGAGTTTCTTCCCTGAAAGCATCTGCTATTTAAAAGTGATGCTAAGGGTCCCAATGAACTTCAAAGCAGGACAACTGGAGATATAGCAACACCTAAAGTGTGGGTTGCCTTTCTTTTAAAAAAATCTAATTAACTAGCTATCTACACTGAGAAAGGAGAAGTGGATGGGTTGAGGCGTAGGACAGTTATTTATGGAACAATTACTCAATCCTAGGAACTACACTGATCACTTTCATCTGTACTGTCTCACAACCTCATGAGGAAGGTTTCCTTGACCTCCTTTTACTGTTAGGAGACTGAGGCTCAAAGAAGTTAGATAATTTGTTAAAGGTCATTTAAAGAGCAAGGAGGCAGATCTGGGACCTAAAAAAAAGTATATACAACTACAGATTTTTGGTAATATTCACTCTACTGTGCTACTGCTCAAAAAAGCAGGATAAATTTTGCACACAAGGGAAAATATACATAAAAGATGTTTGAATAGCTCTCCATGGAGGTGGATCGTCTGCAGGCAGCCCCAGGCAGAAAACAAAAACAACTGTGTGAAAGAAAAATCAATGGAACAAAAGTGAAAGTCTATTAACAGATGTTAGTATATAATGCAATCCAAATATTTGCTAAGGAAAGCATCACAAATCAATAGACACAGATGAACTGTTCAATAAATGATGTCAGGAAAAGAAGTTAGCTATTGTAATGGAAACGAATTCATTTAGGTCACTTCCAATATTTTACATCAAAACAAATCCAAAAATGGACAGCGACAATGTGTGTGCACATATGTGCACACACACACGTTAGTCTGAGTGGCAGATAATGAAGGCCTGATAGAAGGCAGGGATACAGAGAGTAAGGGTGAATGCGAGTGGTGCAAAGAACTTTGTCACCAACCATTTCAGAACTCTAGAAATTAACCAGCCATACAAAGAAATGAAAACTGTCTTTCCAAGAAAAACTACCAATCCTAGCAAGATAGTGAAGTCTCTGGGATTCCAACTTGGGGCTAATCTCATCCCACTGCATTCCTAGCTCATTGGCACCAAAACCAGCAGCCTTGCAGAAAACTGAGAAGTCTGACCTTTTTTGGAGATTTATTAAAAGCACCACCCCCAGAGCACAATAAATATTTTTTCTAACTTGCGGTCCCCTGAAAAATCTCTATTCCGAGGGTGTTGTGGCCATTTTATTGGACTCAGAGCTCAATGCAGCAGGGAAAAAAAATTCCCCCCAGGGAATTATCAAAACCATAACAATTTTCTGGACATCACATGTGCTCAGACTGTGGTTTCTGTTGAGGCAAACAAAAGGTTGGCTGGGAATTTAAAAGTAAATCCTGGAGAATTGGAATAAGAAAGAGCTTTGTTAGCGCCTACATATTCCTGGGAATTTAAAGACTGCACACACACAGGGCTCTTGCATGCCCAGGAAAGAACCATGGAAGAAGAAGGTTCTAATGAGTCACTTCTGGCTGAATGTGAGGCCCTGAGCAAGCATGAAGTGAAAGGTAGGGCTGTCTTACAAGCTTCCTAAAGTTCAAAGGCGTGCCTTTCTCTTACTGATCCCCGTGGCAAAGGGAAAAAGACACGGAGGCAAGGCATTTACAGTGCCCAGGATGGCCTGCTGTTCCCCTCAGTTTGACTAAACTTGAGGCTGGCATCTTCCGGGCTCTAGGACCCTGATCTCCTGTTTCTTAGAGCATTTACTTTAGAAACATTATAACCATGAATTCTTTCTCTACCCCCTTAAGATGTAAATCTTTCTAAAAGCCTCTTGCCACAACCCAGGAATGTCTACGTCATGGACCTGGGAGCCATCCGTTTGAAATATAATCAGAGAGGAAGACAGTGCTCCTATCTGGAGTCTATGCAGAAGGCTAGGAGGCTAACTTTAGCAGGCTCTCCCTGCTCCAAGTTGCAAAACTACATCCCATCACAAAGATATGAAAAAGTTTGCTTTGCCTCTCACTGAGTCCAATTAGCAAATATATATGTGGCCTATGACCTCCCTACCCCAGCTCTCAAAAATTCTCCAGACTTTTCTTTCAATGGAGCACAAATTGAGTTCTGATCTCTTTCTCTTATTGTAATAGCCTTGAATAAAGTCTTTCTTGCTTGGTTAACTTATGTCCAGCATAAATTTTGCTTCAACAAAGGAAATCTTCTGACTGATTATTGGCTGACCACTGAATTGGACTGATCCAGAAGTATCACCAAGAAAGCCAGGCTTAAAATTGAACAAAGAACTTACAAAGGGGGGGTATCAAAGAAATCAATGACCAAACACCGCAAGAGAATATAGAATCTACAGAATGAAACAGAAGAATTGCTAAACAAATAAGCAACTACAAGTAAAACAACAAAAACAACAACAATGAAAACCCAGTAAGAACAACAAATCCTGCTGGGCATGGGGGAGGGATTTTATGCTAAAGTTGTTACAATTTATTATCTAAAATATCCAGTTTTCAATAAAAAATTAAGTCATGGGAAGAAATATGAAAGTATGCCACATACACAGGAGAAAGTGCAGCCAACAGAAAATGTAGCTGAGGGGACTTGGTATACAAGGACTTTGAATTAGCTACTACAAATATGTTTAAAGAACTAAAGGAAAGCATACATAAACAATTAATGGAAAAGTATGACAATGATGTCGCACTAAATAAATAATATCAATGAAGTCAGGCCGGCCTGGTGGCACAGTGGTTAAGTTCTTGTGCTCCACATTGGCAGCCTAGGGTTCATTGGTTCAGATCCCAGGCACAGACCTATGCACCGCTCATCAAGCCATGCTGTGGCAGGCATTCCACAAATAAAGTCGAGGAAGATGGGCACAGATGTTAGCTCAGTGCCAATCTTCCTCAGCAAAAAAGAGGATTGGCAGCAGATGTTAGCTCAGGGCTAAGCTTCCTCAAAAAAAAAAAGAACATCAATAAAGAGAGAGAATTTATTTAAAAAGGAATCAAATAGAAATTCTGGAGTTGAAAATACAATAGCTAAAATTAAAGATTCACTAGAGGGACCAGGCTCAACATCAGATTTGAACTAGCAGATGAAAGAGTCAGCCAATTTGAAGATAGGTCAATAGATATGATCTGGTCTGAATAACAGAAAGGAAAAAGAATGAAGAAAAGTGAACAGAACCTCAGAGACCTGTGCGACACCATCAAATATCCCAACATACATATAACTGGAATCTCAGAAGGAGGAAAGAAAGAGAAAGGGGCAGAAAAATACCTGAAAAGTTAATGGCCAATAACTTCTATACTGAAAACTATAAAACATTGCTGAAAGAAATTAAAGGAGATCCAAAGAAATGGATGGAAAGACATCCCACGTTCATGGATCAGAAGGCTTAATACTGTTAAGATGGCAATACTACCCAAACTGCTCTAAGATTCAACGCAACCTCTACCAAAATCCCTGTAATAATTTTGCAGAAATGGACAAGCTGATCCTAAAATTCTTATCAAATTCAAGGGACCTAGAATAGGCAAAACAATCTTTAAGAAGAAGGATGTAAAATGCCACATATTGTATGATTTCATTTATATGAAACGTCCACATTAGGCAATCCATACAGACAGAAAGTAGATCACTAGTTGCTGGGGCTCAGGAGGTGGAGACAAGGGCAGAGAATGACTGCCAGTGGGTATAGTGTTTTCTTTTGGGGCAATGAAAATGTCCTAAAATTTTATTGTAGTGATTGCTGCACAACTCTATGAATATACTAAATGCAATCTAATTGCTCACTTTATTTTTTATTGAAGTATATTTGATATATAACATTGTATAAATATAAAGTGTTCAACATGTTAATATACAACATTTATATACTGTAAGACAATTGCCATTGTGGCAATATTTAGCACCTGCTCACTTTGGTGAATTTAGCAACCCACTTTATTAACACACTCAGAGGTGTTGTGGCTGCTTGGGCTACCATGCCTGATATTTTGACATTTATCCATTTAACTAGCATCACGTAGATACAAGCACAATACATATATGACAAGACAAAAGTAACAATGAGGAAAATAGTCCTTGCTGCAAATGGCAAAAACACACTCACTCGTATGTGGGTCTGGTCTGGGACCACCCGTACAGGCTGTGCACATCGTAGTGCCGCACCAGGGAGCCATCTGGCAGGACCTGCTGACTCTCCATGCACAGGGTTTTGCTGCTCAGACCCTTGTTCCTGGACTCCAGATCTGAGAGGAAATGCTGAGTTATTTCCTGAACAACATGACTTGCACACTCCCTAGAAATGCCCATCATTTCAATCAACAACCTTGTTACCAGTTAACAGTTCCAATTTCAAGACTTTTTTGTCTACAAAATCAATGTCCTGTGACTTTATAGCTAATGAAATGTAAGGACAGGGTATGGAGCTGGGAAATGCACCTCTCTTTTTGTGCCCTCTCTAACATTTGTAGAGAGCTGTCAGAGAGCACTGATGAACATAACTCATTTGTTGTTATGACTGTCTCTTCCTCTAGATGGTAATGTTCTCAAGGGAATAGTTCTTGTTTCAATCAACTTTGTATTAATGTTGCTAAATTTTTCTGATTTGTCAGCACTTGCCTGATACACAAATATTAAATTAAAGGAGGAAGGAGAAAAAGGAAGGAAAGAGGGAAGAAAGGAAGGGAGGAAAGAAAGAAGGAAATGAGTTAGTGAGCAATAGGATGCATAGCAGTGAACTAGACGTCAAGAAACTTGAATTCCAGATTACATCCCACAAATTACCGGTATAGTGCTTTTAAGAAGGTGAATCACTTCCTTCTATACTTTTCTGTATAGTGAGAGAGTTCAACTTTCTGAGACCCTTCAAACCAGGTCCTGTGATTCTCTATTTCTGTTTATATCAGAGGAGAACCAGAGAGCATCCTTCATGAAGTGTCTGTGACCATGGGCAGAGAGAATGCAAAGACTAGATTTTTATTTTCTAATCAAAAGAGCATGTGTGTATAGTGTGTGTGTGTGTGTGTGTGTGTGTGTGTGTGTAGTGTGTAGGGGTTATTTAAAGTTTTAGCAATCAATTCGTAGTTATCAGTGTAATCAGATGCATCAGGCATTTCCTGTTTATTTTCATACCACATCATGTCATCATTTCTATGCTTGATTAGTAATTTATTTATGTGAACTTATTCAAGGTTGTTCTATTTGGGATTTTATGTCATGTTTAAGAGTGTTTTCTCTCTCCGAAATTAGGCTTCACTTTGAGAATAAAAGAAACTTTCAGAGTTTTTGAGCAGAGTAGTAATTTGATAAAGTAATCATTTTACATACACGGCACATAGGGTGGATTATTAAGAGTTTCATCTCTGCAGCCCCAGACAGATCCATCCACAAAGTTCGATGGTTCATTCATATCCTGCAATGAGTTAGAAAAAAAGACTCCATGACGTCGGGGACAGTATAGCCCTTGCTATGGAGGACACTGACTTCACGGAGATACATATATCTTACTGAAGCCCTCACATCAGCTGGTCACTTCATTGACTCTGTTTAATCTCAGGCATCAACCTGAATGGACTCTAAGAATTCATGTTGGTTTAAGGAGAGTGTTAAAGTCCTAGTTTACCTGGCATATTTAAACTCAGGAGAATCATTTCATAGTGGGAAAATATTGAGATTATGCTAGACACATGACCTAAGGAAATCTCCTCTTGATTCGTCTCTCCGACACAAGAAGCTCATCTTGGTTTTTCTATAAGTGGATTACTTACTTTTATCTGTGGCCAACGCTGACTATTGTCTTCCCTTACTCTTTCTCAGTCCCATAGCTTAGACTAATTCTGAAGTCAGCCTGGACCAAGCACAAGGAGGAGTGTCTCACTTTCTGCAGTAGATGCAGTCCTGAGAAGATGTAGGTAACTCAGAAACTGGAAATCAAATAATACTTGCAGGGATTTATTACTTAAATGCTAGAAATCGAGATTCCTGAGGTAAACATTCACGGCCTATTTTATCAACAGTGTTAAAATTTTGTGTATTGGACTACCTTAAATAGTACAAAGAAAGCCAAAGGTAAGTATTTTGGGAACTACTATTTCCCTCCAGTGCAACAAATGTCCCTAAGTTGTCAGTATCTCTTCCTCAGAGTGACCCACGTCTCCGCAGGCTTGGGTGAATCTGTGCCGTTTCACGTGTCTGCTCTGTGCCTATCTATCCTCAAGGTGTGAATGGCCAGGGAATCCCCAGGGCTGCCAGCGGGCTTAGAGGTTTGTCTCTGGATGGATCACAGGCTTCTTTCAGCCTGGCCCAGAACTGAGAAGATTTTCAGAGCTGGCCTTGAATGTGCTCAGGATTTCAGGCCACTGGACAATGGGGAAGGAAATTAGGACACTGATGTGCTTCCCATCTCTAGAAAAGCAAAAGTAAAAGAGCCTGTTGACACATGTCCCAGAGACATCTCAGGAAGCCCCGTTCTTCTAACACGAGTAATAAATGTCTGAAGAGGTCTTTCAAGCCATTCCTTCAGAGGAATCTGTACTTGCACTGTGGTACAGAATTTCCATATGGTATATGGATTTTGTCTCATATTCATGCCTTGTCCACCCCCAATTCTGTTCTGTATCACAGATGGGCTCTCAGACTCCCTTAGCAGTGGCCCCTGGATAGGTTTGGCCAATGGGAGGCACTGGCAAGATATCAGAGGGGTGGGACATGAGAGAAGCTAGGGTATTTGTCCTTCACTCTCTTTCTCTGACAGCATCTCCAGTGGTGGCACATCTCTTCCATGGGCTCCAACTTCCACCAGACAATTTGTGCCTGGGCAGACTGCAATTATCTCTGCTTGTCCTGGTGGTGCCCAGCACCTCAATTCTGTAACAGCATCTCTCCCCTTCATTCCTCCAGCTCCAGCTCCCTCCATTGCTAGTTTCTGAATTGCCTCCCCATGCTCTGACTGCTAACATTTCCAAAGAAAAACCACTAAGGGTGCACTTACAATCCACAATCCATCAAACTTCAAGCTCTTTTCTGGCTCTCGAGGGTTTGTATAGAGCTCTTCTATTTCCTTCTTCCACCATGTGGCTGTGCTATTACGCAAGAAATCAGGAAAAGCAACGTAGGCTCTGTACAGCTGTAAGAGTAACACATACTCTCATGTTGGGTCTCAGTCTGTCCAGGAGGGGGAGTGTGGGGACCAGGAAGGGGAGATGAGCAGGTGCTTGTGAAAGGCACTGCCCCACTCAGTGTGTGATCTAACCTCAGGTCTGCTTCTCTGCACAGAGTTTACTGAGGACACAAGAGACCAGGGAAGGCTAATTTCATTCTTTATTTTCCTACAAGGTTAGATAGTCTTAAGTCCCTTTTAAACATGGGATTCATTTTATGACTGGGGTATTTAATCATATGAACTGGAAAATTAACTGTCAGTGTCTAAACAAACAAACTTTAGAGATGCAAATGCTTTTTCTACACGGGCCAAATGAAGGAGACCAGTCATCCAGGGAAAAGTGAGTTGTAGAGTGGAGGGGATGCCAGATGCCCAGGCTGATGGGGCATCAAGTGCTGAGATCAAGGACATTAATCCTTTTAACTGGCTTACATTTTCTTTTATACATAGACAATTCATTAAAACCCAGTCTGTTTATAACCTCTCCAGTGAAAATATTTTAGACTTTGGTTCATTATTTTTCACGCCATAGTAGATTCAAGCAAAACACAATCCATTAAAGGCACACATGTGAGGGCATTTCATTCATGATTTCCTTCTACACATTTCCAGTTTAGTTGCGTGCTGAGTTTTCCATTGGAGGATCTTTACACTCAACTCAGAGCAACATAACCAAACATCGGGATAAAACTCATAAGAAGCCAGATGTTTAGGACAATGTAGATAAAAATTTGTGTGTAACTATACCTCAACCTGAGTTTCCTGGTCAAGGGATCCATCCACAATCACATTGGGCAGATCTGGCCAAACCTAGAGAAAAAGAAGAAAAATTAAAACCTTTAAAAGGCATTCCATACAGACCATGAGATGTTTCACATGTTAGACTCTAATGACATGCATCTCCATAAAATTCTTGCCATTAATTAAATTGCAAACTCTAAATATACGAAATTCTGTTAGGTGAAAATAAGATGGGGTCTCTTGACTCATCCCATAAGTTTTCAAAATTTCATTTTTGAACTTGAACTATCACCTTTCAAATAATTACTCAGCTATCTGAGATGCCTGTCATAGACCTATAACAAAATTCCCTTTGTAAATAACAAACGTGAAGTGTGACTCTAAAGAAATAAAGTTGATTTCCATTCACAACCCATAAACTTAGCCTCCATACTTTAAGCAGCATCATGATGTATTGGGGACCCCAAGTATATGAAACACTAAAAAATCCATAGTATCAACCAACTTCATCTATAATTAGAAAGACATTAACAATACACTATACGTTGATTAATTCATTCATTCAGCAAACACTTATTGAGCACTTACTATACACCAGGCACTCTTCTACAGTCTGTATTTGCTGAGAGTTAAGTAAGAAATAGTCCTTGTTTTCTAAGAGTTCACAGCTGGAACGTAAGTGCTGAGTAGTATGCTACATTGTCTGAGTATACAGAACAACATAGAAAAGGAAGAAATAGGGAGAGCTAAACTAGTCATAGAATACTTCATAAGAGGGAATATTTGAGTTGGTCTTGAAGAGCAGATATTATTTGGGTAAGCTGAGAAGGCAACATTCAAAGACACAGTGAGCATGGCTGTATCCAGAGCAATAGGAAGCAATATAGTGTAATGACAGAGCAGAGTTTGGCTCAGAGCTACTGGCATCTGGAGTCAAGAAGTTCGCCTAAAATCCTGTTGCTGTAAACCAAACAATGAAGATAAGAATTGAGACCACAAAAAGGAATTATGGGAGATAAGAGAAGAAGGATAATCTGTAGGATCTAATGATTTATTTAGATATGGAGGCTGAGTATGCGTCATACGTCAAAGATGAGTACAAGTTTTGAGTGTGAGTGACTGGGAGCCATAGATCTCAGAGCCATTCTCAAGGGATGCTTTATGTTTGCTAAATGGCCAACTGGTATACATAAGGGGTGGGACATCAGAATATTTCCAGACAATAAAACAAAGGTCACTGATATTTTAGAGGATTAGACCTGTAACTTTGGTCTTATTAATGTTTATTGAGCTAATCAGTATCAGAACAATGTCTACTTATTCATGATTTATAAATTACCCAATATAATTTGCAAAAATTTATTAAGAGCCTCTTTTAATCAAGTCATTGTGATGCTAATTAATTATAGGCATCTTCTCCAAAGCCTCACCTTTCCCCAGACAATATCACTGTTGTCAGGCCATTTGATGAATACGTTGTTTTCCTGCCCTCTGGTGAATGTGAGATACTGGGTCTCATTGCCAGAAATGGCTGGGTCCTGCAATGAGAGGGTTTAAAACTCAAACATGAGAAAAACATATTCGAGGAAATTCCCCTCCAAAATTTTAACAATTCACAGTGCAGAGAGAAATAGTGAAACTCAATACCAAATAAAACAAAAACAACAAAACACAACCCATGGATAATTTGCCTTATGTCTAATGGATAGTTCAGAGGTAAAAAAAAAATATATATATATATATATTGATGTTTCTCTATAAAATTCTTGAAGATAAAAGCATACTAATGTATGAAAACAACTCCTGGAGATAAACTAGGTTAATATGACATTGCCTTCAAGTGGACAAAGCCAATTTATTGTGTTTCCACAGTGTAATAGCAATATTCCTTAAGAAGATGAAACTTCTTTCTTCTATTCTGTGGTCCAACTTGTCCGTCTAAAGTGGTCTTCCCATTGACCCATCCCATACCTGCCCCAATTACTCTCTATAATAGTATCCTGTTTCACAATGATCATATAAATCATTACTATCGGAAATTATCTTTTATTTATCTGAGAAAGATTAGACCTGAGCTAACATCTGCCACCAATCCTCCACTTTTTGCTGAGGAAGATTGTCCCTGAGCTAACATCCATGCCCACCTTCCTCTACTTTATATGTAGGACGCCTGCCACAGCATGGCTTGATAAGCGGTGCATAGGTCCACGTCCGGGATCCAAACCTGCGAATCCCGGGCAGCCAAAGTGGAGCAGCGTGAAGTTAACCACCACGCCATCAGGCCAGCCCCTGAAATTATCTTTTGATAGTGTTTATTTATTGGCTGTTTCCCTCCAATAGAATAAAATCCCTATAAGAAACAGGACATACAAAAGTCAGCAAATAATGTTCTAATTGTTGAAAGCTAGAAGGGAGGACCATTTGCTGGTAACTACTTCTGTCTTCATCAAGACACAGCTTCCAATGTAAAATAATAGGTTGGTATCCTAGACCTTAACTCAGTTGTTTGTGAGTTTAGTTAACAAGAAATAAATCCCCTAAGCCTCACCATTTCTGGCTAATGGCAAAGGTAATGGTAACTTGAGAGGTTTTTGAACCCCTTATGGTAAAGGTGAGACCAAGATACAACTATACCCTCTGAGTACAGCCTGAAACAGTGAGATTTCAGGGGTTTTTTTTCCCTATATTCAGTGTTTCAGCCCACAGTTCTAATTCTACCAAGAGAGCAGTAATAATGAATTGTATCCTGGTGACACCTGGTTACAAAAAATAAATATTGCAACGTAGCATCTTTTAAAAGCCATTTTTTCATTTGTTCTTTCTGCCTCTGTTTAGTTGCTTTTTCATACTTTTTTCAAAATTATAGATTCACAGAAAGATGCAAAAAACATTCAAGGAGATCTCATGTACTCTTCTTTATCCAGTTTCTCTCAGTGGTACTATTTTTCACCCATGAACATAGAAACAGAAAATGGGATCTAATCTTTCTAAATACCTACCAGAATGAGAATAAATCTCATGCCATCTTTCTTCATTTGCTCAATCAGGAGACCAAGGTTTTGAAAGCTGGAGCTGAGAGTGAAGTCCAGCTTCCGGTCCATGTAATCGATGTCTACATGCTGGACATCCTACAGGAAGGAGCAAGCAAGATGCTTGGGATCCTCAGGGTACACAAGCTGCTCTGCAGGCTCCAGGTCCTGCTGTTTGCTGACCCCACCAGAGTCCCTTGTAATTTCTTATCTCAGTATTTCCCTAGACTGATTTTTCAATTCTCTAGTTGAAATTGCTTTCTGATTCCTGCATCTAGCTCACCTGTCCCCACTCCTTCTCCTTCTGTTCCCCCAAATGGAATTCTCTCTGCTTTCTTTCCCTTAATTCATGTCTTTTCCACTCTTCAATCTCAGACTCAGTGAGCTTATCAAAGTGCTAGTTACATGTTCAAGGATAGAAAGTAGGACTTTCCTAAGAACAAGAAAAGATTGTATATCTGTTTCTTTTTCTCCTCCAGTAAACCTGACTAAATTTATTCACATTTAGAACTACCTTATTTTATAGTTTTCTAGAATGTATTTATTTCCATCATCCCCACTTGACTGGATGGTCCTTGAGATGAGAATCTTGTCTTCCTTTTTCTCTATACACTACCAACCTAGATTTCTGCAGATCAAAGTCACTCAATGAATGATGTTGAATGATGGCTAAAGTAGTTAATATCCAGTTGAAAAAGGGGATGATTCATTTTGGCCTGAAGGTAATAATCATCTGTGTTGCCTTAAGACTCTAAGAAAAACTTGCTTGAGGGAGCAGAGACTTGTGCACAAGCCGAAGCTTGGAAAAGAACGAACCAAGATATTAGCATTGATTGCCTTGGTGAAGCAGATCTATGAACGTTTTTCAGCTTTTAACTTTTCAATCTTTTCTAATTTATGTTTAGTTCAAGTATCTAGTATAGTAGTATATAAAAAGAAAAAATTAAGCCTGGATGAATGTTGCAAATTATCTTTTATAAGAACACCATAACAATTTATTTTATTCTCATCTTCCAATCATTAATTATCATCTAATATCTCAGGAGGTGAATTGAAAGCAGATAAAAAGAATGTGTGGGGGCTGGCCCCGTGGCCGAGTGGTTAAGTTCGCGCGTTCCACTGTAGGCGACCCAGTGTTTCGTTGGTTCGGATCCTGGGCGCGGACATGGCACTGCTCATCGGGCCACGCTGAGGCGGCGTCCCACATGCCATGGCTGGAGGGACCCACAGCGAAGAATATACAACTATGTACCAGGGGGGCTTTGGGGAGAAAAAGGAAAGAATAAAATCTTTAAAATAAAAAAGCCACACGGCTCTTTAAAAAAAAAAAAAAAAAAGAATATGTGATGAGAAATTGATCATCCTAAGAGGAGAAAGAGCATGCTGTTTGTGGAATTCTGCTTGTTGACTGCAATTGCCTGCACTTCCAGGGACTCACCTAGGGGACAGGTTGGCATTGCAGGATATGCATATGTGCATGTGTGTATTTAACAGAAAGCGAAGGCTTGATTTTAACTGATTTCTTTTCTATTGTCACTTTATATCCATCCTCTCCAAGAACAGTCACAATATAATTCTCCTAAAATTGTCATAATCTTGACATGATTATCATTTAGAAGTCCTCAAAGTCATGGCTTAAATCCTGCCATGGCTACCATAGGATATTCCTGGCCAGAGGCAGTGAGTAATAACATCCTCCAGACACACCGCTAACTGCTGAAGGATTTAAGCAACTCTCAATTTTGAATCCTAAATTTAAAAGAGTGGCAGGAAATTAAAATAAGCAATGTTTCCACACAGGACTACCTCCACATCTACTTTTTCTTTATACTGAACTAGTCACCAATAATTTTTATGAAGATATTTTCAATCTATAATTAGCCACAAATTCCTATAACTAATTAAACCACAGGCTAAGTGACAGTTTCATACATAGGGAATCTGGGCTGCCATCATTGCATCATACAAATTGGAGATTTCAGTATCATTCTGGTATCCATAGCGACTCAGCTGGAATCCCAAGGCCCAGTAAGGAATCATTGCCGGCCGACCGACCAACTAGAATAAAAAAGAAAAATGGATCCAAGTAGACTTCTTTGGGAAGAAAAGATGGTTAGCTTACACTCAAAGCGAATTGAGCACTTCTACTGAGTACTGTCTGATCTAAGAGGCTTTACTAGAGAAAAATAAGAAAGTCGAATAAATGTGGATAGCCATGGAGATGTAGTAAGATAGAAAGTCTCCCTATATTCTGGAGCTTTCCACTCTAGGGACTCTGAGAACTCAGTGGTTATTACTGATTAGTGATTCTTAGAAAGGCTATTTAGCAAATAATAAGAGACATATGGGATATCAATATGCTTTGATAGCCCCTTAACACTAAAACCTGTCTTTCAGAAAAGACAACAATAATGTAGGCAGGACACCCAAGGGACTTAAGAAAAAAAAAAATGGCCTTTCTCAGTGCTAAGAACGTGGTAATACTCAATAAACATTTGATAGTTTATCAATGGATAGAATGACTTCCAACCTCAGTGTATTGCTGAGTTACAAGCTCCGGAGTTGGTCCCAAAAACATATAAAAGTCCAAAATCCCTCCTGTGGTGCGGTACGTCAGGGCAGGAGTGGGCTGGAATGTCACATCTGTTAAAAAAAAAAAAAGATAGAGGAGGAGGAGCATCCTTGGAACTGTAAATCATCCTATCTGGGAATCTGCCCTAAAATTTGCTGTTTTCACTCTCTTTCTTTAATGCCCACCTCCTCTAGAAAGTCTTCTCTCACACTGTGGAATCAGAGATGAATTTTCAGGTACCCCAAACATAATCTCAAAGTCAACATCTTAAATCCTTCTGTGAAAGGGAGCCAAAGTATCATAGTAGAATAAGGTCATATAAGAGTAGGCCATGTTTAGTCAAAATTTTACCCTTACTACCTGTCCTAGCGCTCTTAAATCTTAAATGAATGAATAACTAAAGGAATGGAAGGTCAGTTTATTTGTCCTGTTTCCTTTGCCCTTGAATTTCTCTATTTCTATCGATATTCCAGGTACTAATAAAGTGGTCACAGCTGTCTACGGTGGTAAGGGCAATGTGCCTCTATCTTACCCATGGCATTGCTGTTTAGCAGGAGCACTCCATGGGCACTGCCATCCTCCTCCAGTGCCATATAGTAGGGGTGGACACTATAGGAATTCTTCTTGTACTGGGGGAGTCATGGGAGAGAGCAAGAGGGTAATCAAAAAGAGAAAATCCAAGAAACTGTTTCCACCTCATAAACCAGACAGCAAACTCTACTCAACACTGAAGTTTCAGCAGAATGTCATGTCTTTTGTAAAGCCTTTCTTGACACCCCCTTCCATCCCAAGTGAAAAGCTAAGCGTCCTCCCCGCCACGTTCTTTTTGTTTATTATTACACAATTCTATTATAGCACTGATTACATTGTGTTACCATTATTTCTGTATCTCTCTGTCTTACTAACCTATAAGCCTCTGGAGAACAAAGACTGTGTTTTATTAAATAAGACAGTGTCTTATTCTACGTGTACCTGATACATAGAACATATTAAATAAAATTTTATGGGGGCCGGCCCAGTGGCACACATTCCACTTCAGTAGCCAGGGGTTCACTGGTTCAGATCCCAGGTGCAGACATGGCACCACTTGGCAAGCCATGCTGTGGTAGGTGTCCCACACATAAACTGGAGGAAGATGGGCACAGATGTTAGTTTAGGGCCAGTCTTCCTCAGCAAAAAGAGGAGGATTGGCAGCAGATGTTAGCTCAGGGCTAATCTGCCTCAAAAAAAAAAAAAAATTTATGAACTAAAATCCATAGTCCACAGAAAATATATGTGTGTGTGTGTGTGTGTGTGTGTGTGTGTATTTCCATAATATTTGGGTTATTTCATCTGAGAGCAGAATTTATCAATATAAGGTGAAGTTGATTAATATGGCACCACTTATGGGCATATAGAATAAAGTAAACTTACCTAGAGAGAAACTGATTGATAATCTTATTTTTCTGTGCTTACCGCTGGTGGCTCATCTCGAGCAAACATTCCCCACATGTGCCAGCTCATGTTTCTTTTGAAAGCTGTGTGCTCAGTTTCCCCAAAGCCATAGATGTACTCAGAAGGGAGGCGAGTAGAAATGGACAGGAACATATCATTGAAGGTGAAGCCGGGGAGCTGAGAATCCCAGCTGCAACACAAAGGCATACAAACCAAAACAAACTAGAGATACATTTAGGATGTCTAGTTGATTCAGAAGCCTCCTGAATGACTGCACATCTGGATCCAGGTTCGGATACTGTGAAATGACCCAGGTCATAACTACAGCCATGATTCACTACCAAGGTTCTGTGTTTGCATCTTTATTCTGTAGTGTGGAAGACTGAGAACTCCTTTTCTGGGTCACGAGCTCCTTGAGGGCAAGGACCATGTCTCCCTCATCTCTATTCTAGTTCTCATTGCCTGGCATATCAGCTTGGAGAAATGTCTGAATAAATGAGTATGGTCTAAGCAAATTTTCTGATAGAAAAGTAGGAAACTCTTAGAACAACTTTTCTGGATTGGCCAAGGAACTTCTTACCCAAAAGGGCAACAGACAGAAAATCAGACACATGGTCAAAGAGAGCTGAAGATTGTCCACATGTGCACACAGGTAACAGTTTCTCCTAGAAGGAGGAACTTCAGCCAAAGGCAAAATTCAGAGCTTTACTGCATTCCATTCAGCAGCTGGACAAGGGATGAGAGATGACAACTCCTTTCATGCTTACCATTGTGAAAAGGCTGTAAGTGTACAGTGTCAATAGAAGCAAAGACTAAGAAACCACTTCGCTCTCTGTAGTAAACTTTACCCCTTTTTCCTGACGCTCCTGTTGTTATTTCTTAATGAGGTGTGTATAGAACTGATTTCTACCTTATGTTACCTGTTGTACTTACTGAATAGAGTTTTCTGTTCTACTTAACAAGAGGAAAGAGTATAACATGTATTTTTCTCTCTCTGAAATCAAACAACACTTAGTCTTTTGAAAGCTTTGATTAATTTTTCTTGTTAAGTTAATGACTAATAGAAAATGAAATCCCCATTGAAGCAGGGAAATAGATATACTTTCTGCTGAACAAACACACGCATATTTACATACAGTCTCTAAGATTAATATTTCACTTGCATTAATTAGAACCACTGTAATTAGATCTAGGATCACTCTAATTACAACCAAAGACGTAGTGCTTACATCACAGTATTGGAGCTTTTTCGTCGAATCTGGATCCCGAAAGGATTGTTCTGAATCCTGACATCATACAGACGGTTTTCAGGGGAGCCAACTGGAGAGGGAGGGGTGTTCAGAGGCACTGGGACCTCATACCTTTTATTCCTGGGGTCATAGATCTGACAAGGAGAGAGAAGGAAACTTTCTGACAGAATCTCAGACCTAAAGCCCTCCCATGCCAGCCCATATAATTCAGTTCCCATGTTTTCTGCCCAGTTTGAGTCATAGGAAGAAGTATCAAATATCCCAAAGCAAATATATGTGAGGTCTACCCATCTACCGTGCCTGATACAGATTCTGAACTGCAAAAATGCCTCAGTAATACCCATTCAAAGTCAGAAAGGGAACCTCCTTTAAAGAATCTGTGATTTAAGGGTATCGAATCTCGTGGACAGAATGTGGGTGTGTGTTTATAAGTGTGTGGCATGTGAACACGTATGTGTGTGACTGTGTAACATTATGTGAGCATGTGCTTCTATATTAGAAATTAGAGAGCTGAATTTTCCTATGGACTCTGAGGTCTTCTTACTGGTTGAGCTTCCAAATGTTGCACAGCTTGTCATTCCTAAAATCACTCTTTGGCACCAACCACTTGTTCCCACCTACTTAACAGGATTGATGTGTGGGGAAAATTGAGAGGAGTGACCAGTGTTATGCAAGATCAGGAAGTATTACATCATGAGAGAGCATCCTCTTCCTCATAATATTATTAGCCCATATATTACGATTAGGAGAAGTTTTGTCTAAAGCCTTGCTTCTCAAAATTGTGTTTTTCAGACCAAAAGCAGCAGTATTATCTGGGGCCTTGTTAGAAATGCAGAATCTCAGGCTCTACCCCAGACCTTCCGAGTCTGAGTCTTCATCTTTAGAAGATCCCTAGGGTGATGCAGCCAACATTAAATTGTGAAAAGCAATGTCTACATCCAAGCTGTCCAAGGTGGTATCCACCAACCACATGAGGCCATCAGGTACTCCAAATGTGCTAGTCTGAACTGAGGCTCGCTATAAGTGCAAAGTACAACCCAGATTTTGAAGACTTAGTAGGATTAAAAGATTCTAAAGTATCTTAATTGTGATTGGATTGCATAGTGATATGATAATATTTTAGGACACTGATTAAATAAAATGCTTTTCAAATTAATTTAGCTTAATTTTTTTCAAATACATTTTTTAAAATACGGCTATCTAGAGAACATATGTGGTTCACATCGTATTTCCATTAGAACAGAGCAGTGGATCTCAAAGTGTGGCCCCTCACCTTGCAGCATCAGCATCACCTGGGAAGTTGTTAGAAATGCAAAGTCGTGGGCTAAGAAACGCCGGGGGTGAGGCCCAGCAATCTGAGTTTTAGCAAGATCTGCAAGTGATTCTGATGCATGCTAAAGTTTAAGAACTGCTGATAGAGAAATAACTCTAATGTTGGGAGTGAGTTTACGCCACTCATATGGGATTACCACAGTGCAGACACATTTTTCTCAGGGCTAAGCGATTATCATTTGAGGATGTTTATGACTTAAGAGAACACATCATTATAGGAAATTCGCAATCCTGATGGATCTAAGGTCACATCCCAGCTGTAATATTTCCTAAGTTTCTGCCTTTTACATCTCTGGGCCTCAGCACCCTCATCTGTAAAATGGAGGATTTAGACTAAAAGATATTTCAATGACTTCCATCTGCACGGAGCTGTAAGTTTGGAACTCCATGTTGAGGATCAGAATCTGCAACACGGGATTACCTTGAACTGCAGCATGTTTTCTGTGTGGTAGATGACGCTCAATTGGAGGAAGTCAATCTTTGCAGAGAGATCATCAGCGGTGGCTGCTGCTGCTGCAGGTGGGGGTGGCATACCTCGTGATGATGGTGGTGGTGGTGCCGCTGCTCCCACTGACTCGGGAGCTGTCAAGAGGGCAAGGTCTGTGGTGATGCCCGTGGGCAGGTACTGAATGTTACTGGCTGCATAACTAGGGATGGTGTCGTAGTAACAGGTGGGCACACCAGGAGTAGTTGTGTGCTGGAACAAGAGGAGGAATTCAGTCAGCCTCTGACACCACACTCGGAGGCTCTACCTACTGAGGAAGTTGGTTAACACAGAGTAAGTCTCACATCATGCCCATTATTATAGGTTAAATCACGTTCAGAAGATGTAAAGTCCTAACCCCTGGTACCTATGAATCTGAGCTTACTTGAAAATAGGGTTTTTGCAGATGATCAAGTTAAATGAGGTCATTAGGGTGGGCCTAATCCAATATGACTGGTGTCCTTATTAAAAGGGGAAATTTGGACACAGAGACAGAAATGCACCCAAGGAGAATGCTACGAGAGGATGGAGGCAGAATTCGGGGTGATATTTTTATAAACCAACAAACACCAAAGATTGCAAGAAAACCGCTAGAAGCTAGGAGAAAGAAATGGAACAAATTCTCCCTCACAGCCCTTAGAAGGAACCAACCCTGTTGACATCCTGATCTTAGACTTCTAGCTCCCAGAACTCTGAAATAACAAATTTCTGATGTTTTAAATCGCCCAGCTTGTGGTACTTTGTTGTGGCAGCCCTGGAAAATGAATACATCCATTAAAACACACATACATATATTGGCCTCCTGTAACGAGTGAGTAGCAAAGGGCCAACAGGAAGCCTGATCTGAAGACAGGAATCCTGAGGCAGGGCTCTGCTCCCAGGGCTCCTATTGGTCCCACTGTGATCTGGAGGAAATCACATATTTTCTCTGGTTTTCCTTCTCTCTATTTTTCATGTGGAGAGAAACAGTTGTACTTTAACTTCCTGCTTGGACTCTCCAATAGATTAAAAAAAACACAAAATACTCAATGCACAATGCATACCCAATGTATTATTGCTATGGCAAAAAAAAAAAAAAAATGAGGTTTTAAATGTTGTGGTTGGAGGAAAGAGAGAGCCAGAGTGGCAATGAGCTTTTTCTGAATCAGAATATCTGAGGGAAACACTGATCACCTATCACACAGAGTTGACAAAATAATGCATCTCTTGGCACAGGATTGTCTTCTTCCTGAAGGATTATTACTGTTCAAACCATCAATGCTCAGAAAGTGTTTTCTAAGTGCCGAATTACTCGCGGGATGGTTTTTACAACTTCGTGTTCACTGTGGTGATCTGCTTTTGATTGTTACCTCCCAAAGGCACCCCCGCTGCCTACAACTCTCCTCGGAGGCACTGGGGTCCTCAGGGTAACAGTTGAACTTCTCCAGGTCACTGACTGGAAGATTCCACCCGATGGAGAATTCTCGTCCCAGTACCAGTCCCTCAAGATCAGTGATGCTCACCACCTGAGGAAAGAGAAAGGAGGCCATGGTGACAAAGGAGGTGAGGTAGAGGCACCTGGATAACGTCCTTCCCTGATGGTTTGTAAGTCAGGACTGGGGGAGCTAACCCTTCATCCAATACCACCTTGCCATGGGATACTTGGAATATTATTTTTTCTCCTCTGGGGCTTTTGACCCTGTACGGAAAATTAACTTGGCTTATTCCGAACCTTTCCCACCTCATGGAGTCACTGCGGAATATTGAATGGGAAGGCTTTGATCATGTTAAGTCGTACAGATCACAGGCAGGGTGATCATTGTCAGACTATTGCTCTCTGGGTATGATGCTCACATATTTTAATAATGATGGCAGTAACAACAATAGCTAGACTTTACTGAGCATTTATATGGGTCAAGCACTGTGATAATCACTTTATATGCATTATCTCTATTAATCTTATAAAGCAATCACATGCTGTGAATAATATGGTTATCTCCATTTTATAAAATAGAAAACTGACATTCAGAGAGGTTTAAGGATTTGCCCAAGATCTCACAGCTAGAGAACAGTAGAGCCAGGATTGGAACCCCATTCTGCCTAACTCTAGAAATCAAGCTCTTATCTTTTGCTTTATGTATTGTCAAAATGGAAGGGTGTTGCCCTAAGAAATAGTGAATTTCCCAGCACTTGAAATAGTCAACTAACAATTAGAATCTTTTGTCAGAGATTATCATGTAAGGGAATCTATTCAATAAGAGTAAAACTGGATTATACCTTGTGTTTTATCCAACTCTCATTTTCTGTAATGGTATAAAAAATAACTATAAAAACAGTAAGGAAGAATATCAACTGTGTCTCAAAGAGAGTCTTTAACTTAAATGAAAGGACAAATGTGTAAATACTGTCCAGAATTAAGCCAATGCATTGAATAATATTTTCACTATATCACATCTGGGATCAGGAAATTTAATTTTAAATTTGCCCGAGAACAACTGCCTTCTTTCAGGGTCCGAACTCCCACTGTCTTCTTCAGAGACCTAACACAAACAAAGCGTAGGGGTCCATATTTAGCATGCACGTGTTTCTCCTTCTGCATCCCCCATGTTATATGGTAGATGTCCCAGCAACCCAGTTGTCTCTCTGACTGCCCAAAATCAAAAGAGCAAGGGACAGCTGGTTGTCAGAATCTCAGGCCAGGGCTTTTGGCAAGGGCCCTGCAGGATGGAATAATCTCTCACCTTTGTTGAAGCACTGTAGACAACATTTGGAATGGGGGTGGCAGCATTATTAAATAAGACAGTAAAATTAGTAGGTTGCTTGTCCATTCCCAAGATTGCGATATTTGTAAACGTGAGGTTGTTAGGATCCGTATAATTATCATTTATAATCTTTGCCTGTAGATGGTTCTGGGGGGGAAAAAGTCAGTTTAGAGATCAGGTACATTACACTCTAATTGTGTTCAAATGCCATCCAACATCTTTCTTTCTGAGATCTAAGTTATGTCCTTTATCTCTGAGGTTCTAAATGCTGCCAGGTGATCATCCCCAGGGAATTTGTTAATGCAGACTCCTAACAGTCCTAAAACCCTTTAATAACATTTTGTGCTTGCTTAGGTTCATTGGTTATTTATTGATTCTATTACTCAGAAAATATGTTCCTGACATCACGGCATTTTCAAGAGGACAAGATGGGTATGATACCGACCCTAATATCAGTTTCCCCAAATTAAACCCAGCATATATGGGGTTAAAACCAAAACACTCATTCCCTGCTTACTCTCTGGCTTCCTGGCTCCAGAATCCACTATCCTCCATGGAGACAGACACCGTCAAGGAGAAGCACCTGGATTATCTCCTCTCCGCAAAGAGATACAGGCTGGTGGGAAAGCTGCTGACCAGTAAGGTCACAGGCTTCCTCCTCTCTGCAAGGAGTTTCAAGGCCAAAGACAGGCTGGTGGGAAAGCTGAAACCAGCAAGGCTATATGCTTTCCCTCCCCTACCTAAAACCCAAATAAAAACCCTTCCTTTTAGCTTTTCGGGGAGTTTAGGATTTCAGCATTAGCTGCCCTCTCTCCTTGTTCAGCACTGTGCAAAAATAAAATTCCTACTTTCTTCCACCATACCCAGTGTCAGAGACTGGCTTGCTGTGCAACGGGTGAGCGAACTCACTTCAGGTTCGGTAACAGGTACTCACAAAGCAAATAAAAAGACACAAGCACAGACAGAGATCTATTGGCACACAAAGGTGTAGACATACACATACACATAAAATAGTGCCCAAATAATCTTTTCATTTCATTTTAATGATAATGACGACAAGAACAAAAATTTATGAATGCTTACTATGTGCCAGGCACAAAACATTTTACATGTATTATCTCATTCACTTCTTAAAGCAAATTATGAGCTTGAAGCTGTAATAATCCCCATTCTTCAGATAAGGAATCTAAGGCCCAGAGAAATTAAATAACTTATTCAGGGGAACACAGTTCAAAAGGAACAAAGTTGAGTCATGACAAAGAAGGTGGAACTGAAGATTGAAGCAAAAAAAGAACACTTTGATGTTTAAAAAGGGTGGGTGTCTCACAAATATGCCCAACTGATTTTTTTTTTTTTTTGCAAAGGTGCAGAGGTGATGCAGTGGAGAAAGGGCAGCCTTTCCAACAAACGTGGCTGGAGCACTCGGCCATACATAGGCAAAAAATTGAACCTCGACCTAAATCTCACATCTTATATCAAAATTAACTCAAGATAGATCACAGACTTAAATGTAAAAGGCAAACTATAAAATTTTTAGGGGAAAATATTTAAGATCTAGGGCTGGAAAGGTTTCTTAGAAACCAAAAAGTATGATCCAGAAAAGAAAAAAATGATAAATTAGACCCACCAAAATTAAAAACTTTTGCTCTGGGAAAGAATCTATTGAGGATAAAAAGAGACACTTACAGATAGAAAGGAAATATTTACAAACCATATATCTAACAAAAGACTGGTATAGAATATATAAAGAACTCTCAAAACTGAACATAAAAATAAGATGAACAATCCAAATAGAAAATGGGCAAAAGAACTGGATAGACATTTCACCTAACAGAATATACAAATGGCAAATAAGCACATGAAAAAAAGGTCAACATCATTACACATAAGAGAAATACAAATTAAAACTACAATGAGATATCACTACACCATTATCAGAATGGCTCAAATAAAAAAAAAAAAATAGCGACAACATCAAATGCTGGTTATGATGCAGAGAGACTGGGTAGCTCACATGAACCCACCCATGAATCTTCATAGCAGCTTAATTTGTAATAGCCCATGACTGGAAATAGCCCAGATGCTCTTTATTAAGTGAATGGTTAAACAAAAGGTGGACATTTACATCTTGGAATGCTACTCAGTGATAAAAAGGAACAGTTGTTGATACATAATAACTTGAGGGAATTATGCTGAGTGAAGAAAGCTAGCCCCCAAGGTGACATGCTGCATGATTCCGTTTACATGACTTTCTTGAATGTTTACAGAAAGTTACAGAAATGGGGAACGGCTTAGTTGTTGGCAGGGGCTAAGGAAGGGGTCAGGGGAGAAGGCGAGAAGGTGCAGCTATAAAAGGGCAGCATAGGGGATGGTTGTGGTGATGGAAATATCCTATGTCTTGATAGTATCAATGTTAATATCCCTATTGTAAAATTGTACTATAGTTTCATAATATGTTCCATGGCGGTAACTGGGTAAGGAGTACAAGGGAACTCTCTGTATTAGTTCTCACAACTGCATGGGGCTCTGTAATTATCTCAAAATAAAAGGTATAATTTTAAAAGCAGTATGAATTTTTCAAAAAGAAGGATAAATAAAGGGGAGAGATCTCCACAAAAGAAATCTCTGCCCATGCACAACCAGACTTCTGAGAAAACCAAATTAGACTTCTCCCATCCTCTGCTAGCCTTACTGCCTTTCTTCCTGTTAGCCTCCTTGAGAAACAGAGATGAGGCAAGTGGTGTTCTGTATCTTCCAATCCCTCAAAACTGTCACTCAATACCCGTGTCAAAGGCTAGGCTTTTGGGGCTGGAAAGAAAGGTCATTACAGAAGAACCTCAAAAAGACATTGCACCACTTACCACCCGCACACACCACACCCTACATACCAGACACACCTGTGTGCCCTCAGATAAGGACACATCTTAGAAGCCAGGACTCAATACCTAAAACTCTAAGGCAATGAGTTTTTTTTTCTAGAAAAAAACAAGTTCTTCGTTGAACTCATATCGATTTTTTATAGGATTATGTATCTAATGCAGATTAAAATTTTAACTTTAATCCATTCTGAGACCATCACAGTCAGGCACTGTGCCAATTCCACATGGCCAAGGATCTACAGCAAATCAGAAACTTGAAAAGCAATCATAGAAAAGAACAAACACTGTGCGTTCCTCAAAAACAGTACTTACAGAGGTGACGGAAAAATCATACAAAATATAATTCTTTTCAGTGACAGCATCTGAAAGAGAAAGAGGAGAATCCGTTACCATAGGAAGCAGAGGAGCTGTGCAATGATGGCTCCTCTTCACCTGGAACACCTCTGCCATCTGATTCCGCTCCCCCAAGTTCTAACCCATTTTTGTCAAACTTCATGGAAGTTTCCTGGACCACTTCAACCCACAGCGACTGCTTCCTTCTCTGAACTCCCATGGCACTTTGTGGTACAATTCCGTGGGGATTTAAAACATTTTGACTTGAATTTGTAATTATCCACATGCACACTGCATCTAGCTTGCTAGACCAGGAATTCCTCAAGGGCAATGTCTATGTCTTATTCATCTTTACATCCCCTGCATACAGAGCAATGATTAAGAGCCAATAAATGTTAATAAATGCTAATTCTATGCAGGGCAGGATTTTTATGTAATCACAGATCATAACCTTATGTGAGGTATTTATATTGAAACATTACAGTGGAAAAACACACTATGCAAATTAGCTACTTTCCCCTCAACAGTAATCAAAGCAGTATTTTACAAATCTATTAACAAAATATATTATTTGATATTAATAATGATACCCACAGAAAAGAATAATTAAACTAAATCCAATAACGTCTGTTGCTTTGATAGAGTCGATAACATAAGTTGCTCATTTGAGGTCTATTTTAATGCACTTTCCTTGGCTGACTCAACTTTCAGAATCAAGTGATTCTAACCATCAGTGATAATAGAGTCAGTGCCATATCGGGCAGCCTGCAATGACTAATTTGCACCAAGATCACAGGGATGGGACCATAAGTAAGTCTACCTTTAGATACACCATCATCCCAGTAGAGTTCCCCCTTTGCTTCTCTCTTATAGTCCAAAGCAATAATGAGTCCAAGGGAATTCTTCCGACTGTAAAAGAGCAATGCTCAGCTTCAGAGAACGAAGAATAGATAGAACTATGTTAAACCAGTCCCCCGCATGCCCAAGGGACAGATAATCTCAGAATCTGTCCCAGACGCTGAGTAGATATTGACCTTGTATGGCACCATGGCAGCTGGGTGTGGGTAGACAGTGGAGGCCAGTAGTGAATGAGCATAAGAGGAATAATAAAGGAGGCAGCTCCTGCTGAAAACTGGGTTTGTGATAATACTATTTGCACTTATTGAGTGCTTACCATGTGCCAGGCACTCTTCTCCGTGATATATATACATTAAATCATTTATATTATTTTCTTTAACCCTTATAATAACTCTAAAGTCAAATTACCATCATCCCCAGTTTACAAATGATTAGCAGAAACACAGATTGTAAATTGCCCATGGTAGTACATCTGGTATGCAGTAGAGCTGGGGCTTGAACCCAAACTTTCTGGCTCTTCACCTTGAAGCTTTGTTGACTTTCACATGATAACCCTTATCTCCGATTTAACTTGAATTCTCTCATGTCTAAAGGAATCTTCTCGAGGACAATTTCCGGCCATAAAGAAATCCTGATGAGTGATTAGTTTTATTATTCTTATAATCTAATTCAATTCAAAGTGAAAGACTATGGAAATGTAACGGAATTGAGGCTACACTTACCTCCCTCTAAAAGAGGACTAAGATATCAATTTAGGGCTGACCTTGAAAGGAGGGGAGGAAGATTAGTGACAAGAGATGTTTTCCAGTTGTTTACCCACTTTTGGTCCTTATTTGCCTCTCCCTCAATGCTCTGCCCCTTAGAGCACCAAAGGAGTCACACCTTGGAAGAGCGAGGAGCTTACCTGTTCTCTGTGGTTGTGTTTGGCTGCTGGGTGGGAAATATGTAGCCCCCTCGAAGGTGAAGTCCTATCTTTTCATCTGACAGTAGCATCTCCACCAATTGTTTCCTCCATTGGATGGCTACTCCCTAACCAACAAAAAGAAAACAGATCAGAGAATAGGCTGTTCGGGCCAGGAGGGACCTTGGAGATCATCTAGTTCAGCTGCCGCATTTTAAAGAAGAGAAAAACGGAGACCCACAAAACTAAAGTGATTTGCCCAAGGCACTTAAGTGGTAGTGAGCAGAGCTGAGACTCCAATCTGCCCTTTTTCTTTATATTACACCATGCCGTGATTCCACAGCTGGACTTTAATTCTCTAGGTTATCACAGCCTAGTGCTAATTACTAGTCCTGACAGCTGCATAGCAGCCAGGTTGCTATAATGAAAATCCCCATAAACCTACCTCAGTTACTCAAATTATTTCATTATACATTTGGAAAGGCCTTCCTCACAGAAAAGTCACACAATGAACTAAACGTAAAGCCTTGTACTATTATCCTACCCCAGCTCCCAAAACAGCAGTCTTAGAATTGCCCTCTGGTAAGGCAGGCCTCTGAGCCAAGCTGAGCTGCCTCACTTACTTACCGTCTCATAGTTATACCAGATGGCATCAGGTATGTATGCTTTCACTTGGGTCACACCCTATGGAAATAGCAAAAATGAGCAACATTAGCATTTCCCTCTACAGTTTACAAAACACCTCAATGTGTGGTTGCATGAGCTTGTCTGAACATTCCTGAGAGATAGTTGGGATCATCCCGTTCTGCAAATAAAAGTACAGACACAGTACTCAGAAAGGCTGGGCAGTTTACCCCAAGCAGAACTGTACCTAGAAATTGCTTGTTTTGCTTTGAGGCTCCTGAACTTCCTAAGAGAAGCAGAGAAAATTCATTCACTGAGTTACTTGTGTAATCTATCACGTGAGAGGAGGCCCAGCCAGCCAGGTCCTCAGGAGTGGCTTCCAGGAGGACCACTTGCTGATTAGCAGGAGCGGCCAAGAGATGGTGTGGCTAAAACGCCAGCTCCAAGGCCCTTTGACATGACTACATTGGCAATCTTTCATGTTTACACATTGATCAGCATAATCCTGATTTCTCCCCCACACTTGCTCACTCACCCCTGCCCCAAATCACACTCACGTAGAGTACTTGTGGTCTTTCATACGTGGCCTCCAGGGAAATGCCCTCTCCTTGCGCAGCACTCCTCTTTCCCTCCCTTGTCTCCTCCCCACCTCCTCTCTTTTCCTAACCCACCCTCAGTAGCACATACCCTCCGGTCAAAGGGAAATACAGACAGATGACCAGTCCAAACTCAGGGAGGCATTTAAAGCCCCTGTTGATGCCATGGCCATGTGCTCACAGACACAGGATTTAAGGCAATTTTGCGAAATGGAAATTGTTTTGCTTGATGGGGCAGTGGGACCAAGAATTACTATTTTTCTAATTTCCAAACTTTCATGATCTCTCTATCATTTATATTCACATTTATATTTAAATACAGCCAGAAATACTCAGGATCCAGCTTATTCAGCTGTAGAGCCAAGAGGTCAAGCGTGATATTCCACCCCATTGTTCAGATTATAAACACACTTCATATAGAACAGGCGTGATGAGGAGTCCAGGCCCCCATAAGAACTGCTCGTGCACCTCCCATGTAGCTGGGTCCTGGTAGAACCTGGAAAACAGAGAAAGGAGGTGAAGCTTCCAATATAGGACAACAGCACCTTATATGGCAACAAGGTCCTAACTAACCTTGTTTGTACTAAAAAGGGAAGTGAAATTATGATCTGAAAGGGAGTCTTTGAGGGTCAGGAAACTCACTCATGAACAAGGGGCCTTGCTACAGTCTCCCCCAGGGTATGAGCGCGGTAGAAGAGGCTGTAGAGATAAGGCAGCAGGGTGTACCGGATGTTCAGATAGTGTCTGGAGGAATTCAACAGCTGAGAGTTTTCACCAAAGGCTGCAGGATCCTGGTCCTAGAAGGAAATCACTAAATATTTCCACCATATTTTTAAAGTTCCCTTCTGATCAGAAGCTTTCTCAATGAAAGTAGCCATATTCTCCAACTTGGAGGACATCAAAGCATTTCCAGAACCAAAAGCATCTTGGTCTTGCTCCTTGATTTTATAGATGAGAAAGCAATATCAAAGATTACATGACTTTCCCAATGTAAAATTGCAAGCAAGTGGAAGAGTTTAAACTTGGCATGTCTTCTGATGCCAGTCTATGGTAGCCTCGGGGTGATGAAGAAGCCCACAGAGGTTGCCATGGAGATAAAGGGGCTATAGTGGGCCTTGCTCCCTCCAGAGCTGCTCCAATTTGTTTTATATAGAGAGGTTTCTCATAACACTTCATTTGGGAAATAATCATGATAATAAGTTGCACGCTTAAAAAAGAATTTTGAAACCCATTGCCTTAAGCCACATTGCCTACCACCATGATCTGCAATCCATCTTTTCTTTTCCATGCACTTTTATTAATTTGTAATTTTAAAATTTATGTCTAGTTTTGCCTTTAATGTTTTCACCATCAAAATTTGTTTTATTTTCTCTATCCCAAAGACAGTGACTTCCATTTGTTCTTCAACATGCAATGTACGAAGAAATCATGAAAACAATTTTTAGCAGATTTTATTCAAGAGCAAAGAAAAAATTCTTCCAAAGGGAAATCTAATTTTCCTAGGATGCAGAAACAAAAATTTTCCATCAGTGATGGGCACTCATTTTGTTCATTTTCCTCATAATTTGAAAGGTGTGAAAGATATGCATGCCACATTTAGACTTGTCATCCTGTACTGTATTATTGGGACTGAATTTTAGAGAAAATTATCTGACTGTTTTCCTTTCTTTTGTTCCCTAACATGCCTATTTCCCCCCTCCAAAAAGAACTACTCCGTGAGACCACTCCACGCCGTCAGTGTAGGGCTCATGAAAACCCTGAGGCCAAATACCAAAGAAAATAGCACTCCACAGCCTCAATCACTCTAATCTCTAAGTGAGAAAGCCTAGAGTTACACTATCCACTATGGTGGCCACGTGCTACATAGGGCTATTAAACACTTGAGATGCGGTCAGGAAGACTGAGGAACTGAACTTTTAATTTTGATTTTAGTTAATTTAATTATAAACCTAAACATTGAATCAATGTAAAATACTTTTTCCATTAAATGTAACTTTATTGTTTTGGTACAATAACATTTTTCTTCAACTGCTAAAAATTTAGCACCCAAATTGAAATGTACTGTAAGTATAAAATGCACACTGAATTTTGAAGACTTAGTAGAAAAAGAATATAAAATACCTCATTAATAAAATGTTGCATTAAACACAGGTTGAAATGATAATGTCATGGATATAATAGTTACATAAAATATATTAAACATAATTGCTCTTCTTTTTACTTTTTAAATTTACATTTAAACTTACATGTCTGGCTCTCATTCTCTTTCTGTTGGCAGCGCTAGTTGAGAGGAAAGGAAAACAAGCACTATATCCTAGCAGCCTGAGTGATGTGAATGCTCTCATCTTCATAAGCCCTTCCAGGCCATCACTTCCGGAAGAGCGCCTGCCCTACCTGCTTCCAGACAGAGGTTCAGAAATAGTTCATCTCCCTGTAGATCACAAATGGTTAGGAGAGCCCAGAGAAAAAAAATACTTTGAAGATTTGGGCGTGAATCTTTCCCGGGTTAGAGACATGTCACTGGACAAAGTCAAGAACTGGGTCTAAAATGATCATCAGTAAGTTATTTTAATGAGCCTATTAGGATCTAAACTGCTCAACTTGAAACATTTCAGTTGCAGATAACTTCATTAAAAGAAAGAGCATCCTACCCTACTTGCTCCTGCCATCATGAAATATCCCCTTAAGAGAGACTTGAATCCACTTCTATATACTTGCTCATCAAAAACATGGTTTGGATAGAAGAGGATAAAGACAGGATGGGTCATGAGAAGCAGTGGGGGACGCTCTCCTAAACCATTCATAGAAAGATAGAATGTTGCAACAAAGTGAAAAAAATTTCAGATCACTGACCTGCCCCTGCCTGAATCCTTCCTTCTTGCTCTCCCACATCTAGGGGTGGTTTCCCTTTTATTAATTGAAGTGACACACCACTGTCCTCCAATTGTCCCATCTAATATAAGGTGGAAACAGAAGTGATAGCAGCACCATAGACACTTGAACAATCTTTCTCACCTTTGTTAGTGAGTTTCCAAAAATAAAAACATTCAATTATATATGTACTCCTTCCCACAAATCCTCACCCTGACACCCTGCTTTTTAGGCTTATGAGCCAAGATTTATATCTATTCTGCTCCTGCACTTAGGGCCAACCTGTGGGATTTTCTTCAACTCCTCCTTGAGACCAAGTAGATTAGATAAGCCAAAAAGTTTCCATCACTACTCTTGGGGGTCTTACCCTGAACTCAGGCCCATTATGATTCCTTGATAGTGGATAAAATGCTCCAAGCTGCATCCACCTTCTGCAGAGTTCTTCTGAGACATCTTCTCTATAACCACAGATGTTGGCACCTACCTGGAGAGTTAGCACACATACAAGCACAGTGGCTGGTGAGAGAGGAGAAAGCATTGACTGTGTACCCACATGATAAGGGAAAAAAAGAATCTCTTATTCCCATTATTCCATGGTTAAAGAAGTGCCAGGCTTTCAGGGCAAGTCCCTAGCCAAATGGAAGAAGGAAGCCAGTGTGCATGATGGGTTGACAAATGAGAGGAAAAGTGATTGTTTTATCAAGGGCTCCTCCTCAATATTCAGTTCCCAATTTCATACTTCGCTATCCACTGATGCTCTGCTGATGGAATTTTTCTGTGATACCAATACATTTTACTCATGGTGTCTCCTTCCTAACTTCAGAGAGTCCATGGATGACAACCCAATGATAAAGTTTTCCCATCCTATCTTCAGAAGGCAGCTCATGATACACATAAAAATTGATTTTTCCAATACCCATCACAGTGAGATATATGCTCCTTGGATTTCAGATACCCTCAAAGACTGGTGATAGAAAGAATGTCAAAAGACAAAGAGTAAAAGTCCCTTGATTGAGAGTGAAACTCACCAGGGGGATGCCAAATAGGTTGAACTCAAGGATACTGGGGATGGACCATCGGAGATCATCCCATGTGGCTGCATTGTCCCCCAACCAATGAGCAACAAATTTGCCAGATCCAGCAAAAGTAGAACGGGATAAAATGAAGTTCCTTTTATTGGGGAAGACATTCTCCATGGCCCTGAAAAGGAATACAGTCAATTGATTGTGACTTGAGCTGTGAATGTCTAGGATTCACTATAACAAGGACAGCAATGGGCTTTCCAATCAAACTCAGACAAAACATCAAGGTATCATGAACCAGGGGGACAAACTAGTTTAGCATTCTTAAGAGTTTCTTTCTCATTTCTGTATCAAGTTTCAGACCTCACATGAGACACTACAAACTTCTACAGTTCAGCCCCCCAAGGAATTTCTTTAGGCCCCCATCCTCTTGATTATGTTTTCTCCATCTTGTTGGATCTGGTTGTGCTCAGGCCCTTTTAGGTCGACAAAACATTGGAATCATGCTTGGGGTTCTTGGACCCATCTTCTCCCTTAGACAAACTTTTTCCAGTATCCCTTGGTTCCTTGCCTGGCTATCTATTCATAATCCTGTTTAGCACAACACCAACTCAGGTTAGAACCCAATGTCCACTGCTCGCCTAAGAGGAGAGTTTGTACACCAGCTGGGATCCATGCACCTGGGCTCCTCTGAACCTTCAGAACCTATTATTAGCAATTCCCAATGTTAGGAAATCTTAATCTATACAAAATAATATTAATTGAAATGCGTTAGCCTCAAAATGGGACATACGATTCTCTTTGTAAAGTTAAAAATAGCTAAAATATTATTTTCCCTGTGTTACATATAAAGTAGTACATATCAAATAAAACTATGTAGAAACAAAAGCAAAGGAATTAAAAGCACAGAATTCAGAATGATAATTACTTCAGCATGAGGAGGCATGGGATAGGATAACATATAGTTAGACGTAGGCTATTTCTAGCTTTTACTCTGAACACTCTTTTGCATAGGCACTTCACTGAAATGCCTCTTCCTCCTTCTCCTTCCATGCTAAACAGTTCACTACTTCTTTTAGTGTTCCAAAATCAAACAATAAAACAGCTACAGGATGGTAATACCTGAGCCGCAATTGCTGCTAGCTCTTTGCAAGCAAGGTCTTCTGTCTTTCCTTCTAATACAGAGCCTGGGACAAGTGTACCACTGGGCACCAAGCAATTCCTCACACACACTATCACAACCACCAGTGCTTCCCACTTCATATTCCTAAGAATATACGGAGTCTATAAACACAGAATGACTTATAATGGCAAAAGGGAAATAGAAGACTGGTTTAAGAAAGTCAAGGGCTCCCTTATGATGATTTAATGACCAAAAAGCAGGGGTAGGCTGGAGGAGAGGACTAACTCTTCAACTCCTATCCTCATTTCTCCTTTGATATAGACTAGTTAATACTTTACCTCTATAACCACTGGCTAGAGGCTTTATTGCATGCACCCTGCACTCATCAGTCATGAAAGAAACATGTTCAGGTTATACAGACAGAAACTGAAAGAGTGATAAAGTTATCTGAGCTTACAGTTTATCTAGGAGCAGGCCATTTAGGTAATACAGATTAGATAACAGTCTGCTTTTTTCTGTCTTAGAGGTAACATCTTATTCAGAAATCCTTTAGTTTCTCTTTCCATTTCTCAGGTTGGTCCTATTTATGGTCAGGTCCTGATCTCTGAGAGGATCTAGTCTCCTGCTTTCAGCCTAGAGGGAGGTGAATTTCATTTTCTGAGTAGACCACTAACAACTGTCCCCAAACTATACTTCCAGCTAAGGTTGAGCCAAATATTCATAAGACCTATGACTTAAGTTTTCTTGATGCCCAGATCCCACTGAAAGAAAATCTTATCTGTTTTTTAACCAACTCTGCCTCATGCCCAAAGACGAAGTTCCACTTATCTCCACTGTTCTCTGGGAACATAGGCCATTCTGCCTGACCCAGAGAAGTTAGAAAGACACCTACTACTTTCTCAGTCAAGGGAACCTTTTAACTATTAATCATAACTATTAGAATATATTAACCAACCCCATGATGATTTTATAGCACTTTTATCACATGGATACACTAGCAATAAAGCAATTTGAAATTCTCTTTCCATCTCTCTGCCCTTCCTTACACTTTCATTCTCACCCTGGCCACTTATGTACTCTCCCTCCGACCTTCCATTCTTAGACTGAAGCATCCAGGAGTCTAAATAGATCAGAACAGGAAGGAACCATAGGAAACATCAATCCACTTCTCTCATTTCAAAGATGAGGAAATTGATTCTTATTCATCTAGTTTATTTCCTAGGAAAGATACAGTGAGAAAGAAGTCAGAGAGGAGAAGATAAAATCAGAAATATATCAGCCTTCTTCTTGAAGATTTTCTTTTATTGAAATAAAAACTTTGATGTTCACTGGACAAGGACTCTCTCTCACCTGGAAAATCCAGAATAATGCAAAGTCAGGAGGACAAAATGGTGCTGGAGAACAAAGTAGGCACAGCCTCTGCCTCTACTCCATCAGGTCCCCTATGGGCCTGGCCCGCCTTTCTTCTGTTTCTCAGGCCAGGCACTTATTCAACAAACATGTCTTTAGTACACACGCTATTCCTCAGGCTAAGGATACAGTGGTGACTTTGCCCTCAAGGAACTTATGGTCTAGCAAGAAAAAAATATTAATATCTAAAAATTACAATACAAGATGTCTGCGTATTAAGCATATTGCAATATGAACAAAGGTAGCCCAGAAAAAGAGGAAATAATCTTTTCTTAGAACTGTCAGGAAGTTTTCCAGAATTAACATCTGAGGTGAGGTTTTAAAGATAAGTGTATGTTTGCAGCATGGACAAGGCACGGAAGGCCATTTAATGCAGGAAGAACAGCACAGGCAAAGATGTGAAAGAATGAGGTAGCATTTTGATTTGGGGACAATGAGCAGTCATGCATTACCAGAGCATAAAATATGAAGAGTGGAAAAGATAAAAGAAAAATACTAAGAAAGGGTTAGGTTATGAAGTACCTTATAGGTTTTGCTAAGGTGATTGGATTTTATTCTATAGAAAATACCAGGCCATAAATAATTTTACACTGGGGAGAGAAATGAGCAGACCTGTGATTCAGAAAGATCACTTTGACAACAGTATAGAGCAGTCCTCTTTGAAATTTAACATACATTCAATATCCCTGGGGATCTTGTTAAAATGCCAATTTTGAGTCCCAAGATCTGGGGTTAGGCCCAAGATGATGCATTTCTGATACATTTCTGGGTGCAGCTAATATTGCTGGTCTTTGGACCACACTTTGAGTAGCAAGGGTAGAGGATAGGTTAGTGGGAGATAAAGCTAAAATCAGAGAGAATGGAATAGGACTAGAGTAATGTTGTATGTGAGCAATGATGATGACATTAATTAAGAAGTGTCAACGAGAGAAGAAAAGAGATAGTTATAGAAATATTTTAGAATCAAAAGGATTGAAGACTGATTGCGTGTGGGAGTATGACAGACAGAAAGAACTCAGGGGCCAGCCCTGTGGCCAAGTGGTTAAGTCCACACTCTGCATCGGCGGCCCAGGGTTTTGCTGGTTCAGATCCTGGGCACAGACATGGCACCACTCATCAGGCCATGCTGAGGCAGTGAGCCACATAGCACAGCCAGAAGGCCCTACAATTAGAATATACAGCTGTGTACTGGGGGGCTTTGGGGAGAAGAAGAAGAAGAGAAAAAAGAAGATTGGCAACAGATGTTAGCTCAGGTGCCAATCTTTAAAAAAAAAGAAAGAAAGAACTCAAGGAAGATAGCAAGTTTCTCACCTGGGAGTCTGGGAGATAGGGATGGTGTTGCTACCAACCAAGATGGGGAATTTAACGGTTTCCAAGATGATTAGCCAGAGTGTGGAGGCTGGGCAGAAACAGGTAACAGAGTAAGGTAAATGGAATTGGAGGTGCAATAAGACATCCAAGTCAAGAAGGTCAGATGGTAGTTTTGGATATCTGGGTCTGAAAATCAGGGGAAAACCTAAGATAGAATTAAAGATTTTAAAAATCATCTGAACAAGCTACATTAAAACCATGAGAAAGGATAAATTATCTACGTGTTGACATAGAATGAAAAGAGAAGGATCCTGAAGATTGACTCCACAACTGATCACTAGTGAGAGAGTAGATGAAAAAGATCCGGATACAGAGGGTGAGAAAGGACAGCTGGACAGAGAGCAGGACAGAGGGGTATCTTGAGAACCAAGAGCCGAGTTTCAGAGGACTGGGCAATGACATCAAGTACGTTGAGAAGCCAGGTAAGAGAAGGATTGAAAAACACCCCGTAAGCACGTCAAAGCCTCCCTGCCCCTGATCCCCATAACAGAGTTCTCGAAACACCAAAACAAAAGGAAATACACAGAGAAGACCAGGACATTCCTTTCTGAGCCACTGGAGGAACTCTGACAACTCTTTGAATACTTTAGTTTCCCCATAAGTTTTGCAAATCTAGAACTAAAATCTTCTTAAGCTTAGCCCCGAATTTCTTGCTCTCTTAGGGATAATGATTGTATTTTGCCACCTTCCAAGGAAGGAACTTGGCAAGGGGAGTTTGCAGGGAGCTAGTTCTTAATTTGCAAAGTCATCAGCAAATTCCATGTGACAAGGTATGAAAAGGACTGAATACTTCGCAAGAGGCATCTGTGCCTTTGTCAGACTTTCACAATAAGTGGTAGTGATGGTGGTGTGTGTGTGTCTCAGGGCAAAGGGGAAAATTGAGAGGGAGACTGGAGCAGGCAGTGGGGAGGGAAGCCAAGAGGGTGTGGTGTAGCATTGCCAGGTAAATACAGGACACTCAGGGAAATTTAAATTTCATATAAACAGTGAATAATTTTTAGTAGAAATACAACCAGCTCAGATTTAACTGGGCGTCTTGTATTTTTATTTGCTAAATCAAGTAACCCTAGTGTGGTGACCCTGACACAGTCGGTAATAGGACCCAAACAAGGGCCAGCTTGGGGGTTCTAAATACCTTGGACATTATTGCCTACTAGCATCCTTGAAATAATGAAGTCCCTTGGTCACAACACAATCAAAAATAATTATGCACAGAAACCAAGGGGTTATATGAGAAGGCCTCTTAAACAGCCCATAAAGTCTGAGCTTCTATATCCCTATAAACACAAAAAATATTCGAAAAACATACTTATGGAAGACAAGAGAAACCCTCCACTTCCCACCTCCCCAAATCTGGGATTGGAGGAAAACCAGGCTTACGAGTCTGTGGCTCTTGCCATGGAGTAGCCATACAAGCTGTGGACATCATAGTGAAGGCCCGAGTGAAACACCGTGTCCATGCAGAGGGTTCTTGCAAAAAGGAAGTGGTCCAGGACTCCTGTGGGGAAATATCCATCAGTGAGGCACTTCCCTGTCAACCAACTCTAACAAAATAACCACCCAATCGTTTGCTTCCTGGTTATCACACTGTCCCCACCAATCTCTACCTGATAAAATCCTTTCCAGATTTTAAATTATTTCTTAAATGCTACTTCCTACCTGGGGCCTACACTAAGCCCCTCTCTGAGATAGATCATTAAAATTAATTTGCATTCCCTTGAGCTCCCAAAGAATGGCACTGAGTGGAAGAAAGTGAGAAATAAGCTCAGAGCAATGGAGAGTTGATCTGAGACTAAACATAAAGTACACACATTTATCTACATACATTTAATCAAGAGGAATGAGGTGTATAAGGAACAGATATGAGGGCAGTGAAAAGGGAACATTTTCACTCATCTTACAGGCATTCACACCCCAGTCACACTTTTTTAAACAAATGAGATATGACATTTGGATGGTTTCGTGAATAAGAACTCAGATCGTGCCTCTAGACATCACCCTAGTTACTGTATTTTCCCATCCGCATGCCCAAAATACTCAATATTTTCCACTTTGTGGCCTGCAATCTCGTTCTTCCCCTTCTTCTCCTTATAGACCAACAACCGGGGGGCCATACCTGCCCTCTTTCATGAAGCCTTGCTGGTACGCAGGATCTCAGTATGAGGCACAACTCCAGACAGTGGTGAAACCAGGAAACATTGAGGTTGAGTTTTTCCCACCAACCCAACAGAATCAGGGTTTGGTATCAGAAATTAAGTTGAATTATAAAACATAAAGAAAATTACATTTCTGGCACAGCTCACTTTGTGGAATGAGGTTCACAGCCACTTCAATGATAAGAAAGGACACTAATATTTTCCCAGGGTCAAAAGTAATATATCTAAATCTTTATTATGCTAACACGTACTGTCCAATCCTGAAAGTGTGAGAAGTAGACCAGCTATGAGGCACAGGGGCTGATCACAAATAAGTAAATGCAATGCTGGGAGGTAGGGAGCAGGGTGCTTGCCAGAAGCAGACCGAAGGTGATAGGATTGCTGTTTTCTGTAGAAAAAAAAACCTTACATTTGGCTAAGAAGAAGATTAAGAGATTAAAAGGGAAATGTTATAATCTGATCTACAGTGAAAATAACTGAGAGAACACAGACTGAGCAGAGAAGGATGAAGAATAAGCAAGGGAAGCAAATGGTCGATTTGGCGGGAAGTTAAATTGTTTGAAGTCAAGATTCCTCCTAAAAACGTCCTCCGCTCCTTCAGTGAACAAAAGGGGCTAAGGAAACAACCAAATCTTGGTCCAAGGGTGCAAGTAAAGTAGACAAACCAGAGTAAACTGGCCGAGACTGGCCAGATGCCCACCAAGCCTATGTTCTCTTCCTGGGAGTATAAGATTATATTTCACACTTTTGCACGAAGTTAAACTGAGATGATGTGATTGGATTCTGGCCAAAGGAATGTGAGCAAACCGAATACACCTCATTTCCAGGCCTATCCATAAAACTCTCTCTGTTCTCTCTCTCCTTCCCTTAAGAAGCTGCAAACAAAAGACTCTGAGGTGGGAGAACCAGGCAATGGAAATAACTAGATCTTTGAGTTACTGTTTGGATGAGAGCCACACATGCCACACTAGAGTATTATACAAACAAAAATAAACTTTTATTGTGTTAATCCATTGAGATGTTGGGGTTCTTTTGCTTCTACAGCATAATCTATTCTATACTGTTTCACACACACACACACACACATACACATTCTTTCAAAATCAGGGATTAGAGAAATGAGTTTCACTAGATATAGGACGTAAAAACAGAGAGGACCTAAAAGGAACCGTTGATGCTTTAAAATGTTGCTAATGAGCTAAAAAAATAAATAAATACAAGTTAACAAAGTTATAGATTTACTTCAATGGAAGGAAGTTTATATCTAAAGTATTCTGATATTCTCACAAAGTTTAAAATTGAACCACTTGTATGAGGGGTCTGGAGGTAGAGAACAGGATGGAAGAATGTAGAACTCTACAGAGTGGCACAGTCATGGAAGGCATACTTTTACCACCTGCTTGCCCTTAGGTCATGGCAGCAAAAACGGTAATCAGAGACCAAACAATGCAGCAAGGTCTCCAGTAGAAGAGTGGTCAGGGTGTTTTGGGGGGTCCTTTGAACTGGGAAGTGAACTTCTTCTTGGCCACGCTGAGTACTACCGAGGTTGTTTTAGACATGTCCATTGCCCACATCATTAGCAAACAGGTGAAAACTTACGAGGAGTGAAAGGAGGAAAGTTCAAGTTGTTTGATTCACACTCATGATCAGAACCTTGGAGAAAACTAGATACTTCATCCATTTCCTTCCAAGACACAAAATACACAAAATGGAAAATGTTACTGACCTACAGTTGGTTGTTGAGGAATATATACTGAACAAGAAGCCTGATATCTGGGGTCTCTTATTAACTGATTTTGGGATCTTGAGTAATCTTCCTAAATTTTCCTGACCTCCGTTTCATCTTTTGGAATAGGTTGTATCTGAGATGCTTCCCAACTCCAAATGATATCAGGCACATTTTACCTTCTATACATTGATTTCAATCAGTTAACTAAGAAATACCATTCCTGAGGCTTATTCTTACCTTGTATAAATATTGTCATTTTTATTGTTGCTGTTATTATTTCAGTATTGTCTTAAAGAACCTAAGATAGGGTAATATTTCAATTTTATGATTTTTCCCACCTTCTATTCCACTCAGTGCAGGACAAGGAGATATAATTGAGATCAAATCCATTTATTTAAAATGCATTAAAAATATGCGATGCCTAATCCTGCTAACAAACAGAGATAATCTTTCAAATTTCAAAGAAATATTCTACCTAAAAAATAAAAAAGCTCATTAAATTATTCTCTAATGATTAACTTTAAATTTTAATGAATCAGTGCAACAAATAACAGCAATTATATCTTTTAAGAAAACAGTATTTTTAAGTTGAAAGACAGTTAATGGAGGAAAAAGCTGAGGCCATGAGAAAGTAAAGGACTTTCTCAAAAAGAAATAACCAGCTGCTGGCAGATCCAGAGTTAAAATCCAAGGTTTTAAAGGGTGTAATTTACTGCATATAAGCTCAGCATGACATAAAAGGGGTTAATACCACGATGTCAAGCAAACCATTTTATTATAGATCAGGGTCAAAGTTTATCTCAAAACTTGGAATATCTGTTTCCAAAAGAATTTTGATCCTGGAATAACAACTTACAATCCAGACTCCATCAAACTCCAGAGTTTTATGAAATTCACTGAACTCCTCTGTCCACCACTCAGTACAAATTGGATTACTATAATCGGGAAAGACTGTCCATCCGGGATATCCCTGGAGAACAAAGGAGAAGGCTGTGAATTTGTTCATTTGATGGGTCACTTATGCATTTATTGCTGGTTACTATTTCTTCTACTAGAAGCCCCATGCGTCTATGCATCTTATCATTTTTTAATCAAAATTTGTGACTCTCCCCAAAAACTAAATTGTAAAATGGATGCAAGGAAACAAAGGATGAAAAAAGAAAAGGAAAACAACTGATCGGATAGATGAGAAGCCATCGAATATCTTTTTCCTGTTTAAACAAAGAAAGTAAAATTTCATTATTTCAGGCCAATTCGGACAAGAACTATTTAAAATACTGGGAGTTCTAACCAGGAAATATTTTAGGAGAAAATGATTGAATTCATTTAATGGGCTGTTAATTAAAAGTCATCTAAAACCTGCTTTGAATAACGATGTTTATAAATAATATGTTGTTTTTGCTTATAAATAATCTTTTCTAAAAGGTTAAATGAATTTTGTGCTTATTACTCAGTGGAAAGTGCTCTTGTAAAAGCTCAGCTGCCCTGAAAATAGGGCAGTCCAGTCCAATGCCTAAAACTGCTGCATTAGACTGAAGGTTGGGCTCTATCTATAAGTCTCAAGTAAATTAAATATATATTAGCTGAGGTAGGTTTAACATTAGCCTATCAGCATCTTGCTATATTATCATAGTTGAATTTATTGTCTTGGGGAAAATTAAAAAGTTTGGAGGCAGTAGGACTTTAAGAAAAATGAATTTTCTTCTAATAATATATTGCTTCTCAATTATCTGTATCATTAAAGGGTGAGGGGCTAGCTTTTTAGAGACTAAGTCTTAATTATTCCCACCACAAAAATAAATGATAATTATGCGATGTGAAAGAGGTGCTAACTATTGCTACAATGGCAGTCGTATTGCAATACGTAAATGGATCAAATCAACAGGTTGCACACCCTAAATTTACACAATGTTACATGTCAAATGTATTCCAATTAAAAAATAAATCCTTCAGAATTTTAATCATTCTACTATTACATCTCCTGGTTTGAAAATAATAACAAAAGAAACCTCTACAGCCATGAAAGCAGTAATGATGCCATAACTTGCCATCCACCCATCTTCATACCAGAAGTATAAACTTCCCAAAACGTAATTTACTCTAATTTTCTTGAGAAATTACCTGCCCAGTGACAAAGCCATTGTCATCCAAGATCCATACTCTCTTTTTTGTCCCATTCACATAGGGCAGGTAGTCAGAGTTATTTGAGATGCCAGGATTCTAATAAATAAATACAATAATAAATATTGCTTTTGTAAATTTCTTTTGCACTTTGAAAAGAAAAATGAGGCAAGGGAATTAAGTGTTTAAACATACCACAGCAATTACATATTTCATTCCATTGCTATGTAAGTCTTTGATAAAATTTGAGAGACCAGGGAACGCCTCTTCATCAATAGTGAAATCCTTCTTTCCATCCATGTAGTCTATGTCAGAATACTGGACATCCTGAAACAATAGCAAGGGCCAGTCAGAACCTAGGGAACATCACCGTGCTGATGGAAAGTATTACAGCTCTGCTTCTTGATCATAAAAGCTGAAGCCATATTTCTTAATGATCCCAGAACTTCAAGCACTTGGCTACCTCCTAGGAGTAAATAAGTCCTTGTTGAAAGACGCAGTGCTCTTAGGTTGCAGTTTTATATCTCTTGGTCCTGAAAGTTGAATGTTATAAGGTATCAGGAAGAACTTGAGAGTAGGGACTGTGTCTTATTCATTTCTGTAACTTGAGAGCTTGGACGCTTGACACAAAACAGGTGCTCTTTAAATATTTGTTTGAATGAGTATATTAATAATGTTATAATCATGAACTAACTTGGACTCTAAATATCAAGCTAGAATATATCACAAGAAGAGAAAACAGCCTTCCTGCCCCATAAAACTGCTGGAGTAATAATTGACAGAGAAAAATGACAAAGGGATAGAGCTTCAATTAACCAAACTCTCATACATATATCATTTTTGTGTTTCCATACCAAGTTGTGAGGAGCAGATGTTATACTTAGTGAGAAGATTGACATGTGAAGCAGTTAAGTGACGTTTCCCAAGGCTACACGCATGCGTGAGTGGGGATCAACTGGGGCTTTGGTGATAGGCCCTTTGACTCCAGATGCTCTTTCTTCTCTTTTTTTTTTTTCCCAATCTGACACATACCTCAAAGCTATAAGAAAATCTTTTAAGTAAGTGTCCCCCACGTAGTCATGCATTAGAAGGCTCTAGCTTACAGACCTGAAGGAGAATGTGGCTTATAGCCTGTTGCCAACGAAGCATCATTTGTTCTACTACTGGGCAGTCATTTAGGACCCAGGTGTGCTCCACAGTCACATGGCAGGAAAGATCCAATCAATGGAATGAAGCTCATTTGTTTTGGAATCAGTAACACCTCAAAAAAGCCCCTCCCATCAGAGGCATGGGGATAGACTGAGACCAAAACCCTTTTGAATCCTGGTCCAGCTATTTAGCTAGCTGCAGTGACCTTAGAAAAGTCATTAACCATGCAGTGTCTCCATTTTCTCATTGACAAAATATCAGTAAGTTAGGGTTAACCATGAATGTGAAAGCCCTTTGTAAAACAAGGCAAGATTGGACCTGATTCCTCCTGGAATTGGGTATTTGCAAATGGCAGATAAGGGAGAAGTAAATGAAACACATAATCAATTTCCCCTTAACACCAAAACAACACAATGGACATGTTTTCTCACAGGAAAAATTCATCTCCCTACCTGCCCTCATTGCTACTCCAAGAAGGGATTGAAAAATCTTGAGATCTGGCCAGTCATTTCCACCTGTACAATCTTCCCTCCAATGCTAACCAAATACATGCTTGCACCCCAGTTCCAAAGACCTAACCCAAAATAAGCTGTTTTTATAACTTCGTTAACTACATGCTATGCATCTCTGGAGGAATTTACCAAACATTATACACTTAATAATTATCTTTTTATTTACTAGTGGACATTGAACATCATAAGTACTTTGTAACCATAGAACTTTCAAAATTAGTCTGCTAGTTCAGAAAGGAGTATACAAGGACACCGCAAGAAACTCACTTCCTGTCAGTCATCATTAAAATCATCAGCCCTCATTAACCATATCTCCCCATATGCTGCTTTCTCTTATAAAATAACAGCTAACTTTGGCGGTGGTCATCCTCCATGCTACATGCTTTAAATGCTTAGTATAAGGCATCCCTCACTACCAGTCAACCAAAGTAAGTCTTAGATTCTCATTTTATAAAGGAGGAAGCTAAGACACAGAGATACTAATTAACTAGCCCAACGTTGATAGAGCTAGGAAGAAATAAAGCTAAAATTCAAGACAGTATCCATCTGAACATAAACTGTGCTCTTTCCATAATGAAACAGGTAATTCAGCATGCAAATTTCTGACAGTAGGTGTATCTGTCTATCTATCTACCTATCTATCTATCTGTATTTTTTCCTAATAAACTGAATTAAACGCAAAAAATAAAAGATTAAAAATGTTGCTTGATGCATGATAAGAGAAGTTCCAGCTTACATATGGGATCCCAGCTGCACGATTTCGAGCTACAACCTCTTTCAATCCGTTGATGCCACCATAATTTCTGCGACTAAGCTGGAATCCAAGACTCCAGTATGAAGGCAAGAATGGTCGTCCAACAAGCTGAAAACATAAATATAGAAGTGTCTAAGAATTTAGAATCAACACTGTTTGTAACACCAGGTCTGACATGGAAAACATTGTCTCCATTTCATTTTCTATAAAGTCCCCAGATCTAAAAATGTCAGAGCCAAGAGTAATTTCTTATGGTAATTTGCAAAATTCTATAACTCCCATCTTTCTTTACTAAGTACCTAAATGTATTCTCAACAACTTCAACATCAGAAAATAATGATTTGCAGAAAACATTTGAATAATGGTGTCATTTTGGGAGGAAAGAAGTAACATTCATTCACTCAATAAATATTTTCTGAGTGTTTACGTGGTGGCGAGGGCTGATGTAGCGACTTGTGATATAGTGACATAAAGCAAACTTAAATTTTTGCTCTCACAGAGCCTAAAAGCAATAAATAAATTTCTAATTTCAGACAGTGGTATGTGCTAAGGATAAAGGAATAAGGACTCATAGGATTAAGAGCGGGATGAGTGAAGAAATACTGCATTATATTTGAAATCCAAGTCTACAAGTGCTCGAGCCAACATTGAGAAGACTTCACACACAGAGCCCTCTCTTACATTATTCCTAAGAGTGCTTGCCCTCCAATATGAGAATCCCCTCAGCACGGTGCTTTCTCTCATGCCTCTGAACTCCCAGATACTTTATTTGCACCTCATTAATGGCATTTATTATAAAGTATTTCCTATTACAACTATTTCAGGCTGTGTCATATTTCTCCTAATTGATTATCAATTCGCTGGCGTCTGGGACTACAGTTCACATGCCATTAAGTGTCATCCTGAACACATCACCTCATCTTTCTGTACCTGAGGTTTTTCTTCTATAAAGTAGGAAGTGTGTCTAAAGTCTAAATGGTGGCTAAAGTTCCTTCTTGTCCTACAGTTTGAATCAAAAATAAATATCACTGTTCCTTTTACGTGGTTTCTTTTCACTTAATTTTAATTTATTGAATAAATGAATAAACTTTGTTGATTTGTGGCCTTAGATCTTTGGAATGAGTGATCACACAAGGTTGAGCTATTAGTTCCTTGAAGATAGGCTAGTGTCTGACTTATTTTTGCATTTCTCAAGTCTTGCACAGTGCCTGTCTTGCATGCAGAAAGCACCCAATAAATGTGCATCAAAATAAACATACATGAATAAACATGAATGAAAGACCCACAATCCCAGCACTTATAATCCACAGTTTACTCATAAGTTTTAATTTCTCCTTGTTAATTTACAACGAATGTATGAGATAACAGCAATACATAATGATCACCTAAACACAAAGCCATACCTCCAGGTATTCCTGCACCACTTGTTCTGGAGTGTTTCCCAGGAACACATAAAAGTCAAGAATGCCCCCAGTGGTGCGGTAAGTGATTGCAGGGGCGGGCTGAAGGGTGACCTCTGAAAGGATTAAAAGGAGAGTTAGAATTTTGTGGCTGAAATATACTCTTCTCCAGAATATGAGTACCCGAGGTATCCAAAAGAGTCTCAGTCTTATTTTGAAAGACATGAAAATCCTCCATATTCCTGTTTTTAGATAATTGTTGAAGTTTATAAAATGTCATACGAGCAAATCACCAATGAAGAACTGACATTTTAAGAGCAAAAACAAATTCTATTTTAATCTGGCCATATAAAAATACAAACATCTGGGATTTGTGAGTCATTTAACCCAAAGGAAAAGTTTTTAAAACCTTAAGAGATGAATTTAATGACAATGAAAAATAAAAAATAATTTATTATCATTATTAGAGTAACTTATTAGAGTATCATTAATCCAGAAGCTGGAGGAGGAAGATTCTAGAGTGGGGAAGGGATGGGCTATGACCAATAGCCTACAAAACACAGCCTCTTGCCTACAGACAGACAGTATGGTTTATGTACGGAAATCTAAAGTTATCTCTGAAATGTGTCTATCAATGAATCCTACTATCTACAGATATTCTGGGACACATTACATCTCAAAAGAACCCTGAAGCATTTTTCAATGAACATAGCTTTCGGCATGAACTGGATTTGTAGACAGGTTAACCTACTTTCAGGTTCCAGTTTCTACAGAAGCATTGTAGGTCCAAAATGCCTTCTGTTAAACAGTCATCTCACCGCAAAAGTCATTTTTATAGAAGCAGCATCCTAAAACGTATTCTTGCTGAGATAAAAAGATGCCTCCTACCCATAGCATTGCTGTTCAACAGAAAAACCCCAAAAGAGGAGCCGCTGGTGTCTTCAAGGCACAAGAAGAATGTATGAGCTCCATACAGATTATTCATGCCCTGTCAACAAAAATGAAAAAAAATAATAGTAGTACACGTTAAAAGTGTTTTATTCACCCTAAAATAAAATCAAAAACCATGCACAATACGTACTTGGTCAACACCTGACGTAGTTTAGTATTGTATCAAAAAGGTATCGAAATGATGGCATCAACTGACAAATGGATAGACAAAACACGCATGGTACATCCACATAATGGAATACTATTAGCAATAATAAGAAATGGAATGCTGATGCATGCTGCAACATGAATAAGCCTCATAAATGTTATGCCAAGTGAAAGAACCAGACACAAAGGCTATATACATATTGTATGATTCCATTTATATGTAATGTCTTTAAAGTTAAATCTCCAGAGACAGAAAGTAGATTAGTAGATTGCCTGCATCTGGGGTGGACAGTGAGGTAGGAAGTAGGTTAAATCTCAGAGGCTGTAAGAGATCATATTGGGCTGATGAAAATATTCTAACACTGGATTATGATGGTTGCACAACTCAGTAAGTGTGCTAAAAATCATTGAACTGCACACGTAAAACAGATAATGCTTATGGTATATAAATTATATCTCAATCAAGTTATTTTTAAAAAATTAAAAAATATTTGCAATGATATATAACACAATGTTAGCAGATCTTGGTATTATGAGCAACTTTGAAGTTTATGCTTAACTGTGCTTTCTAACTTTTCTATAATTGACATATGATACTTACGTAGTAAAAAAGTTTAAAAAGAAAAAGATATTGAAACTGTCACAGGGCATTGATGAGCACTGATATAAACAGAGATCATGTGTGTACCTGTAAGGTGCTGTAAGACTAGAAGATCTTGAGATTATAATACACAGAAAGCTACAAGGAAGCTCCCTGGGTGATGTCACAAACCTAGCCCTGGGTGTAGGGCAAAGGTACTGATAATGGTAAATTCCAGGAAATGAGGAAGAAGAGATATGTTACATATCAGCATGATACATAAAATAGAGAAGACCAGGAGGGCTGTGCAAAATAAGCTAGATTTAAAATTATAGCCAGGAAGACTCTTGGCATCAACTCTTGAATAGAGTAGAATACAGATTAAACAAAAATATTAAAAAGAAGGAAGGAGAGGTATAGGGGGAGAAAAAAAGGAAAAGAAAAGAAAAAATTTTGGTCTAATCTGTGACTATATAACTCAAGAATTTCAGCTGTAGAAAGCCAAACTTAGTATGATGCTTAGCATTCCATATTTGTCAGGGTCCTTCACCAAGCATTTTAGAGAATGTGCTGGCCATTGTTTCTTTTTTTCTTCATTTGGTTCAAAAAATATGCTCTCTCCACTGCATTAGATATTGGTGGGTGGGCCAGTTAATATGCTACTTGATTTGTTCTTCCCCTGTGGAATTTTAATTGCAAAACTTCAGCTCCATCCCTCCTTTGCAACATACATCAGCCTGCAGCTCTTGCACAGATCTGAGAAACATCATCAGCACAGTGGAGGCTGCAAGACATGCTCTATAAAACCATGCTACGTGTTGTCCATGGCCTGGTACCTCCCCAAACCCTTTGCTGTAAGTCAGCAACAAGGTAAGTACAAAAATCAAGAGAAAGAGTTTAGAAACTCTCTTATAGCAACTTACAAGAGTTTTCATGTCTGTTTAATTTAAAATTTGGACTTGTATTTTGTATGTCTTTGAATATTTTAGTTTCATTTTCCCAGTGATATATTTTAATGTATTTGACAAAAGTACTGCCCATCCTGTACTGAAAGAGAGAGAGAAGGAATAAGGAGAGAGAGAGAGAGACAGAGAGAGAGAGAGGGAGAGGAGGAGAGAAGGAAAGGCAGATAGGGAGAGAGGGAGAGGAGGAGAGAGGGAGGAAGAAGGAGAGGGAGAGAGGGAGAGGGGGAGAGAAAGAGAGAAAGGAAGGAAAGAAAGAAGGAAGGAAGGAAGAAAGAGAGAGAGAAGGAAGGAAGGAAAGAAAGAGAGAAAGAGAGAGAGAAAAAGGAAGAAAGAGAGAGAGAGAGAAAGAGAGAGAGAAAGAAAGAAAGAAAGAAAGAAAGAAAGAAAGAAAGAAAGAGAAAGAAAGAAAGAAAGAAAGAAAAAGAAAGGAAGGAAGGAAGGAAGAAAGAGAGAGAGAGAGAAAGAAAGAAAGAGAGAAAGAAAGAAAGGGAGAAAAACTTATCTTTTACCACAGATAAGCTCTTCTCCCACTTTAACACGCAAGTGATTCATTTGTGGATCTTGTTAAAATGCAGATTCTGATTCAGTAAGCCTGGGCCATGGCCTGAAATTCTGCATTTCTAACAACCTCCCAGGTGATGCCAACTCTGCTCTCTCTGGAACACACTTTGACTAGTAGAGAACTAGAACAAGACTAAAGCTGCCAAAAGAGACATTTTTAGGGAGCCAGACCCATGGTGGTTAAGTTTGGCCTAGTAGTAATGTTCCCCACACTCTGCTTCAGTCACCTGGATTGGGTTCCCAGGCACAGACCTACACCATTTGTTGGCCATGCTATGGTGGTGACCCACATACAAAATAGAGGAAGATTGGCACAGATGTTAGCTCAGGGCAAATCTTCAAACAAAAGAGGAAGATTGGCACAGATGTTAGCTCAGGATGAATCTTCCTCAGGGGGAAAACAAAAGAGGCATTTTTTGGTCTACAAAGTTCTACTGAGAATGGCTCCTGCTGAAGCTCTCCCCTAGATAACTACTCAATTGTAAAAGACAGACATAGTTATTTTGTATAAGTGTTTTATAATATATATTAGGCTATAGCATAGTCATTAAATTTAAATTTAAATTTCTTTTAAAAGTGAGATGTTTTTAAAAATTGATATATTACTAATTGTGAGTTTATAAACCTCAAGAACAAGTACATATTCTCCAATACAAACAGATCTAAATTGGGTAAAATAATATATAGATATAACTCTGTAGGTTACTTTCTGGAAAGGAGGGACGATATTCCTTACTGCGAGCAATAAGCAGGAGGAAGGGCACCTCACCTCAGTGGGGGTGGCATCCCGGGTGAAGATGGGCCAGGTCTTCCAGGTCATGTTGTGACGGTACTGCTGGTGCACATGTTCCCCCAGCCCATACACATTGGCGCTGGGCAGTCGGAAAGACAGCTGCAGGTACTGCTGGGCAAACAGGAGGGGCCCAATGCTCGTGTCCAACCTGGGCATGGAGTAAGAGTGAGAGTCACCCAACAGCCCTCTCTGCCAGGAAACTGCTCCTTTTCCTTTACACTTTGAGAATAGTCATTTCAGTGTTATCATCCACTTTCACGCTGCCTTTAAAGGCCTTTCTAGGGCGTCCCTGGTTCTTTATCTCTAGAGGAGCATAGCACCAGAGATATGATACCAGAAACTCATGTTGGATGATTGAGGGAAGAGAAGTATGTGGCCTTACATTTGCTGTGCATCTGCTTCATGTCAAGTACTATTCTGGGTGCTTTATAAATATTATCTCAGTACATGTAACAACAGCCGACTTTTGATTCCCTTCCTATGGACAAGGAAACAGAGGCCGATGAGGCGAGGTACTTTGCCCAATATCACACAGCTGCCTGGTGATTTGCTGGCGCCAGAACCTGAATATAGATTTTACTGACATTAATCCTTATATCTTCTCCAGTATAATTTATGATTAAGCTCAAGCTGTTGTTAAGCGATTGATGGTAGGTCTCTCAGGAAGTAATAACTTAGAATAATAAACAGTGAAGTTGAGTTCCAAAATAATAGAATTCCCTATTTCATAATATCCATGAACCACAAGTGTATTTATACAACTTAGCACACTCAGCACATGACATTTCACTATTCTTTGCTCTGCAGTCATGACAAATTAATGGTGTTAATGATTTACAGTAAAAGCTTTGACATTTTTCTGAATTTCAAACATTTTCCCAAGTCATACTTATCTCATTGCCCACCCACAGTAAGTCAGAATGAATGTCATGGGGATTGTATATTCAGATATACAAATGGTATTAAAAAACTCACAAGACTCTTTTATTGCTCGTCCTCATTATTTTGATGCTGAAGGGTATATGAGTGACCTCTATGTGATAGCTCAAATTGGAGGTATCAACAGTCTCATTAAACAGCTGAATATTTTCATGGGGGACTTCATAGCGCATGTTATTGAAATCAGTGATCTGTCAGAAGGAAAACAGACAGGACAACTCTAGATAAGACACTTCCTTGTAGAGCTTACAAGAGATTTTTGCTCTCAAATACCCCCCAATGAGAATAGCTTCTAAGTCTTGACCCTGTGTTTCCTGATTGGTGAGAAGAAAGCACTCAATCATGTGTCCCCTATCAAATAAAAATCAGCCTGCCCATCCCATCAGGAGATTCCTGCAGAGAGGAACAGAAGCACCTCTGCCTCCACACCTCTATGCAGTGCACACAGAAGAATGATCTGAACCCAGCGTAGGGGCACTGTCTTCAGAGATATATGCAATAACTACCAAACCAACCTTGAAATGAAAACGATTGGCTGTCTGATATTCAGCTGTGAAGAGGGTGTCGACGATATCATATCCAAACAGAGATGGGGATGACAACCTTTTCAACTGGGCAGTAAACCCTAGGGGTGTGTGGAAGAGAGAGAGAGAAGCTTATCGCCTTTATTTTGCAGTTAACTTATCCAGACCATAAAAAATTGTTCCCTGGGGCAACATTAAGCCAGTGCTCACCTGCGCTTGTATTTTTATAGTCATTGCTGACATTATAGCCCCAGTTCCTGGGGAAGAAGCATGTAGGGACATCAGCATCTGACCCAGGCTTCCAGCAGCATTTATGTTGCCATCTGCAGACAGCCTGTGGCATAGAGTTAGCATTATAGGAAACGAAGGAAGTATTGTCTACTGATCTATAAACAATTTTATTCCAAGAAGAATTTGTTAGGTCATAATTACATTCAGTCATTTATTCATTCTTCTTTTATTCATATATTTATCCAGGCATCCAATATGCATTTATTACCTACTAGACAAGGAACTAATAAGACAGATAAATAAGGCGCAATTCTTGCCTTCAGCAAACTTACAGATAATTACTGTATGATGAAATGAATGCCCCAATAGTGTGCCCAGGGGCAAAGAGAAAACACACACCAGCCATTGTACCCAGCCTAGAAGACTGCAAGTGGTATGGGGTGGGCTTCTAGGTAGGTAAAAGGTAAATCCAGTCCTAATGCACCAGGATGGGTTAGACAGGTGAACAGCAGAGCAGTATTCCAAGCTGAGAAAGCAGCAAGCATGACAGACTCAGAAAAATCACCAGTTCATTGTGCCAAGAACACAGAGTAAGAGAGATGAAGCTGGAGGCACACAATATCCATGAGTGAGTGGGATGCAAGACCAAGCAGTTGTGACATGCTCGTAAAGAAGAGTCATAGAAATGGCTAACAATATGGCATGAAGAAATGCCTTTCTAAAAAGTAAGGAAAGTAAAGCAAGGGAAAATAGAGAAAATTAAAATAGAACTAGGACAGATGGTGACATAAAAAAATCCAGTGTCCACAAGGCAAAAATAAATGGCATGTGGTTTCTCAGCGTGGTTTGATTATGGATTTTTAAAATTATTATTATTTGCTGAGATGTAATTTCGAAAAGTCTTACAACTTTTAGATTAATTTATGCAAAAAAATGTTTTGTTATAATAAATAAAATAGGTGGCAAATTGAATCAAAATGTTAAAATAAACACAGCCAGCCACCTTTTTACCCAACTAAATTTACATGAAGTGACAGAAGTGTCACGAAGGAAAAGATTCCAAATCCACTAGAAAACAGCAGAATATAATGCAATATGGCAGACTAGAAATATTACAAAACTCCTCAAACATAGAAAATAGATTTATCAACACTAGGGAAAAATATATTCATAGCTTAAAGCACAAGAGGAGAAAAAACATTTCTTCAAGCCAAGTCAGTGTGGAGAAGTGGAAGAGAACGTGGAATATAGTTTTGGATGATTAATTGGGAAGCTGTAGTATGAATGCTTAGCTGCCCAATCCAACATTCCTTATGGCTATTGGTTAGCTCTCGCTAACTGGTGGGCATCCCAAATTATTTGTTCAGAGGCTAAGGGAGTTGGGAGAGACATTGAGAGCCAGAAGGCATGCAATGCACCAGCTAATAAACTGCCCCCTCTACACCCTCAGGAAAGTCCCCATATTTCTCCCACAGTCCTTTCCTTCCCTCCTAAATACTCAGTGTAAGCCAAGGTAAATAGGACAGGCATCATAGATAATTGAATCAAAGATGACAGTCGAGAACCACCAAACATTTGAGAGAAACCAACACCATGAGAGAAAGGCATCAAACTTAACAACAGAAGAAACAAATTAGAGGAAACAGTTAACAGAAAAAACAGCACAAGTCTTCAAAATAAATGGAATTATTATCTTCAGAGACAGGTACATAACTGTTGCCTCCATTTAAAAAAAGTGTTGAAAGTTAGGGTATCGCACAACAAGGTTTAAAACTCCTTAATATTTGGACTGAATAACAAAAAGGAAACAGTAAAAGAGAAAAGTGTCAAGACAAAAAAAGAATTTTTAAAAAGCAAGTTTAGGATTATCCCAGAACATAATACACAAAGATAAAGAAACGGAAAGTATGCAAGGAAGGATAAGTGAAGAGACCAATGGGCCCAGACAACAACACTCAAGCAGGAGATTCCAAAGGAGTGAAAAGACAACACAGGTGAGGGAAGGGAGGATCATGACAGAGAGAAAGTGAGGTCGTACATAGTGAAAAACTCAATATGCAACCCAAGAAACTATAAAAGAGCAAAATAAACCCACAAAATCTACATGAAAATTTAATGAGAGTAAAAGCAATAATCAATGAAAGAGGAAAGAAGCAAGCATCTGCGGTCATCAATTCAAAATATGAAATGAGCGCCTGCCCTGTTGCAATCGTTCACCTAAGTCCACATGACACAGTGCTGTCAGCGAGTGAGACAAACAACACCATTAATTAAACAGACCTTGTTTCCACTACTGATTTGAAATGCCATTTTTATTTTAAACTAAATTTAAGTGCACGTTTGTGAGAATAAGAATATGTGTTTGAGGGCTTCCTATTATACTCCAATGGCGTGTGTATCAATTCCTGCTATGATTTCACGTTGATGATTACTATAGTGTGAGGATATGTTTTCATATTAGTTTGGCAGATAGTGAAATCTAAAGGAGACTCTTTGAAAAGATCAAATAAATATGAATATCTTATCAAGTCCTATTTTGACAAAAAAAAGAGGGAGACAAGATTCAAAACAAAAATGGAGAATAACAGATAAATAGGATTTTTTGACACAAATAAGAATTATGAGAAAACTGTACAAATTTTTCCCAATGAATGTGAAACTGTAATTCGGATGTTTAAATAGTAAAATATCAAATAATCAAAATTAGATAAGAAGAGTTAGAAAATCTGAAATGTCTAGTAGCCACGGGGAATTGTAAGCAGTAGTCAAAGAACTTTCCCTAAAAAAATGATACCTTCCCTAGACGATTTCAGAAGTAGAATATTCTCATTTCACATATTTTTTTTCAGAACATAAAAAACGATGCAAAGTTTCTTGATTCATTTTATTAAACTAGAATAATTCTGGGAACAAACTGGACAAAGAAAGTCAAAAAAACAAACAAAAATACATAAGCCAATTTCACTTAAACAATGTAGGCATATAAAACTTTAACAAAATGTTAGCAATTTAAATTCATTAGCATATTAAAAGAATTAATGTACAATAGCCAAGTAAGGTTTATCAGGCAAAAGGTAGAATGGTTCAAAATTAAGAAATATTTTAATGAAATTCGCAACACTGACAAAAGAAAATCTTATGATTACCTCAACAGAAGCAAAGTATTTTTAAAATATGATAATGTGGTAAATTTAAATGTTCTCAATTTAAAAAGCAAGTTATAAAATAACATATAGTAAATCAAATTTGTGTTAAAACAAAAATATATAAATATATGTGAAACGTATAAATATGTTTGAAAGCATAGAAAGGTTAAGAAAAGGATACAGACAAAGCTATTGACTGTGGGAAGGGAATTTGGAGATGGAGAGGAAGCATTATGAATAAGGACTTCCCCACTTTATACTGTACATAGCTATAATGTCTGAATCTTTCTTATTAAATAAATGTACTCAGCATAGATTTTTGTGATTAAAAGAAAACAGAGTATGTCACAAAACTACTCGTTTGGAAAAGGTACTATAGCATTAACAAATATTTCAGATGTTAACATCTGATGTAATTGCTCTGAAAAACCACAATATGAATATAACTTAAATCAATGTTTCATGCCTATTATAAACAAAGCAATCACATTATAACCGTAAAATCTTCCTAAATGCACTCTTTAATTTTCCATATATATAATTGATAGTTCTGCCTCATCCTTTTCAGAGAACAGAAAAGACTGGAGGGGATCAGTGGAGAAAGTTTGGGGCTCGGATAACCTCTGGATAACTGTTTTACCTAAGTCTGAGGCAGACATTGAGTACCTCTGCTACCACTGAAAGTGAAATCTGTAGAGTCCAAAAGATCAGTTTCATTGCCATAAGGTGTTCCAAAGTCTATAGACCTCTATAAAAAGCAGTAAGACAAGAAATTCAGTACATCCAGATAAACACAATATTTTTGCCTGCAGTTTGTCCTAGCATCCCTATTTCAGTTTTAAACCAGTACCAGTATCCCAGACACTGAAGGTCAAACCTTTGAGAGAGAGATATAGCTTCCTTCATCTTTTCCAATTCTGCTGTCACCACAATAACATAGACCCTCATAAACTCATGTCTGGATTACAGCAGTTGACTCATAACAAGTCTACCTATCTCTATTCTTTCCTAAGGAATAAACTTTTCTAAAGAGTTTTCTCCAGCTATCTTCCAAATAGATTTTTGTGTCATTTCCCCCTCAGAAGTTATTGACTAACAGAACTTGAGAATTGAAAACTGACTTGAAAATTATCTAATCCAACTTCCATTTGATGCAAGGATTTTTTTCAGTAAAGTCTCTGATGGATGCTTAAATTCTGTTAATGATGTGTAGCCAACTTCTTCCAAAATCAGAAATTCCACCTTTATAATTAATTTTTACTTCAAAGTTATTTCTTATGTTTAGTTAAAATCAGTCTCCAGAAAGTTCCATTTTCTGAAACCTACTGTAGTGGCATATTGTCTTTTAAATACAATATATCAAACTATATTGAAAAATTAGAAGGAAAAAGGATCCTTGGCATTTCAAAACAAGGAAAAAAAGGCATATTGGAAAAAAATTTTAACGGTCATTATTAGCAGGTAACATTATTATATAAGAAAAGTCCAAAAGAGTTTATAGACAAACTAGCAGAAATAACAAGTAGATATAAGAATATGTCTTCTTACAAAATCAATATTTCAAAAATCAATTTCAAATCTATATGCCAAAAATAGCCAAATGGAAAACTAAAATTCAAAAATAATACTTAAATAAAATCAAACATCAAATAGAAAAAATTTGGAAAAAATTTTCAAGAACTCTATACCAAAAACTTCAAAAATAAAAATCTGAATGAATAGAGGGATGTATATCATGTTCTTGGATTAGAGTATTCACTCTTGTAAAGATGAAAATTCTCCCAAAATTAATCTGTAAATTTTGTGTGATCACAACCAAATTTCCGGTAAGTTTTGTGAGGAAACTGATAAGCTGATTCTAAAATTTATTCAGAAATCTAAAGGATCAGAATAGGCTAGAAATCTTGAAGAAAAATAGGAATGATTTGGAGGACTTAACCACTTATCAAGATCTATTGTAAAGCTATAGTAATTAAGGCATATGGTATTGACAAAAGAACAGATATAGTAACAACGAAAAAAATAGAGATTCCAGAAACAGATCCACACATATAAAGATGTAAAATTTACAGTAAAAGTGTCACTACAATGGAGAGGTAAAAAGATGGTTATTTCAGTTAGTGGTGATGGGTATATTAGAAATTCAAGGAAAAAAATAATTTATACTCCTATCTGATACCATACATAAAAACCAATTCTAGATTGATTAAAGATCTAAATTTGAAAGATAAAACAACAATGCTTTTAGGAGAAAATATAGGAATATAGTTTTCTAACCTTGGAGTAGGCAAGAATTTTTAAATAGAATACAAAATGCACTATTAAAAATTGATAAAGTGAATTTTATTAAAATTAAGAAGTATTTCTCATTAAAAGTCACCATTAAGAGAGTTGTAAGTCAAACTATAGAGTAAGAAGATACTTAAAATTTATATATGTAACAAAGATTTGTATCCAGAATATATAAATAACTGCTACAAGGCTTAAAAATATAGCAGCCCAATAGAAAAAAACTGGGAAAAAATAATTTTGAAAAGACCCTTCACAAATATGATTGTCGATCTAGCCAATAAGTATACAAAAAGGTATTTAACTTCACTTGTCATGAGTGACATACAAATTAAAACTACAAAATAGTTATATTGAAAAAGGGGAAAACATCAAGAGTGGGTTAGGATGTAGAGCAACTGAAGTCTTATATACCACTAGAGGGAGTGTAAATTCGTACAAATACTTTGAAAAACTATTTTGCAATATCAGCTAAAGATAGTCACTTACATATCCTTTGAATTGGAAATTCCATTCTTATGTATCATTATTTGCCTAGGATATAACTGTATACTTAATAACTCAAAGAAAACTATAAAAACCATTTTAGAAACAATAGGAAACTTAAGTTGAATAAATAATATAATATAACTTAACATAATATATAAATATAAATATAATAAATATAAAATAATCATTATTAATAAAAGAAGCATTGTAATAAAAGAAGCACTGGTTAGCAAATATAATAGATTATATCTACAATAGAAACTATGTATATGAAATAGCCAGGAAAAAACTTCATAATACATGCATAATAAAATGTATACTAAGAGGAACATAAAACTCAATTGGGAAACGTACATATACAAAAAAAGAGCTGAGGGGCCAGCCTGGTGGCATAGAGGTTAAGTTCACGTGCTCTGCTTCAGCAGCCTGGGGTCCATGGGTTTGGATCCCTGGCACAGACCTACACACCACTCATCAAGCTGTGCTGTGGCAGCATCCCAAGAACAAAATAAAGGAAGATTGGCACAGATGTTAGCTCAGGGTCAAGTTTCCTCATCGAAAAAAAAAAAAGAGTTGATGGGGAGACTTTCTATGTTTTTAAAATGGAAGATTCAAAAGTACTGAGATATCAATATTGTGTAAATTCAACCTAAAATTTAATGTAGTCCTAATTAATATCCCAATAGAATATTATGAGACATAGAATACAGCGTAAAAGAATAAAACCTAAAAATACGCAACCTTTATGATAAATTCGTAAGTCACAGCTAAGCAGCGTTCAAATAGTTGATATTCTTGCCAGTAACATGATTCCAGAAGGCCCTTGCTATTATGAGTCACCTGAGTTCTACAAGTGACTCAGTTATCCTTCTGTGCTTAATAGCTTCTATCCTCAAGGAATAGTCAGTATTTAACCCTTCCATGGCTATCCTCAGAATCACACTCCTGACACATTAGCAACACTGGAAACTCTCCCCCAACTCTGGACTTTGGACCCCACAGGCCAACACTTTTGTTAGTTCCTCCTCCTCTTCCCTTTACCCTCCCTTGCTTCCCTTACTTTCCTAGGGTTGCTGTTTGTTTCAATAAGGTAAGAAAGAAATAATTCCAAACAGGCCCATAATCCACTCCACCACCACCTTCTTCCCACTCATTTCTTTTAAATAAAACCCAGCAGGCAACAGCAGGGAGCCCATTTCTCTGACCTCTGTCACCACCTGGCCAGGCGCACAGTCTATCCTTTCTGATTCAGGGATCTCTGGGCACACTGGACGATCTGCGTAGGAATTAAAGGACAGAGTTGAACATTTGTAGCGTAATCACAGTTCCAGGAAAGAAGAAGGCAAAGTTACAGCACTTCAGCCAGTTCTCCAGTCAATGATCACTAATAGCTGGTATCTACATTTGCATACAACGTTGAACACTTCTCCAAGTGTTAAACACATTTGCTTCTTGTTTGGTTGGCTTTCATTGAGGTATAATTCATACACCATAAAATTCACTCTTTTAAAGTGTACAATTCAATGGTTTTTCATATTTTACAAAATTGTGCAGCTAATCCCTACTATCAAATTCCAGAACATTTTCATCACCCCAAAAAGAAATCACACACCCGTTAGTGGTCAGTTCCCATTGCCCTCTGCTCCCAGTCTCTGGTGAACACTAGCTTACTTTCTGTAGCTATGGATTTGCCTATTCTAAACACTTCATATAAAAGAAATCATAAAATATGTGGCCTTTGGTGTCTAAAACTTAATGCAGTCCTAATTAAATTAGGCATAATATTTTCAAGGTTCACCCACGTTGCAGCATGTAACAGTACTTCATTCCTTTTTATGGCTGAACCATATTCCACTGTATAGTTATAACACCTTTTTAAATCTATTCATCAGTTGATGTACTTTTAGGTTGCTTCCATTTTGTGACTATTATACAAAATTCTGCTATGAACATTTACATACAAGGTTTTGTGTGAACACGTTTTAAATTCTTTTGGTTATATATCTAGAAGTGGATTTGTTAAGTAATATGGTTAACTCTATCTTTAACTTTTTGAGGAACTGTCAAATTCTTTTCCAAAGAGGCTGCACCATTTTACATTCTCACTAGCAATGAATGAGGGTTCCAGTCTCTCCAGATCCTCAGCAACACTTGTTACTATCTGTTTTTTGTTACAGACATTTTAGTGTATGTGAAGAGTATTTCATTTTGATTTTCGTCTCCCAAATCACTGATGGTGCTGAATATCTTTTCATGGCTTATTGCCCATTTGTAGATCATCTATAAAGAAATGTCTTTTCAAATCCTTTGCTCATTTTAAAAAGTGGATTATTTTTCTTCTTATTTTTGAATTATAAGATTTCTTTATACATTCTGGATACTAGACCATTATCAGAAATGTTATTTGCAAATGTGTTCTCTCATTCAGTGGATTGTCTTTTCACTTCCTTGATAGCGTCCTTTGAAGCACAAAATTTTTCCATTTTGAAGTCCAATTTGCCTATTTTTCCTTTGGTTGCTATGTTTTGGGCATCATATACAAGAAATTGTTGTTTAATCTAAAGTCACAAATATTTATGCCTATATTTTCTTCCTAGTTTTACAGTTTGGGCTCCTACATTTTGATCTTTTATCTATTTTGAGTTAATTTTCACATATAATGTCAGGTAGGGATCCAGCATCATTCGTTTACGTGTGGATATCCAGCAGTCCCACACATTTATTTTTTGTTTGTTTAGTTTTTGCTTTTTTTCCACTCACTTTCAACAAGCTATGAGGTAAGCTAGGAAGATATTATTGTCTTCATTTGAAATAAAGACTTTCACCCAGCACTGACTATTCTTACTTTACCCTTTATCCTTTGTGACATCCCCTCTCCCCCAAATAACAGCGTCAGAAGTAGGATCTGGTTCAATGGGCTCCATGAGCCACCCAAAACCCTGAATTCCATCTGAAGCTTGAGGCAGCAGTTACTGTGGGCATTATGGGCCCTTCAGTATCTTTGTTTCTATTCAAAAAAGAAATCAAAAATATGTCTATTATCTTTATGGCTCTACACTTACTTGTGTATATACATAAATAAAAATTTGTTTTAAAATTGGATTAAAGACTTAAACATAAGGCTCTTGAAACTGTGAAATTTCTAGAAGAAAACATAGGGGAAATGATTCAACAGACTGGTCTTGGCAATGATTTCATGGGTATGACATCAAAAGCACAGACAACAAAAGCAAAACTAGCCTAGTGGGACTACAGCAAACTAGAAAGTTTCTGTACACCAAAGGAAAAAATCCACAGAATAAAAAGGCAACATAAGGAACAGGAGAAAATATTTGCAAATCACTTATCTGAAAAAGGGCTAATTTATAAAATATATATGGAACTCCTACAACTCAATAGTAAAAACAATCAAACAAAAAACAAATAAGCCGATTAAAAAATAAATTTGTATTTCTCCAAAGAAGGCATACCAATGGCCAAAACAGATACAAGAAAACATGCTCAATATCACTAATCATCAGGGAAATGCGAATCAAAACCACAGTGAGATACCACCTCACATCTGTTAGGGTGGCTGTTATAAAGAAAACAAAAGAACACAAGTGTTGGTGAGGATGTGGAAAAATTGGAACCCTTGTGTACTAATGGAGGGAATGATAAAAATTGGTGCGACCACTATGGAAAGCAGTATGGAAGTTCCTCAAAAAATTAAAAATAAAACTACCATATGATCCGGCAATCCCACTTCTTGGTATTTATCCAAAAGAATTGAACTCAAGATCTCGAAGACATTCTAACATTCCCATGTCAATTTTGCGTTTCATAAAAAAGAAATCATTTCAGCACTATTCACAATAGCCAAGATGTGAAAACAGCCCAAATATCCATCGACACATGAATGGATAAAGAAAATATGGTATAAACATATAATGAAATATTATTCAGATTTTAAGAAGCAGATTTGCTCATTTGCAACAACATAGATGAAGCTTGAGGACGTTATGCTAAGGGAAATAAGCCAGTCACAGAAGGACAAATAATGCATGATTCCACTTATATGAGGTATCTAAAACAGTCAAACTCATAGAAGCAGAGAATAGAATGGTGTTTGCCAGGGGCTGGGGGGAGGGGGAAATAGGGTGTTGCTAATCAACATGTATAAAATTTCAGTTATGCAAGATGAGTAAATTATATCTGACGTACAATGTTGTATCTGTGGATAACAATACTGTATGGGACACTTAAAAATCTGTTAAGAGGGTAGATTCCATGCTAAATGTTCTTACTACAATAAAAATTTAAACAAAAAAACTCCTTTTCAAGGCATGGAAACATATCTTCAAAAAACATCTTGAGAGAAGTCCCACATGTCAAACAGCTAAAAGTGAGACTACTCTGCATTAACTAGGTTATGGTTTAGGATGAATGCAAGTGTGAAGATCCAGTTTTCTGCTAACTAAAAGAAACTACTTATTCATATACACTGGATAGTAATCTCATGAGACTTATTACCCAAAAAACGTTTTATAGGGAAAAAATAGTAATAGGCTAAAAATAGCTTCTATCAATGGTTTTCAAATCGTCTTTCAAAGTCATAATTGTTCCTAGAAACTGGCTTAATGTTTACTGTGAAGGGTGATGAAAAGAGATTGAGTAGGTAGGGCTCTGCTGTCAGTACGATTTCTTGTCACCACCTGCTTAATCTACAATGTATTTGTAGACATAAAATGAGCTTCACCAAGCAGAATAAACCTCAAATTCATTCTAATTAAGAATAGATTTTTGCATTACCATATTATTTAGAGAATAATATGTGCATGGAGGAGAAGGCATTCTGTTTGATGCTTCTGTGAGAGAGAGAACAGTTTCAAAGATATCTATGAAGACATCATAGCTATCTCAATCAGAATATGGGCTGGAGGCTAATGTAATTGATATATTTAGGTCAAGGTCATCAGCACTCAACTTCCCTGTAACCTAATTTCCTCTTCCATAATGTAACAGGATTGGGCACTATTACCTCAACTGTTCTTTCTCCTTGAAGGTTCTATCACTTTCATGACTCTGAGTCAACGAATAGGCATCTGCTGAGCCTAATTTTTCATCTTGTTAAAATTGCATCACATGACATTTAGAAGACTGAATATCACTAGCATTCAAGGTTTAGTTGCAGAAAAAAGAACACGTCTTTTGGAGGTGGCCTTAAACTAGTTGTGGATATGCATTTTGAATAATGCAATGTGGTGGGATCCTGAAGAGTAAAGGAATAAAATGATCTCTTTGGCATCCAGAAGGGACTTCCTTTACCAATCCTTCCAACCCAGCAGCTACAAGCATCTCCCTTACCTGAAGGATTCTCCAACACAAGAAGCAGCAGGAGGATATCTAAGGCAAGTATGATTATGATGAAGACAATCAGAAGGACTTCCAATACAGTGAGCTTCCTCGCCATCTAGATGGACACAGATAACAGTATTAAAGCAAACCACAAAGCCCTATCAATCCAAAAGAATAGATATATATCATGATTAACGTGTGAACTCATTTGCAAGATGACTTGATTATCAGCAGCATTCCTCTTCACACAATCCAGAGAATATTTGTTTCTACTTGTCACAGTGTCTCCAATTAACCCTAATCTGTACATCCAACATCTCTAGGGCTCTTGCCTTTTTTTGTCTGTAGAGGGGTTGATATTGTCCAAAAAAACACATATCAGACAGAAAGAATTGAGGGAGAGAGAGGGGAGTAGAAGAGATTACAAGAGAAAGAAAGATGGGGGGTTGAGATGGCTCACAAATCTCTTTCAGATGCCACTTCGATCTTCACATCCACCCTGGACAGTAGAGAGGAGGTTACACACATGGAGGGAAAAAGTAGCCAAACTTAACTCCAAGTCTTCTATTCCAGTTCCCATGCCATGATGCCAAGATGCTTAACCATTTAGAGGTCACTAATCCTTTTAAGAATCTGGTAACAAAAGTGAACCTAATCCTGATCTCCAACATAATGCTTGCTTGTGTGTTCACAGCATACAAACCCATGTCAATCTGATGGCTCACAGTAGCCCTGAAGATCATTCATAGATCTAAGTTTTAAAATGTCTGATCTATTGTAGGGTGTACTGATCCAGGAATCCAAGAACTTCAATTCTTGTCCTGGTTTTCATAATAACAGGTGGACATTCTAGCTATACGGACGTATGCTTCTTCATCTATGAAATGAGGTCAGATTCTGGATATATACTCATTCTTCTGCTCTAATTATAGTAAATCTAGCATTCCCTCGCGATTTCATGACAGTCTGTAAATTCAGTGACTCTCAACACCACTCTAATTCCCATCAGCCCCATATGTTGGCTATACCCTGGAACTTTTCACTCCCCAGAATTGTTCCACTTCTGAACTCTTAACCTCCACTTCCTATTTACTGGTCAGAAGCTCATGTGCTTTTACTCTCTCATTGCATCTTTTCCTTATTCTTTGATGACTTTGAGGCTTCTTCTCTCTTTCCTTTCATATTAATCTCTTAGCCCCTCCTGTTTTAACCCTAACTGACATGGAACTCAATGTCTATTTTTGCTCTCATCTTCCTTACTCCTTTATCTGCTAAGTGAATCCATATGATGAAACCATTTATCTAAACATCTGCCTTCTGAGTTTATGTGCTTGGCCCAATGAAGATGCCACTGGGTTCACAATCTCCCAAATCTACTGGGCCTGCAAGCTGACTGACAATTTTGCCAGCTCCTCTCATTTTTCACAGAAGAAATTTCAAACACCGATCCTTCTTTTCAAGCCCCAACCTCTGTCACCTACACTCTTACTCTTAGCCAATATTGTATCCTACATCATAGACAAAATAATATTTTGCAAAAACTATTTCATCTCCCTGTTTCTCGACCCAAGCTTTTCTCTAAAAATTATCCATATCTAGTAAATTCTTATCTTTCCCCTCTCTTTTCAATGGAAGAGTTTTCTCTCCTCTTGCCTAAGCATAATCCTGTGTCAATTCTCTAAATCTCACAGGCTTTGCATTTCTAAAATATCTTATTTCACCAATTAGCTTTCTTCTTTCTTTCATCATCAACCTCTCCCTCTGAACTTACTCTTTCTCCTCATAAATAGATCCCAAGTCACCCTGAACTCTGCTGATGACTCTGTGTTCTTCTTTAGGTACCATTATAAATTTCTTTTCCTTTCATAGATAACTTTGCAAAGAGATAATTCCACACTGTCTGCATGACCTTCCTCCTTTATTACTGGCATGGTTTCTGTTTCTTGCATTCCACTGAAACTGCTATTGCCAAGGTCACTGGTGACTTAGCTGCTGAATACAATGGGCACAGTCTTAATCACCTAGCACTATCAACTACTTCCTCCTCTGAAATTTCCCACCTTTGGTTTCCTTGATATCATTCAATATTGGTTTTTCACCTACTTTTCAGGCTCTTCTTCAATATTCTTTGTAGTTCCCTATTTCATTAAATTTTGATATTCCCTATGTTTTCACCACTCTCCTTGAACAAGCTCTACCACTCATACGACTTCAAATAACATCTGAGGACAATCCAATCTGTTTTTCTAGCCGAGAAATTTAGATTCATATATTCAATTGCTTATTAGATGTCTCACTTGAATGTCCCATAGACTTAAGCAAATTCAACATGTTTAAACATGAAATCATTTCTACCCATACCCTAATCCCAACTTCTGCCAATTCTTCCAAATTGGCTGCTTCTCAAATAACTAATACCTTGAGGAACAGAATCACAACTTCTTTGAAAACCTAGGTACCTTCTTTGACTCCTCCCATTCTGTTAGTTCTTGTAGTCAGTTACCAGTTCTGTCGGACTACTTTCCCAGCATCTTTCAAATCTGTTCCTTCTTCTCTGTCCCTGCTGGAAATGCTTTAGTCAGGCCATGATTTCTGGCCTGAACTGTGACCACAGCTTCCCCAATGGTTCCCTGCTCCCACTCTTTCTGCTCCTGAAATTCATTAAGAGCACTGCAGTTGTATTGATCTTCCTATAGCACAAATAGGGTCATTGCGTTGTCCTATAGTCAAGTCTTCAATAGTTCTCCAGATAAGATATAAACTCTTTAGCTTTGTAATCAATGTCTTCATGACACCTTCTATGCCCAGCCGCCCAGTCTTTTCTCTCCTCTATGGCCCAGTCATACCAAATCAGCATTTACAAGGTGACAATCTATAAATTTATGTGGACAAAGTATTTTTTTCTCTCTTTTTTTTCACTTGTCTTTTAACTTTCCATTTCCCTACATCCCTGTTCTTCTCAACCCCAGCCCAATGTCACGAACATTTCTACAAATACTTTCATATGTATATAGCTTCACCTTTTAGCTGAGGCAGCCTTTAGGTTGATGTCTAATAAGCCAAGAAAATAAGCACCTTAATTGTGAAGCAGGGGTGAGGAGCAAGGATCTTCAGACAACTTGCCAAGAGGGAATTTAGGATTAGAGTTTCAGTCTGAAATTGAAGTTTACTAACTATTCTTTCCTATTAGCCTAAATCTATTAGGTGTTCCTCTGCTGGTCTAAATTATTCAAAGGTTTACTCTAATCCCCAAAAGAAATATATCATATTATTATATTCCCATAAAATTTCTACATCCAAGTTGATCAGGCAGGCATTGTGATTGCCATTATATAAATAAATGTTCAGAACTTTTGTCTAACCATGGTTTGTGGTGGAACTGAGGCAAAAACTGATATGCCCTGCTTCCTAAATTAGGACTTGAGTGCTCTCACTCTCTCCACAATGTCTCTTAGACTGCAGAGCTCAAAGATCAGGGAGCTAAATTTCCAGTGGTGGAATTTCAGGCAGTGAAAGAAGTGTGAGGGACCCACCCCATACGCTCTCAACACCTGACTTATTTTCTTATACGTACAGCCCATGACTCACTACCACAGCACATACATTGTCCATCAATTAGCCTTCTTCTCCAAGTATCGTTTCTCTCCATGGGGATACTTGTCCTTCCAGCCTCTACAAACCAGAAGAAGTTACCTCATCAACAGTCCTTAATCCTCCGCGGGGAGCAGATTCAGCACCTGCGGCTCAGGAAGTTCAGGAGACTGGGGACAACCCCAGGCATTTTCCTACCTCTCCAGGCAGAGAGGGTAAGTGTGGGAATTCCTAAAGGTAGAAATTCTTCCCTACTTAGAAACCGTCCCTGACCACAGCCACTTTTCCTCATCAAACAAAATTTTAGAATAATTAAAATCCAAGTTATTATTAAAAACCTTGATAATTGTATAGCCATTTCCCTCCCTGATCAAAGAGACACATTCGCCTTCCTTCCAATTCATGCCACTTTGGGCTAACTACCAGAAGGATCCCACCTGCTTATTTTTTCTTGGTTTCTCTCAGTGAGAGAGGAACATTTCACAAAACATCCTCCCCGTCTGCCCCTCACTCACTCACATACACACACGCACGCACGCACACACGCACGTCCGCGCGCGCGCGCGGGCACACACACGCACATCTCTCCTCTCCAGTCAGCCCATGACTGCATGCACTATCTCATTCCGACTTCTCATTGTCTATGGGAAGGGAAGAAAATATCAGATCCAGAGGAAAGCTATGGGTTGTCCAGGTCACTTAGCAGAGAAGAAAGAATGGGACATTTATAGGAAGATAGGGACACCAGTAGTTCCAATCACCACCCGCATGGGAAAAGTACGCACCTCATAGCCGTATGTTTTTATTTGCTGTGTGCGTCCCTCGGTGGTACTTGAGGAACAATGAGCAAAGGTGACTGAGCTGATGTAGTCAGCTTCTGCCAGGATTGATTTATTGCCCTGTAAAGCTGACGGCAATTGGAGATGAGTGCAGACCATAAAAGGGACCTTGCTTTCCTGTGACATGGAGAAAGCTCCATTTGTTAATAAAAGGGGAAGGCGGGTTTATTCTAATAGTTATGGCTCCTCTGTGTTCCTGTGCATATCCAATCACTTTGCTTGTCACAATAGATTATACTTGTTTGTCTCCCCACGTAGCCTAAAGAGCTCAAGAGCTAGGGTCTTACGCATCTTCTTTACTGTTGTATCTCCTGTGCTTAGTACTCTGCTTAATATCCACAGACCTTTTTAAATATAGAGCTATTTGTTGAAAAAGTAAGTGAAAAGTAAAAAGTGAAAAGTAAGTGGTTCATCATATTGTTCCTTTCTCCACTTTTGTCTCCCAAAGTTCTCTTGGTATTTTGATTAATTCCAATTAGCCTTCAGACCAATTATTCTGAATAAAAGAAGCACCATTAAAATAGAAATATCATCTTAAAGTGGGAAGACACCTCTATTGAATAGTCATCATGCTCTTTGACTGCTCAACACCTTTAAAAAACTCTTCTAATACTTAATGAACTTCATACCTTGAGAATTCTGCCTCCCCAAGGAAGAGCCTAGAAATTCTCTTTCACAGTCTCCCTTTCAGGCAAGGTAGAGGCAAGTGGCCTGGGCTCTGCCAGTGACATGTGCCTGTGATCCAGAAAGAAGTGGAGTGAAGAAGAAGGTGCCATGTGGAATCCAGGATGATGGACATCGTTTCAGAGGCCACAGGGACAGAGGACCCAGTGGTGTCCTATGCTCAGCATTGGTGGTACAAGTTGCCAGACGTGCTAAGAGCGGCGGCAGTGGAATCTCCACAGGACAATTGAGCTGTTGTCCCTAGCCACATAGCCTGCAAACTTGATGCTCTAGACCTCCTGGAGTTTCAATAAGTTACTATTATCTTTTATAATTTTCTTCTTAAGCTAGCTCAGGTGTTTTTTTAACTGAAATATAATTTGCATACCATGACATTCACCCTTTCATAGTATTCAATTCGGGGGTTTTTAGAATATTCACAAACTTGGGCAACCATCACCACTATCTAATTCTAGAACATTTTCATCATCCCAAAGAGAAGCCATGTACTCATTGAAGGTCATTCCCAATCCCCACCCCCCCAATCCCTGCAACCACTAATCTACTTTCTGTCTTTATGGATTTGCCTATTCTGAACATTTCAGGTAAATGGCATCATACAATATGACAATGGGTGCCCATTTGTGTCTGATTTTTTTCACTTGACATTATGTTTTCAAGGTTCATCCATGTTGTTGCAGGTATCAGGCATCTTCAGGTATTGGTACTTCATTCTTTATTATGGTTTTATTCTTTATTCTTTTTATGGCTGGATGATATTCATTATATTCATATATCATATTTTTCTTATCCTTTCATCAGTTGGTGCACATTTGGGTTGTTTCCACTTTTTGGCTATTACGAGCAATGCTGCTATAAACTTGCATGTACAAGTTTTTCCATGGACATATATTTTCAGTTCTCTTGGGAATATACCGAGGAGTAGAATTTCTGGATCACATGGTAACTCTATCTTTAACTTTTTGAAGAACTGCAAAACTGTTTTCCAAAGGCATAGCAACATTTTACATTCCCACCATGAGGGTATATAGTATATATGGGATAATGCACACCCTATATATAGTAATTTATAAGGGCATGCCATCTTTCTATGGCATCTAAGATCCATAAGTAATATGGTACTCATAGTAGTCCATGTTTGCTTCAAATACTCAGTGTATGGCAAGTATACACATGCACGCACACACACACACAAAAATTTGGTTTCTGCCTTTATGACCTCCTGGAATGACATATCTACCTTATCTTTTGGTCTAGTACAAGAGAGCCTTTGTTAGAGGGAAAATGTACCTGGATCTCATTTCAAATTGGGACGATATCTTGGCAAAAGATCAAGAAAAGAGATTTTTATTACACAAGATCTTTCTATTCATTGTGGGGTACTTTACTCTTAACTCTACATATCCCATGCTCATTTGTGGCACAATTCACATTACAATGCTAACTGACAATCCCAGCCATAACCTTCCTAACTTTGCCATCCCTTCTTGCTAACTAGCAACTGGAAGATATTGGGTCACTTGCTTGTGCTGACTAATGAAAAAGTAATAGAGACAAGCATGTGACCCAGTACCTTCCAGTAGTTTATTAGAAGGCATGCTGAAGTCAGCTATTGGCAGAGCTCAAAAAGTAATCAAAGTAAGCAGATGGTTGCAATTCGTAAGTCATAAACCAACCATATGTATGACCCTTAACTTTCAGAGCACCATTCTCCAAGGCCAGAGGCAAAACTCTCAATGATGTTGCTGTAATGACAAGAAGGGAATGTTGGTGACACCCAGACCATATCTGCTAAGGCGAAGATGACCTTGTCTTTATAGGTACCTATGATAATAAATGTTATAAGATGTTTTTAATAAGAAAAGGGAGATGAATTTCTTCCACTTTAAGTTAAAGGGTTTGGGATTACTATTTTTCATTGTAGGCACATCTATGAAGAAATAAAGTGGAGTTACATGATCTGGAGAAGAGAGAATATGTCAAAAAGACCCCAGCTTTTCCTCTAATAGCAGGCCAGCAGTTATAAATGTGGGTCCACGTTGCAGGGGCTGCTCTGGGGTAGCCACAAATGAGTATGGCTCCGTGAGTCGTGGTTCTCAAGGTGTGCTGGAGACCACACTCTGGGAGGTCCTTGAGACCTTAACATGAGGTTCATGAAGTAAAACTATTTTCAGAAAAACATTAAGAAGGCATTTCCCTTTCTTACTTTCTTTCTCTTGGGTGTAGTGGAGTTTTCCAGAGGCTACATAACGAGGTATCACAAAAAACTGAACGTAGAAGCCGTTATGGCAATTCAGGTTTTTTTCTATTGAGCTAGATTTTAAAGAGATGTGCAAAAATGTAAATAATGTAACTCTTCTGACTTATTTTTTTTGTTTTTGGAAAATATTAGCTATTTTAATTTTTAATATGATAAATTCTTTATTCAAATAGAATTCCAGTGCGTAAATAAGTGAAAAACTGAAGCCAGGGTGTGGTGCTCCGATCCCTGCCAATCCACCTTCTCCCCACTCCTAGAAAGAAATGAAGAGTCCTGGGGCTCTGTACAGCTCCATAGTTTGGAAATCACAGCTCTAGTCTGTGAAATCCAGCATTTTGCAGACGAGGAAACATGATCTCAGAGAGACAATGTGACTTAACCAAGTCTCCTGACCCTAAAGATTGCTTCTGAATTTCTGTCACTCAAACAAAAGCAGCACAAAATGCCCTGACCAGTGGATCTAAGACCTGTGATGGGGCAAGGGAGATGCAACCTTATACTTAGAGATGAACAACTCTGCTCCAGAGAAAGAAACTAAGGGAGCCACAGACCCAACTCCTCCACTGACCCTGTTTCTCAGATCTGCTAAGAATCTTTCCAATTCTAGACTAATAGTCTTCACGTCCATATGGAACTGGCTGCTTAAAAGCCAAAAATAGGAATGAATTCAAGAGACAGGTGACAGTCTGGCGCTTGGGAACTCTTGCAACTGTTACAGCTGCGTAGGGTCTGAGTTGTTAAACTGAAGTCTGGGAAGCAGACATGCCTTCACCTAGGAAATCTTGAACTAAGCTCCTCAGACATCCAAGGGGTATAACTTGGGCAATCTGTGAACATAGATGGGAAAATTACATCTTTTTTCACTAATTTATAATTGAAATTTAGCATTTCTTTGGATTATGAATGTAGACAACAGAGCACAGTTATTTTAGCAGCACATGAGTTTTGCAAAAATAGAATCAGATATTTTCATATCACACTATGAAACTGCAATAGATTTCTCAAAATATCATTTATCAATATCATCACATTGAAATTATGACATTATCAGTCCCACTGCTAGATCTTATTTAATTTTGATAGTTAAAAATCACCTCATATATTACTCTATTACATTTTTTAATATTTGGATAAGTGTACTTTGATATACAATAGAATTCCTTTTAAATAGCATGCATTGTACTTGACGCATTTAAGCAGATCATTTTTAGGAGGGGTTCCATAGGTTCACCAGATTGACTATGGGGTCCTTGACACCAGAAATGTTGCACACTCCTCATGCCTCACTCAGGGCCTTGGCAATCAGGATTCTCTAGTCACAAAAGTTCTCCTTGAGCATTTTGCGGCAGCCAGAGCCAATTTCCACCAATATGTTTTCGATGACAAAATAAAATATTTCTCGAATATGAAGTAAATAATTCTTGCCTCCTGGTAGCCTTCCTGGGTTGATTAGAGGAGAGCTGACAAGCTCCCCATCTCTTTGATCAAGGGACTCCATTGTTACTTTTCCACATTTCACTAGTTGCATAGTTAGCTCAGGCCCTCAGCCACAAGCCCCTTACTTTGATAATTAGAACATTAAGCCAATTTAACAATGTTGTTTGTCTAGCCTTACATAGCTGGCACATGAGTATGCAAGCAGACCCTGGCTTCCTGGTGTTAAAAAAAGAAAAAAAGACATAGGGAAGTAAACACATGCATTTCTAACACACTGATTTTCAAGTAATACTAAAATTAAATATCCTTGTTGAACACTAATATATAATTTCTTTAACCCAAATTTTAACCATCTAGTGTTTTATTTATTTATTTATTTATTTATTTTGAGGAAGATTAGCTCTGAGCTAACATCTGCTGCCAATCCTCCTCTTTTTGCTGAGGAAGACTGGCCCTGAGCTAACATCCGTGCCCATCTCCCTCTACTTTTGTGTGGGATGCCTACCACAGCATGGCTTGCCAAGCGGGGTGCCATGTCCGCACTTGGGATCCGTACCGGCGAACCCCGGGCTGCCAAAGTGGAACGTGTACACTTAACTGCTGTGCCACCAGGCCAGCCCCAACCATCTAGTGTTTTAAACAACAGTGTTGAAAATTCTATTTTTTCCAGAATTGATATTTTACCAAATTAGAAACTGCTATGATGACTAAAACAACAACAATCCAAGTACACATGTCCACAAACCTAAATCTTAGGAAAAACCCATGCCAGAGGTGCAAGAAAAAGGGTGGATAGTCATAAATCTGAGCATTCTCTTGGTGGATTAGACTGTATGGACTCTGATGCCAAAAAGGACAAGACCAGCTTACAAGGGTTTGCTGAACGAGAAACAGCCTTAATCCCAAAGTGAGAATCAAAATATCACGATTCAAAATCTCTGATAAATTTGCTTGTTTTATTTTTCTCTGGCATATAAATTTCATGCATTTATGGGAACTGTGGTTATATACATCAGGCAGAGTATAGAAATAAGACTGACAAATTTCAAAGCACACCACTGCAAAAAGAAGTTATTTTTTTATATTCAAACTCCTGCCTTCAGCTTTGCTTGTTTAAATCTCATCCTCCTCCCAGTCCTATAGCTAAGCATTTCCCCAAACCCTCCTCTTTCTTTCAGGTGAGTTGGCTCTTCCTTTCACCTCCCCATGAGGCTACTACTCATGATATTTTAAGTTATCTTCTTGCTTGTCATGATCACTTTTATCCTCATGGTCCATTTCCTCTCATCCTTCCTGTGTTTGCTTCTCCGTCCTCTTATGTCATGCTCCCATCATATTGCCCCTTTTTCTCTATAATCCAAGAGCAGATATTCTTTCTGGATATTTTCTTGATGGCTTAGTTAGCTCCAGAGCCTGGAACTGTCCTGGCAATCTTTTTATTGTGTATTTACCAAGAGTGGGGCCCAATCCCTGATTACGCTCACATAGACATGCACACACATGCCATCATGGGCCCAGAGCATCTTCAACAAATGTTGTATGATGAGTGATCAGTACCATACTGATCACACAGAGACATTAAGGTACCCCATAGATTTTTCACACTTCCCTACTGCCTATATTACAGGGCTAAGACGCAGACAAAACATACAACAAAATTAATGAAATATTTTAACCATATTGGGCTTGAACCAATTAGCAACACACAGTAATTTTATGGGTATGATGTACAAGGAGTTTCAAAGCCTTTCATAATTAGGATCTTGCTCTAAAAATTCACAGAGTGCTGCTCCATGTCAATGAGATGAAATTATGTAGGCTGATGTCTCTGCTGGTCACATCGATGTTTAACACCTGTTGGGAACCAAAGGAAAAGTATTGGGAATTTGGTGACTGAAATTTCCTGCACTCAAACAAATCAGATACAAACCAGGGTCTGCATGACACTCTGATACTTTCACAGTTCATTGCCTTGCTGTCAGACTACCCTCAGATATTCAGGTGAGGAGGGTGTTTCTTAATTCCTAGAGTACAAAGATTGTTCAGTGACAGGGAAAAGAAACAGGGCCCTAAATAACGCAACATGCAGCCACTGCAGAGGGACAACTACACAGACAAATTGGAGAAAATGTCCTCATTTCCACTCCCAAGAGCCCTCCTTTGATTTCCTCCTTCCATTCCCTCAGAGAACCTTGATGAACGCCCAGTAAGAGTTCAATATTTCAGCTTTCTTCTAGGCAAATACTTTCCATAAAGCTTCACCACATGTGCAGTAGTTAGCTTGTGTGTCAGTCCATGGGTTGGTCAGCAACAAAATTGGGCAAAATCCTTTATGAACTCTCAGTAAACTTGGGGAAGTTGGTTGACAAGAAAACCACAAATATGAAGAAACAAAAAATACAAAACTGAGGGGAAAACTTTGTCTCAAGCCTTGTAATCAGGAAGGATTAGGAAATAAAAATTGTTCAAGAAAAAGTAAGATGTAAGCCAACAAGGAAAGATGCCATTTACCATGAGGATAAGTGTTGAACCACTACACAGCGTTAATTCCAAGACACAGATTTTTTGCATATATAGCATTCATGAAATCAGACTGTGTCTTGCAATCGAGAGTCTTAGAATTACTGTGACCTGAGCAGCACTCATGACAATTGTTATTGTCTGAGCACGCATGAACTTCATTGTTATTACTGGTATTATGAATGGATGGACTGCAAACCACTTAGCGATTATTTTAGAAAAGAATATGAATCCTGGCTGATAGTGAGATTAAGAAAGTGCTAGGATTAAAACTTATTTACAGCATATTAGTGGCTTTGGAGAAAATCCTATAGACAATAATGAAAGAATTTCTATGAACTGAAGTATCACCACCATTTCTGATAGTACAGAGGAAATACTTTGACCAATTCGTGCCATGCATTTTTCTTTTAAATAATAATAAGTAAAACAATAAAATATTTAAATAGTAAAATAATTTAAAATATTTACATAAAAATTTAAATAGTAAAAAATATGGGATACAAATTGGTTAAGGTATTTCTAATATTTATTCACATTCAGAGTTTACCTCTTCTAAATTATTTTGACACAGATTTATCAATGTCCATGTATCTCCACCCAATATTCCCTCTGTACTATCATTAAAATATTAAAATGATAAAAATCTATGTCTAAAGAAATTTTACAAAGCTTCCTATATGTTTAAAATAGAAATTTTAAATGATATGATCGCATTGCATGATACTTTTTTAATCCTTTTTTCTTTCTTCGTGGCACATGAAATAACGAAGCAATTTTAACTGATGGTATCTTATATTTGATGACATATGGTAGTTCAAACTGTTTTGGAAGTAGATCTCTGAGGCAGAGGTGAAGGAGTAAAGACAAGTTCTATGTAAGTTTGCAGACAAGAAGATATACACGGAAAATAAAGATCCAGACACTCAATTCCAAATGATGATAACCCATGAACTTTCCCTTCATCCCCATGCTGTTCACTGTTGACCCAGTGAACACAGAGGGCTTCCTGAAGGGCTTTGCAGGAGAGGGTATCATCTGGAAGGGAAGCAGGCAGGAATTGCACTGGGTATCTCAGGGTTGGGAAATACCATTTGGACTTTTCACTGGTCACAAACCTGTGTTGTAGGGTTGTAGGTGAAGGCGGGTGTTATAACTGTGCTGCTCAGAGAGACACTGACATTGGAAACAGGAGCACTGCCCACTCCCCAGATCTCAATGTAGCCCAGTTTCAAAGGGTTTGTGTCAACGATGTATTGGTTGAAAATTACATGACTCTGCATCGTATTCTGTCAATTGGAAATAAAAGAAAATAGAGGAAAAAATAGCAAAACTCAATCAGATTTTTCCCAACCTCTTCTTAGGTACAAATGTAGATCATGAAGTAAGACAACTAATTTCAGAGTCACCATCTTGAGTCCACAGAGAATAGAGACCATGATTTTACCAGTCTATCTCCTGTTGTCAACTATCATTAATTTTGCATTGGCTAAGCACCTGCAGGGTCTCTAGAATCACTCTGAACTCTAAGGAGGCAAAGAGTCTCAGCTATCAGAAATCTTAGATTCCACATGTGGAGAAGTCATAAAATGTGCAGACCATTCCAAGGCAACATAGGAACAAGGGCTAATAACAGAAACAGTCTGTCCATCTGTGTCTTGGTGAACTGCTTTAAGTTACTTATGAAACATGAATGATTTAATCACAGAAAACTTCCTGGGAGCATATTAAAGCTCTATCTGCAGTCTAGAGGAAAGGAAGGATGCAAATTAGTAAGACAAGCAGAGAGGGAATTCTAGGTGGTACTTTATGCCTCATGATATCCATCATCCCACTAAGCCAACAGAACTGTATTCTCCCTTCATAGTATCAGTCACACTCACCTGGCTGGCAGAAAAGTTGGCCAGATAATAGAGTCCTTTTTCATAGGTATCTGCAACAAACAACAAGGTAAGCGTGATCTGGAGCTTTGCTCTGGAATTATAATTGCTTACTTGTCTTGGCTGAGAAAGTAGGGATGATTTTTGGTTTTTATTTTATTTTTCTTCTTTACAGAGTTCCATTTTGTGAGATTAGTCAGACTCTACCCCAAACTTCAATTTACACAAAATGTTTGAAATGAATGTGTATAGATGCATCTGTCTGACAGAGTCACCTCAAATAATGTGGGTTCCTAACAGTACTCTTAATCTACTTCTCTTCCTTGTGGTCTACCATTCCCAACATCTTCCTAGTCACCTCAAATTTCCAGATTCCTTCTGTTAGAGGAACACATATGTGCACTTACAGGCATGTACACCCACATCACAAACACCAAGACTGATGTCTTGGTCGGTTTATCTTGAGAGCTATTAGGCAATTTTTCAAATGTGATCTCCAGAGAACAAAGAAAACCACAGAAAAGACATCCTCGTCCTTTATCTTTAGTTTATGCCACAAGTCCCAGGAGAACATGAAGCTCAGTATATCCAGTAAAGGCAGACTAACCAGAGCCTTGTTACAGGTGTTTCCACCCTATGCCCTGCCCTTGTGACTTTCTCACTCTTCCCCACATGCCAGCTTCTTTCTAATTTGCTTCCCATTCAATCAGACGGCATTGGCTATCCTCTAGAGCTGTGCTGTCCAGGATAGTAGCCACTAGCAAAATGTAGCTATTAAAATTTAAATTAATTACAATTAAATTTAAAAAATTCAGTTCCTCAGATGCACTTGTCACATTTCAAGTGCTTAATAGTCACATATGTCTAATGGCTACCATATTGGACAACATAGATATAGAACATTTGCATCTTGCAGAAAGTTCTTTGGACATGACTAGTCTAGAAATAGCTAATGGTACTTGACCCATCCTCCTGAGAGTGTACCAATTCAGTAATCGCCTAATGGAAAATTCCACCAAATAAATAGCATAGCTGATAGAGGCATTGCCTCTCTTACTGTGACAGTAAACCATGTAATTTTGGAATGTGCCCTTGAACATAAACCATATGGAAGTAAATTTCAGTTGGCTACAAAGAAACTTTCCCTGTGGCTCCTATACTACTGTCTTCCACAGTGGATTGGTACAGTTGGATAATGGTTAGAGATTCACAATTAAGCTTTATTTACATGAGGCATAAGGATCACATACAATATGTATTATACATTTAAAAGGAACAAATGGCTATATTCAAAAATGCAAAATTGTCTTTATATTAAAAGGAAAAAAGCAGGCCTATACCCAGGAACCTAGTCAACAGTATCCAGGAGCCTAGTCAAGCTATTGACATGAATTCAAGGCAACCTTACTCACCAATGCTTTGCCCATCATCCCAGAAGAGACAACCTTCAGCAGTCCCATCGTCATCCAATGCAACCTTGAAACCTATGAATTTCTGACGGCTGCAGTGTGGTAAGAGAGAGGCATTAGCTAAACACAAAACCACAACCACAAACCAAGGATTTTCATAAAAACATAAAGGGAGTGCTTCATGGTATAAAGACTGAGTACTAGGATTCAAGAGACTTGTCATCTAGTTCTAGTTCTGTCTCCATTAACCGTATGTCTTCATTTCAGGAATGCAGGAATGACTCAATCCAGGGGCATTTTCCTTTATGGTTCTATAAGCTCTACAGGAAACCACGAGCAAACTCACTAGATTCCTTCCTTTCCCCACTGTGAGGAAAACCCTGAGGCTCTGATCCTCCTCCTTCCATGACCTAATTTCCTAAACAAATGTACAGTGAGTTCTGTTTACAGATGTCCTGAGTTCTTCAGTTTTTGACTGAATTTTTAGACTCAAGTGAGCAGGGCTCTACGAATTTTAGTTTGACATCAGACAGGCATGGATTTTAGTCCCTGCTCAACTACTTACTAACTCTGTGACTCAAAGCCAATCACTTATCCTCTTGAAGCTTCTCTTTGCTCATCTGCAAAATGGGGATGAGAGCAGTACTTACATCATAGAGTTTGTTTTTTCCTTTTGTTAAGAAAAATAGATAATGTCTGAATAGAAATCTCCATTTTAGTACAGCTCTAGGCACAGAGCAAGAATTCACTTGATGCTAGCTAATATTAATTAGTATACATACTTAGGTCTAGAATTTTAAATCTTATTTATGAGGAATCTCACCCTCGGGCATCAGTTTCAATATGACCTACACATTTTTCCAGCAATAGTTTTCTTAGAAAAGAGTCAATTAAAGGCCAGATGGTTTTCTAAAATTAGCATGAATCATGGTGGCCCCTGTTTGACTTCCACTTCAACTGTCACTGATTAGACCCATCATCTCACCCACTTAGATCTAAAATAGTTGTTAATAATTATTCAAAGAGAGGAGGTTCTGAAAAGGTTAAAACACACAAACAAAGAAACAAACAAGAATGTGTAGTAAAATTGCTTTTGGGCCTGAGGGTGCTGCTTAAAAATCAGTGGGCTTCACCAGGATCTGGGCTAACTGGCATGTAAAGGAGAAAACTGGCCCCATCATTCACCTTAAGTGGGTGTTCTGTGCAGGCTCTTGCCAGGGCAGGATGTAGCCCCCTCGGACATGAAGATTGATGTGGTCAAGAGGGGCTGGCAAGGACTTCCACTCTCCCCTTGCTTTAATGTCCTCACCCTGTGGGCCAGAAGAAGGTAAGAGATGATGAGGGAGAGAACACACCTCCCTGAACAAGGCATTTACCAAACATCTTGTCCACTCTTCTCAACTTTCTGCCTGTTCATGATCCTTCAGCACACACCTGTTATTACACTTTCCCACATTCACCCAGCTGCTGAGTGGAGTCTTGCTTTGCTGCTATGATTCACGTCAGGATCCCTCATCTTTGAGGGTTTTTACAGTACATACTACATGAGATCCTAGCAGGTATCTCACCCTACCCTCACTCCACATCCCATTTCAGTGTCAGAGAGCACTTCTTGAGCAATCCTTCTGTTCACTTCTTGTTGGCTCCTGATACACTCCCTGTAATGGCATTTCTAGCCCTTCTCTTTCACTTTCTCTCCACCTCCCTTGACTGCCCCCGCTCCCCACCCTTTCCAACTTAACTAACACCTTTGACTCCTACTGGCTGGAAATGATTAAAGTGAGCTGACTTACTTTACAAATTCTTATCTTTAACTCACTATATCTTCCTTTATGTTTAACATCTTTATCTTGCCGCATGTGTGACAAGAAGTGCTCTCTCACCCTGAGCCATAAACCTTAATGCCTTAGAAACAATCCTATCACATTTTCTCAACCTAGGGCAGAGCTTCTAAACTTCATCATTATGGACATTTGGGGCGAGATAATTCTTTGCTTTGGGGGCTGTCCTGTGCTTTTTGGATGCTTACTACTGTCTATCCACTAGATGCCAGTAGCATCTCCCCCACCCCCTACCACGTGGTGACAACCAAAATTGTCTCTACACATTGCCAAATATCCTCTGCTAGGCAAAATCCTCTCACTTGAGAATCACTACTTTAGAGGTAAGGAACAAAGCTACCATAACAGTCCTTCAGTTTTGGTCCTTGATCTTCATTTTATACAGAATCAACCTGTACACAACTGCAGACGTAGGTGGTAGAAGGAAACACAGTGACTAGTCCCACCTTCCCTGAGGGGAACTCTGCTTCACGGGCCTGCCTCAGGACTCCAAAGTCCACAGGACTTTATAAAAATTCCAGCCCCATATCTCTAGATTTCTTCAGTTTTATCAATGATATCATGAGAAAACTAGACTATATTATTTCTAATGACACTTTACTCCAATATCTTATGAATTCTGGACATTTTCCTCCACTGATTATCTTACTTTCAAGTGAAACTTGATGCATTTAAAACTGTCAAAGTTATCTTCCTTTAAAATTCTTTATCTGTCTCAATATTTCCATTCTACTACACGTTATGGCTAAATATGACACGATTTTAATCTTCTCATGATTTCATTTTCAATATCATATAAGTTACAAGCTTGTTTACTTTCCTTTACATAGTTTCTAACCAGGCTAGCCTAACAGATTTCTGTTAAAATATATGTAAAGATATGATGATAAGATAAAATCTAAAAACAGCACTATTAAAATAAGAAAAGACAACCAAACCTGCCTTTGTACAGGGTAATTTCCATCAACTGCATAGGCATTGGTTATGATTGAGAACCACTATTTTAAAAACCCAACATATGTTCTACACTGTAAACAAACAAACAAAATGACCAGAAGCAGATAAAAACTTTGATTCATACACATTGTCTTCTCTTTACCTTCATAAAAATAGGTAATCAATAAGACATGTCAGAATAGTTCCATGCCTCCTCCCTCCCAAATAAAGTCTACAAACTACAGTGCCCATTACGACAGAAAGGAGAGGGGAATGGACAGAAAAATGCTTCATAGCATGCTCAATCACAAAGGCGTGACTGAGACAGGCCCCCAAACAGCTGTAAACTGCTGATTTTGCAGCTCATTTAGAGAACCTGAGAGAAGAGAGGAAGATCAGAGCCTCAGTCCTGCAGACCCCTCCAGCTAAATGAAGGAAATCAGCCTGTCCTGCCACTTCCTAAAACAAGCGGGAACTAAAGGCCAAGCAGTAAATACTATAAACACGCAGTCATTAAAAATGTTCAGTACTGACGGAATAAACAATTCACAGATTAACAAACTGAAGACAGAAAAGAAAAGAGAAACCTTTCAGACAAATTCTAGCATAGATAAGAACAGCATATGATAACGGAAGTTTAGCGAAGCAAAATACTGGGAAAGGTGACAATTCGGGGGAAAATAGCTGTATCTTGACATTTGATTATTCACCAAATGCATTCCAGTGACTTAAAACATTAATTTCATTATATTAAAGTTAAACTCTCTATAAAATTATAAACAATTAAAAAGAAAAAGAGGAAAAGTATTTCCAACAAATATGGCAAAGTGTTATTAATTTAAACATGTAAATATCCTTTAAAAATCAGTATGAACAGTGTAAATAACTTAATAGGAAGCTGGCAAAAGAATAGAAAGTTCACAGAAGTATAAATGGCCCATCAAAGATAATCACAAATCAAATCAATGATGAACATCAGGGTCCACATTGCCTTTAAGAGTGCTACAAAGATGAACACAAAAATTTAAAAAAAAAACCTAATAGTCGAAGCTGACAAAGATTTAGGGAGATGAACACTTCCATCAAGTGCTCATGGGAATGTAAATTGTTTCTGTAATTTTGCCAACTTATATTAAAGATTCTGGTTAGATATATTTACGCATCTTCTCTGGCTGGAAATTCAGATAACTACTGGAAGACAAGTGGAGTGGAACACATGCTGGATATGCTCTCTTGTATAGACAAGATGGAAATTTAAGCTAATGTAACGTTCTGTTGAATGGAAGAGACGGAAATTAGACTAACTCTAGAAACAGGAATTTTATGAATTATACATAAACTCCTGCCTCACGTAAGTATATAATAATCTGTGTAACAACAAAGAAACTCAGTTCAGAAATAGGATCTGATGGGGCTGGCCATGTGGCATAGTGGTTAAGTTCAGCATGCTCTGCTTCAGCTGCTCAGATTCACAGGTTCGAATCCCAAGTATGGACCTACACCACTTGTCAGCCATGATGTGGTGGTGACCCATATATAAAATAGAGGAAGACTGTAACAGATGTTAGCTCAGGGCAAATCTTCCTCGGCAAAAAAAAAAAAAAAAAAAAAAAGGATCTGCTAGAATGCTTGAATTAAATCATCTGATCCAAGTGGAGAGCCTAAGTCTCCATGCTTGTTTACCAAGTCCAAGACTTTTCCATGCTTTTGCTACCATCTGTAAAACATCTTTCCTCTTCATCTTTCAAAATGTTAAGTGTCTTTGAGTGGCACTTCTGTAAGCTGTTGGTAGGACTGGGTGCTGATAAAACCTTTTCAGAAAGCAATTTGCCAATATCTGTCAAAATTTTAAATACTTTATACTGGCAATTTCACTGCAAACTCAGGACAACTGTGAGGCTTTCTTAAAAAAAATTGGCTGTTCCCTTCAGGAAAGCCCTGTTTGGGAACGCATAGCAGAGTCTGAACCTACTGACACCCAGAGGACAGGCCTAGCCAGCAAAAAAATGGAGGCAGATTCAAGGCTCCATGGGATAAAGAAGAGGAGAAACAAAATTTTCATTGTGCTTGCACAGTTTTCACCTAATGCCACCAAAAACCCTTTGGTGGAGAGGGGCCAGAGCACGCTCTGCTTCTCGCCCACCTGCTGTAATTCTTTTGCTGTATGTCCAGTCCTCTGCTTTGTTCTCCTCAGAAAGTCAGAAGAGGAGTCCTGGTTAGAGGGAGAGGAAGCACCCCCTTTGACTCTTCCTCTAGAATCAAACTCTAACTTGTCTGTGTCCCTGCAAAGACAACACTGCCTTGAAGCTTCCTTGGAAGACCTTGTTTTCCCAGCTGAGTCTCTGGGGCTCAGACTAGCCCAGAAAAGTAATATGACAGAATGATGTGTTCATTCTACATTTCTAAACTCACTTGCGTTGCTCCGGCTCACAAGGGTTGGGCCTCATACCTCTGTGTGCATTTCACGTAATGCTTAAGACTCCACTTACCTTGGGAAATTACCTTTAACAATTCTTTGAATGTCTATGATGTACAAGGAGGTATTTAATAAAAAGACAGAGAGGAAAAGGCCTTTAATATTTATGAATTTATAGTCTATCAGGGAAGATATAAATAAAAACTATAGTCTACAGTGCAATTTCAAGTGTTTACTGGTATCTGTCGTTATACAGTGCCATGAATAGTGGTCGTATAAGAAAACATAAAAACTAACATGTAAAGAACACTCACGAGAAGCCAGGCACCAAGGGAGATGCCTTTATGTGTTATCTCACAACAATTCTGTGAGAGAAGTGGTCTCCCCCAGTTGGAGGTGAGAAAACTGAGGCTACAAGGTTAAAATGACTCGTCCAAGGTCATGCATCAGGTAGGTTACAGAGGCGAATTTGACCCGAGGTCTGTCAGATTCTAAAGCCTGTGCACGCTACTGTTTTCCCAGGTTGTATAAACAGTGAGAAAAACTTACCGTGTAGTAATCATACCAGCGGGCTCTGGGGAAATATGCAGTGACGTTTCTGGCATTCTGAAATTAAACACACACAAAGCATAGGCAGTGGGCTCCATTAGCTAGGGCAGAGTAATCAGTTTGCTTAGTAAAGGAGTCAAAACAATACTGATGGCCTTGAACCCACATGTCTCACTTCTCTCGAGATCAGCAATATTGGGGAAGCCTTCTTCCCCTTCCTGCTTCTCAAACAGGGGAGATTTGCCTACTCAAAACTAGTGGCTTCCATAAAACCCTTTGGGATCCAGGTCTTTGGGGAAAAAAAATACCGTTTGCTTATAGATTTACCAATAACCTCTCTAAAAAACAAACTGAGGTTGGGTCTGGGGCAGAAGAAAATTTTTTGGGTTTATGGTGCCAATACTTCAGAAATTATGATTAGTGCAATAAGTTTTAGGGAGAATGCAATTAACTGATATTTTAATCAGAAGCCTCATTGTCAACAGAGGAAATAAAGAAGTGGCTGCCTAAGGACCTCCTGTAGGAGGAAGGGAAGAGCTAGTCAGCAGCAACAAGATTTTACACAGTGCTCAATCTTTCTGAAAAGTTCTGTTTTAATGATGATAGATGATTGTAATGATTTCTCTACAACACTTCCCCCACCTGACCCATACTCCTTATTTCCATTAATGAAGAAATGATTCCGTCTTCAAATATATCTAAGATTTTTTCGTTCTTGATTGTCCAATGAATCAGCATTAGTTATGCTGATTTTAAAGATGAGGGAGCTGAGGCTGGCCCGGTGGTGTAGTGGTTAAATTCGCACTCTCTGCTACTGCGGCCTAGGGTTCACAGGTTCAGAGCCCAGGTGCTGACCTAGCACCACTCGTCAAGCCACGCTGTGGCAGCATCCCACATAAAATAGAGAAAGTTTGTCATAGATGTTAGCTCAGAGACAAGCTTCCTCACAAAAAGTGTTTTAAAAAATAATGATAATAAAGATGAGAGAGCCAAAGACCAGAACATCTAAATGATGGACTTCAGCTCAGAGGGAGAAGAGGAGTCAGAGGCAGAATAAGAAACCACATCTCAGGACCCTCACCAGACCAGGCCTCGTCCTCACCCCATCCACCAACCTCACAGCTGGGATCCTCTATTCATCAGAGGCCTCCATACTCACAGGCTCCAAGACAGGGCTGACCAGGAAGGCTGGGCCCAGCAGGAACTGACTGTCTATATCCCAGGTCACCTGGTCTGACACAAACCTAGAAAGGGAAACCAGGGTACCACAATCAGGACCCCAACAGGGATCCAGGCCAAAGCCTTGAAGAAACTCTTCACGTTCAGAATCAAGTCAGAAATCTAGCTGCATTCCATGCCATCCTTTACTCTTTGCCTAGGTCTACCTTAATCAGGTACATACTCACTTTGTACAAGTCATGTTCTTCAAACTCCAGAAATGGTTGGATTTAGACATGTTCTTACCCATAAATAGTTTCATGTTTTTAACCAATGACACATCTGAAATGCAAGAATGGCCTTCATCCTTCAAATATACCCCTGGAATGGCTTCTCTTATGACCTGAGCTGCTACAAAAGATAAGTAGGTCTTCACAGGCCCATATTAGAAAGAAATTACTCTGTGCTATATTGTATCATTTTGAGAACTTTTTAAAATTCAATAGCCTTTTATCAAAGACCTAGGGTGTGACTGACACTGTGCTAAAAGGAGTAAAAATGTATGATCTGTGCCTAGAGAGCTTATGGCAAAAGCAATCAAGTCTCTAATTTAATTTGGAAGAATTAGAACTGCCACCATATAGAATGAAATTATCCCTTAGTCCTTGGGATTCCAGCTAGACACTCACTCATGGAGAAGAGGCCGCACAACAGTGCTGCCCTCCGTGTGGGCCAAGTGCATCAGGGTGTAGAGATACGGCAACAGAGTGTATCTGGTCTGCAGGACAGTTTTGGAGATATTCACAAAGGTAGCATCCCAGGACACAGGGTCTTGTCTCTAAAGGAGAAAAGAAGAGTGTTCAGAGCTCACTCTTTGGGACCTGGGGGACTTAATGAGGTCACTGACCGTTCATTCCAGATGAAGATCACACATAGCTAAACCAAAGATGATTACTGATGAGACTCACAGAAGATTTTTAATAGAATTTTTAATAGATCGAAAGAGGTCACAGAAGCTCTCCCAGGACAGCTAAGAAAATTTCCCCCTAAGACATTCTTTTGGGGATATATTTGTTACAATACTGCCCAAACAAAAAGAATAATCTAAAGAACACTGAGGAATATGATTCAGTGAAACATGAGAATCATTTCATGTACCTGTTGGCTGTTTTTGTATCTTCTTTGAAAAAATGCCTATTCAGTTCCTCTGCCCATTTTTTAATCAGATTGTTTGGGTTTTTGCTATTGGGTTGTAGGAGTGCCTTCTGTGTTTTGGATATTAACCACTTACCAGATATATGGTTTATAAATGTTTTCTTCCATTCTGTAGGTTGCCTTTTCATCTTGTTGATTGTTTATTTTGCTGTGCAGAAGCTTTTTAGTTTGATACAGTCCCACCTGTTAATTTTTGCTTCTGTTTCTTGTTGCCTGTGCTTTTGGTGTCATATCCAAAAAACCATTGCCAAGAACAACAGTAAGGAGATTTTTCCCTATGTTTTCTTCTAGGAGTTTTACATTTTCAGGTTTTATATTTAAGTCATTAATCCATTTTGAGTTAATTTTTGTGGGTGGTATAAGAAAGGGGTTCAATTTAATTCTTCTGCATGTGATTATCCAGTTTTCCCAACATCATTTATTAAAGAGACTGTCTTTATTCCATTAAGTATTTTTATCTCCCTTGTCAAATATTACTTGACAGTATATACAAACGTTTATTTCTGGGCTCTCAATTCTGTTCCATGGTCTATGCATCTAATATATGCCAGTACAATACTGTTTTGATTACAATAGCTTTGTAATACAGTTTGAAATCAAGAAGTGTGATGCCTCTAGCTTTGTTCTTCTTGTTTGGCTATCCATGGTCTTTTGTGGTTCCACACAAATTTTAGGATTACTTTTTCTATTTCTGTGAAAAATTCCATTAGAATTTTGATAGGAATGCCATTGACTTTATAGATGGTTTTGAGTAGTATGGACATTTTAACAACATTAACTCTTCTGATTCATGCACATGGGACAAATTTCCATTTGTGTCTTCCTCAATTTCTTTCCTCAGTGTCTTACTGTTTTCAGTGTACAGATCTTTCACCTCCTTGGTTAAATTTATTACTAAATATTTTGTCACTTTTTGATGCTACTGTGAATAGAATTGTTTTCTTTATTTCTTTTTCAGATGTTTCATTGTTAGTATAAAGAAATGCAACTGATTTTTGTATGTTGATTTTATAATTCTGCAATGTTACTGAATTCATTGATTAATTCTAATAGTTTCTGGTGACATCTTTAGGATTTTCTATGTATAAGATCATATAAACTGTAAACAGGTAATTTGACGTGTTCCTTTCTAATTTGAATGCTTTTTATTTCTGTTTTTTGCCTCATTACTCTGGCTAGGACTTCTAGTACTATGTTGAATAGGAGTAGTGAGAGTGGGAATGCTTGTCTTGTTCCTGATCTTAGAGGAACATCTTTCAATGTTTCACCATTGAATATGATATTAGCTGTGGGTTTATCACGCATGTCCTTTATTATGTTGAGGTACATTCCTTCTGTATCCAATTTGTTGAGAGTTTTTATCATGAAATGATGTTGCATTTGTCAAATCTTTTTTTTTCTTGGTGAGGAAGATTGGCCCTAAGAGAACATCTGTTGCCAATCTTCCTTTTTGTTTTTCTCCCTGAAGCTCCAGTACATAGTGGTATATCCTAGTTGCAAGTCATTCCAGTTCTTCTGCATGGGATGCCACCACAGCATGGCTGGATGAGTGGTGTGTAGTCTGCTACCAGGGTTTGAACAGGCAAACCCCAGGCTGCCGAAGCAGAGCATGCAAACTTAACCACTCAGCCACAGGGCCAGCCCCTGACAAATCTTTTTTCTGCATTTATTGAAATGATCATATGATTTTTATCTTTCTTTCTGTTAACGTGGTATGTTACATTTATTGATTTGCATATGTTGAACCATCTTTGCATCCCAGGGTTACCTTGCATTCACGTGCATTGATCACAGTGTGTGATTCTTTCAATGTGCTAATGAATTTAGTGTGCTTCTATTTTGTTTAGAATCTTTGGATCTATATTCATCAGAGATATTGGCCTGTAGTTTTCTTTGCTTTTAGTGTTCTTATCTGACTTTAGTATCAGGGTAATGCTGGTCTTGTGAAATGAGTTTGGGAGTGTTCTCGCCTCTTCAATTTTTTGGGAGAGTTTGAGAAGGATTGGCATTAATTCTTCTTTAAGTGTTTGATAGGCTTCACTAGGGAAACCATCTGGTCCCTGGATTTTCTTTGTTGGAAGATTTTTGATTACTGATTCAATCTCCTTACTCATTATTGGTCTGTTCAGATTTTATATTTCTTCATGATTCAGTTTTGGCAGGTTGTATGTTTCTAGGAATTTATCTCTTTTTTTCTAGGTTGTCCAATTTGTTGGTATATAATTGTTCATAGTAGTCTCTTATGATCCTTTGTGTTTCTGTCATATCAGTTATAATGCCTCCTTTTTATTTATAATTTTATTTATTTGAGACTTCTCTCTTTCTGTCTTAGGAAGTCTAGCTAAAGGCTTGTGTTTTTTTTTTTTTTATCTTTTCAAAGAACCAGCTCTTAATTTCACTGATCTTTTCTATTGTTTTCCCAGTCTCTATTTCATCTATTTCTGCTCTGATCTTTGTTATTTCCTTTCTTCTGCTAACTTTGGGCTTAGTTTGCTCTTCTTTTGCTAGTTCCTTGAAGTGTAAAGTTAGGCTTTTTGTTCGAAATCTTTCTTTTTTCTTAATGTATTTATCACTATAAACTTCCCTCTTAGAACTGCTTTTGTCGCATCCCATAAGCTTTGGTATGTTTTGTTTCCATTTTCCTCTGTTTCACGGTGTTTTTTTAAATTTCCTTTCTGACCCATTGGTTGTTTAATTTCCACATATTTTTGAATTTTCCAGTTTTCCTCCTGTTATTGATTTCTAGTTTCCAGAGAAGACATACAAATTGGCAACAGGTACACGAAAAGATGCTCAATATCACTAATATTCAGGGAAATACAAATCAAAACCACAGTGAAATATCACATCACACCTGCTAGGATGGCTATTATCAAAAATACAAGAGATAACAAGTGTTGGTAAAAATGTAGAAAAAAGGGAACACTTCTGCACTGTTGGTGGGAATGTAAATTGGTACAGCCACTATGGAAAACTACAGAGGTTCCTCAAAAAATTAAAAATAGAATACCATATGATCTAGAAATCCCACTTCTGGGTATATCCTTAAGGGAATGAAATCAATATCTTGAAGAGATATCTGCACTCCCATGTTCACTGCAGCATTACTCTCAATAGCCAAGATGTGGAAAAAACTTAAATGTTCATTCATGGGTAAATGGATAAAGAAGATGTGGTATGTAGATATATAGACATATACATACATACCTACATAAAATGGAATATTAGTCAACTACGAGAAAGGAGGAAATCCTACCATTTGTAACAACATGAAAGGACCTTGACAGCATTGTGCTAAGTGAAATAAGTTAGACAGAGAAAGACAAATATTGTATCATCTCACTTGCGTGTGGAATCAAAAAGAGTTGGACTCATAGAAACAGAAAGCAGAATGGTGCTTATCTGGGTCTGGCAGGTGGGGGAATGAGATGTTGGTCAAAGGGTACAAACTTCCTGTTATAAATTGGATATGTTCTGGTGATCTAATGTACTGCATGGTGACCATACTTAACAATACTATATTATATACTTAAAAGTTGCTAAGAGAATAGATATTAAACGTTCTTACCACAAAAAAGAAATGGTGATTATATGAGGCGATGGGGATATTAACTGATCCTACTGTGGTAAACATTTCACAATATATAAGTATATCAAATTTTAAAAAAAAGAAACATGATGGTTTAACGGTTTTGAAGATGTTTCTGAGGAATATGGACTGCATTAATTGTAGTTTAAAATTGAAGGCTGTGTTCCTGGTGACACCAAACTGTGGAGCTATGAGCTAATGTCCTACCCTGGTCCCAATGGTGTTGTGGTTCCTTGAGAATGGGTAAAAGGCCCCCAGTTGCATCCAGCGAGCACACATCTCATATTCAGCATCTTGAAAGAACCCACAAATATCTGCTCCTGTCTGAAACAAGATGGAATAAAACGAGCCTGTTGATGGTTTCTGAAAGATGTCATCATCTGCTTGATTAGAAGTGATTCGAAGGACACTTACATAGGATATGCCAAAGAGGCTAAACTCCATCATGCCTGCAATGAGAACCACAGTTGTGTCAGACAGGGCACTCGTGACCTGCCTCCTCCTCTCTCCTCCAAGAACCCTTTATGGAGGATCCTAACTGCCCTCCCCGGTGGCAGAGGCCCCTAGGAATAAGCCCACACACCAATGATAGATTTCCTCAGTTGGTCCCATGCAGCCGTGTTGTCTCCCAACCAGTGTCCTGCCCAGCGGCCAGAAGAGGGGAATGTGGAACGAGTGATGACAATCCCTCGCTGTCCTGTCACCTCCTGCACAGCTCTGGTTGGAAGGGAACAAGGAGGTGACTGAGGGAAGAGCAGGGGAGGAAAGGCCACTGAGCTTCTCCTCCCAGAGCTCCTGAGCCTAGGGCATAGTAACAAAATGTTTCCTGCATTACTAGAGGGAATATGGAAATCTGAGCCATAATGATGTCCCCACTGACTGATTCCAGATGATACAGACAATAATGACAGTTGTGCCTTCAGATAGTAATTTATGTTTTACAAAAAACTTCATCATGTAATAAACTCACTGGATCCACTAAAAGTAATAAGTAATCACTAAATCTTATAATTTATTTATTCAGTACTTACTTTTATATATTTGGGGAGGAAAAATGTGAATTCCTTTATAAGGCTTTCCTTAGGACAATTCATACTATTCATTGACTGAGCACACAAAATGTAACAGTGCTGATTTAGTAGAATACCAGTTGGCTATCCAACAGAAATGACCAAAAAAAAATCCCAATAGAGATGAGTCATTTTTTAAATAAAAGAAAGAGATGTCCAGTCTTCTGTGTTCTCTATGCCTTTTATAACTAAAGTTACTATAGCATCAGCTGCACTGCATAATCAGTGCTGGTGTCTCCTCTACCAGGACTATTAGTTTCTCACTGGCAGGACCATGCCTTATTTAAATCTGTTCTCCTAACTATGATCACAGGGCCTGGCTCCATTCTCATGAGTGTTTATTTAATAAATAAGAACTGTTACATAATTTTAATCAACATCTCATTGGCCTTGGAAAGGGGAATGAAGGAAAAGCAAGGAAGCTTCATCAGTCACTGGCTGTCACTGCAGATGGTGCCCATTGGATATGGGAGATGGAGACTCACTCGTATGTGGGTCTGGTCTGGGACCACCCGTACAGGCTGTGCACATCATAGTGCCGCACCCGGGAGCCATCTGGCAGGATCTGCTCACTCTCCATGCAAAGGGTCTTGCTGCTCAGACCGCTGTCCCTGGACTCCAAATCTGAGGACAAAGATTTAGTGATATAACAGCCACCTCTGATTCTGTTTATCCCTAACCTCTCTTCAAGGGATTGGACTCTGGATCTTAAAACTAACTTGACCCCTAAATAGGTCCCTCTCCTCCCCAGGGACATGGGAACGTGCTTGGCTCTGAGCCGCAATGGCACCCACAGGTGCTTTCAACATCAAGTCCCCTGGAATGTTCTCCAGAAGAAAGCAGGGGCATGGGGAAGAACACACAGTTGTCAAATACTTATTACATGACAGGATCCAATCTAGACCTTTAACATGCAAATTATTTCATGGGATTCTTATCATAATTCTATGAAGAAGATATCATTATCCTCTTTTTACAGTTTTAAAAAATTGAGATTTGGAAAGATCAAGTAATCTGCTGAAGGTCATACAATTCACAGAGCGTATAATTTCTGCAGCCAAGATATGAACATGAGCGTAACCCCAAAGTCCATTGACTCTGTGATAAGGGGAAATCACTACTTTCTGCCCGCTGGTGGCACAACAAATTCCTGTGGAAGAATTAACATAAGCCTGAAGATTTAAGAAACTTAGCTGTAGACTCCTTTGGAGACATTACCATTGTTAAATGTTTTCTGAACAAATTCAAGAAATTTATCCAGTGGGCAAGAAACTTGCACACACCCAACTGAGTAAAGTGCTTGAAGCATACTCGTCTTTAGCACCTCAAAAACCAGAGCCCCAATGAGGATGTGCCCTGAGCAGTCAGGATAAACCCCTGACTGCTGGGTTTTTGCAGGGGTCACTCCTTGTAGCCATGGCTCTGCCAGTAGAGAAGGCCAAGGGTCCTTACATGGCATATAGGGAGGGTGGTTCAGAGTGGCATTCATGCAGCCTGGAGGAACTGCCCCATTCACAAAGCTTGCCGGTTCATTCATGTCCTAGAAATGTCAAATATAGACATATCTTACTTTTTAAAATAATTACATCCTATCAACTCAGAGACAAGAAGTGATGAATAAATCATTCAGCATCCAGTAATCCCATAGATACCAGCCCAGGGAGACTCATCAAATCCATCTGAGAATTGATGAGAAATATCAATTAAGCCCTACAGAATGACTGGCTAGAGGGTTTTTTAAAAAAAATTCTTCCTCGGGGGCCAGCCTGTGGCCAAGTGGTTGAGTTGGCGCACTCCGCTTCGGCGGCCCCGGGTTTTGCCAGTTCGGATCCTGGGCGCAGACAGGGCGCCACTCGTCAGGCCATGCTGAGGCAGCATCCAACATGCTACGGCTGGAGGGACCCACAACTAAGAATATACAACTACGTACTGGGGGTTCTGGGAGAAAAAGGAAAAATAAAATCTTTAAAAAAAATTCTTCCTCAGAGTGTGAGACAAGGCGCAGATCCAAGGAATTCCTAGTAATCACCTTGGAGTTTTACAGCAGGAACTTCAGGCAAGATACAAGATATGAGGAGTATCCGGGATGCTCTACTCCCGAGTGGAGGAATTGCAGCCTGATACGTCCAACTCTTTTCTGGAAGATTATTATCCTCCTTGATTAAGGGTCAGTGATACCAATGCTTAGACACACAAAGATAGAAACGCACCCATCCACATGTACAGACACAAACACACACACTTACAATCCACATGCCATCAAACTTCAAGCTCTTCTCTGGATTCTGTGGGTTGCTGTATAGTTCTTCAAACTCCCTCTTCCACCATTTGACAGTTGAATTACGGAAAAAGTCTGGGAAGGCTGTATAAGCTCGGTATAGCTATAAAAAGTAAGTATAATTTATTTGTCCTAAAAAAATATATTAGACTGCAAATAAGCATTTCCTGAGAGAGTAACTCATGCAAAGCTCTGCACTATATGATGATAGATAATCCAAATAGAGACTAATTAATGTTTTCAGCTTATTTAATATACAATGAGCACGAAAAAAAGAAATTAGCACAAATTAGACACCTTTCTAGCATTTAGAAATCATCCATGAACTGTTCCTCTTTGTACCTCTTTGTATCAACATGAATGGTAGCAATCAACACCCTGAACTCACTATCTCATGTGTTAGACACCCAACACTCAACTTCTACCCTGCAATTTCCTAAGCACTGGCTCAAAGACAAAGCATGAGCCAGGGAGAGACTGCAGCTTGAAAGGGGCAGACATCAGATGCATTGTCAACAGTTTGGACAGAAACATCCAGGTAATCCTCTCCTATCTCATAGCCATTGGGGAAAGAGAGTGAGAGGTAAGATTGCATTTCGTTATGTTAGACTACCTAACTAGTATGCATCTGTGTTTTCCATAGTTTCAGAATCACCTGAAAACTGCTATTGTGTGTCAAGTAAATTGGGAGGATTCATGAGGAAGTTTCAACTTCCCCTTCTCTTTATCTTCCTCAAATAATAAAAGCCGTGTCTTTATTTTAACCTGGAAAGTGGATCCAATGTATAACTTCCTAACTGTAGTGTAAGCTTTATGAGACCAAGGACCTTGTTTTGTATTCTTCTGGTTGATCTTTGTATTCCCCGACAGTGCTTAGTTTAGGACCTGACATGAGATAAATGCTCAGTGCATAATTGTGAAGTCACACCACTTAGCAGCAGAAAATATTCACAAATTTCTATATAGTCCAGGTTGTTTGTTATGAAAATTTATGGTCCTTTTTATGTTTCACTGAATAGGTTCCTCTATGTTCATCAGTGCATTTTTAGAGTTAAAGAGCTAAATAATGCTCGTGGCAAGGATAGGGGGGAACAACAGAAAGAGAAATTGGTCCAGGAAACCCCCAGCTCTTATACACAATAGAAAAAGGCAAGTAGGAACTATATGTCTAGTTAAAAGGCAAAAATAGGTCACAAAGAAGGAAACAGAAATGGGCAAGTAGGAACTATATGTCTAGTTAAAAGGCAAAAATAGGTCACAAAGAAGGAAAAAGAAATGGATCAGAATGCAGGGCTCCCGCTCACAGAGAAGTGAGAGAGTAGTGAGCCACATCACTGAGAATCTCATGAAAAGGAGGCATACCAAGGATGCCTTTTTGTTAGAAAATAGAGGTAGAAACATGGAACCAGAAGAAGAGAACATTTCAACAGAAACAGAGTGCTCCACGTCAGGCGAGGTTAGAAACATGGGGTAGGGGAGAGGGATGGAGAATTAGAATAAACAGAGTCAATGCCAGCCATGTCTGAGTCATAACTGAATCTCATGTGGGATACAAGTGAGAAATTTGACCAATTTCGATTTATTAACCTCACTAAAAGTTGCTCTGATGACCCTTACCCATGAAGTGAAAAGTGTTCTGCCATTCTCAAAGGTGCTGGTTCACTTCACTCCTCTCTGTATTCAACTCTTGCCCTGTTGCTTCTGCCCTCACTTTCCCTTGTCCTCAACTTGTGTTGTATCCACCTGTGTGTCTGGCCCCAGGATCGCTTATCACAATGCATTGTGTGCTACCAAAATGCAATTCCTAGACATCCCCCCAGACTTACTGAATTAAGTCTCTGTGCTTCAGACCCAGAAATCTGCTTTTCATAGGCTTCCCGCTGTTTGTCTGTTTTATACTACCCTCAGCCAGGCTATACCTAGATATCAGTAGTCTTATCCCCACCAGCCTCATTAAGTGGGTCTTATTAATATAAATGGTTATAATTATTCTATCTACTGAGAATCTCTTATGTGCTACCTAATAGACACCATGACCCCCTAATGCAGTGTTTCTCATCAGGGGCACAATTGGCATTTGGGGCAGAAGAATTCTCAGTGGAAATCTGCTGCAGTCAGAACCATGGGCATCCCTGGTCACTGCCCACTAAATGCCATTTGATGCTTCTCTTGTGATAACCAAAACTGCCCACTAGATATCTAAATGCCCGCAAGGTGGCAGTGTTGCCCCTAAAGGCTGATGAATTATGGGGCTCATATAGTGGTAGCCAAACTCTTGATTGTCAAAGCAGCCCCTTTCCCAGCATAATGATTTAAAAGTCATGGTACTGGCATAAAAACAGACACATAGACCAATGGAACAGAACAGAAAGCCCAGAAATAAACCCACACCTATATAGCAGTTAATCTTTGACAAAGGTGCCAAGAACACACAATGGAGAAAGGACAGTCTCTTTAACAAATGGTTTTGGGAAAACTGGATATCCTCATGCAAAAGAATGAAACTGGACCCTACCTTACACAAAAATTAATTCAAATTGAATTAAAGACTTAAATGTAAGACCTGAAACCATTAAAATCTCAGAAGAAAATATGGAGAAAAAGCTCAGTGACACTAATCTTGGTAAAGACTTTTTGGATTTGACACCAAAAGCACAAGCAACAAAAGCAAAAATAAACACATGGAACTACATCACACTAAAAACCTTCTGCACAGCAAAGGAAACATCTGCACAGCAAAGGAAACAATCAGCAAAATGAAAAGGCAACCTATGGAATGGGAGAAAATATTTGCCAATGACATATCTGATAAGACGTTATTATCCAAAATATGTAAGGCACTTACGCAACTCACAGCAAAAAAATAAATAACTGATTGAAAAATGGACAAGGGACCTGAATACACATTTTTCCAATAGGGACATACAAATGGCCAACAGGCACATGAGAAAATGCTCAACATCACCAACCATCAGGGACACACAAATCAAAACCACAATGAAATGTCACTTACATCTGCTACAATGTCTGTTATCAAGAAGACAAGAGGTAACAAATGTTAGCAAGGAGGTGGAGAAAAGGCAAGCTGTGCACTGTTGGTAGAAATCTGAATTGGTATAGCCACTATGGAAAATAGTTTGGAGGTTCCTCAAAAAAATTTAAAATAGAACTATCATATGACCCAGGAATCCCACTTCTGGGTGTATATACAAAGGAAATGAAATTATATCTCAAAGAGATAAATGTATTCCCACATTCACTGCAGTGTTATTCACAATAGCCAAGATGTGGAAACAACCTAAGTGGCCATCAATGGATGAAGATGTGGATAAAGAAGATATGGTTTATACATATATAATGGAATATTATTCAGCCATGAGAAAGAAGGAAATCTTGCCATTTGCAATAACATGGATGAACCTAGAAGACATTATGCTAAGTGAATAAGCCAGACAGAGATAGATAAATATGGTGTGATCTTATTTACATGTGGAATCTAAAAAGAAACAAAGTTGAACTCATAGAAACAGACAGTAGAATAGTAATTATCAGGGGCTAGGGGATGGGGGAAATGGGGAGATGCTGGTCAAATAACGCAAGTCTTTACTTGTAAGATGAGTAAGTTCTGAAGATGTACAGCATTGTGACTATAGTTAATAATACTGCATTGTATACTCAAAAGTTCTGAGAGAAGATCTTAAGCACTCTCACCACACGCACTCACAAACAGTAACTATGTGAGGTAATAGATATGTTAATTAACCTGATTGTGATAATAATTTCATGATATATATGTATATCAAATCATCACAGTGTACACTTTAAATATATACAATTTTATTTGTCAGTTATACTCCAATTAAGCTGGGGGGGAAATACTAAATAAAGAAAGAAGGAAAGAAAGAAAAGTCAAGGAGCCCATGACCCTTAAGTTCTCTGGCCTGGCAGATTCCTGTATGCATGTGGGCTGCCTGGACCACCAAACTTCAAGTGATCTTCTCTGAGAAGCAACAGAAAGAATAGGAAGCTAGGTCCTCTCCCTTGAATCTTTATCTGAGATCTGTTACTAGTAAAAACCTGTTCTCAGAAGAGAGAAAGTTTTAACATAAGGCTGGAAACTAGGAGCTAATACCAAAATTGAGAAATTCAAGAAAGGATGGGAGGATTTATAAGAAGGAAGACGATGAGCCTGTCCATGAAAAGGAGCTGCACAGAGAAAAAGACTCAATCACTAAAGACATGGCTGGGAGACTCTGTTTAAAAGTGATACTCAAGGCAACAACAACAAAAACAACAAATATATTAATTGAGGGAAAAGACAATACTTCTTAGAGATATCATCCAGTGGAAATTTCACAGGTCTTTGGAATCTTGGATGTGACACCACTCTGTCACCTAAAACTACAGACAAGTAAAGTAAGCTCTCTGAGTTTTAGTTATGCTGAGGATAATAACACCCACCTCCAAACTGGGAGTAAAATATTGCATGTAAAGTAAATGGCAAACAGACAGAAACACAGGACACGCTCCCTAAGTGTTTTCCCACACCATGCCCACACCCACAGCACAGAGATGTCCAGTATCCTGAGCAAGGCCTCGCCTTCCTGGGAACCCTGACTTCACCCAATATCCACAAAGAGCTCTTTACCTCCACTTGAGTATCCCAGTCTAAAGAATCATTTACAACAACATCAGGAAAATCAGGCCAGACCTGTGGAGAGAAAAATGTTCAAACCCAATGCACTATATAGTATTATGTAGTATTTCCTAAGAAACTATAAACTATGGTCCTAGGGGTGATAATACTTTTATTTTCATGCAAGGTTGATCTATAGAAAAGTGGTCCCATAAGGCACATAGATTCCTTAGAAATTCCTTAACTGTGTTAACAAATAGTGCAAAAATGAGAACTTCGGATCTCACAGCCCAAATGGAAAAGACCAAAAAACAACTTGCACAAACACACTAACAGTTCCCCATCCCCAGGGTGGAATCAGTGGATCACCACCCAGATCATACCTTTCCCCAGACAATGCCTCCACCACCTGGAGCTTTGATGAAGACGTCATCTTCCACACCCCGGGTGAATGCAGGATAGGGCTGTGTCTCATTGCCAGAAATGGCTGGATCCTGAAATCAAAGCCCAGGTCAGGTGAGAAAACCAAAGCCAGAGAATAACTCAGGATGAAAAAAGAACTCCTCAAAAGAGAAAGTATTAAGTTCCACCTGAACTGTAGAGTTTCTGTGAATCCCGGGAAACACACTTTTCATATTGAACCTCAACTTCTATACTCATAGCATGGAAGGAAACACAATATAAAGCTTTCTCCACCAAAGCCCACTCACTCTCCTGAACAGATTCCACCCATTCACATAGGGACTAACCAGAATGAGGATGACCCGCATCCCATCAGCATGCATGCGAGTAATCAGATCTGGAAATCCAGCAAACTTGGGGCTGAGGGTGAAGTCCATCTGCCGCTCCATGTAGTCGATGTCTGAGTATTGTACATCCTGGGGGAACACACAAACCCTGAGTGGCTATTGCTTGTAAAAATCCAGGCTCCAGATGAGAATAACCCTCCAATAACTGATGGGGAATTTCAGATGGCATCTTTTTGATTTTTTCAAATCCCAGCTCTGTTATTTGTTAGGTATTAGGTTTGGGGAAATTCACCTAATTTTCAAATTTTCAGTCATAAAATAGAAAAGATTAAATTGGCAAAATACAGGATGATAATGTCTATCTGGCAGGACTATTGTGAGGATAAATGAAAACAGTGGATGAGAAAGTGCCTTGTAAGTGGCCAATATAAGGAGATAATGTGGTTACCTCCCCCAAGAGGCTGGCCCTGGAATCAGTGGTTCATGTTCAGAGAAAATAACATAGTGTAAATTACCCAGTACTAATGTAACATGGATGGTAAATCTATCCAAAAAAATCCCAAAGCAAAACCTATAATTGCTTTGGAATATCCAATCCTGGGGATTATCAAACACAGCATTCTTATTAAGAATAAAATATTGCATGCTATACTTTCCATCATTAGGAATAATTGTAAACAATAGAAAAATAAGTAGAATAAAATTAAGTATGTAAATGGTTCACAGGATCAATTCTCTGACTATTGGATAATTCTTGTCCTCAACTGAAGGACAGTGTTCGTTTCACACATATTTCCTCTGGAAACTGTCCCAAGATCCCTACATTCAACCAGGGATTAGCTCAAACCCGAGGGAACATTTTCTGCAGCACTAGCAAAGTGTTGGAATGGAGATTTTATCGACACACACAATGGTCTGACTGAATTTGGGTTGATTTTTTAAATTAAACAGTACTACTATTTGGGGAACCTTTTATTCTTATGGTACCAAGGACATTTTTGATTAAACATTTTGAAGCCATGTAAAAGGAATGGAAGTATGATACAGTATAAGGGGCCCTGGAGTTGGCCCTATGTCCTCTTCCTTTTGCAAATCACTGTGACTCTTTAAAATGGGGACAATGACTCCCACCTGTATTACTGGGTTGGGATGAAGTTCAGGGTGATATTCTATGAGAAAGCACTTTGTAACTTTATAGAAAAGAACCTCACATAAATCAGACAAACTAATCCAGATACAGAGACAACTGGGGTTGGCTGTGAGGTCCCAGAGCCAGGACACCACAGGTTAAGAACGTACATAGGGGATCTGGGCAGCCACCATGTCATCATACAAGTTGGCAATCTCAGTGTCATTCTCGTATCCATAGCGACACAGCTGAAACCCCAAGGACCAGTAAGGAACCATCACCGGCCGACCAATCAACTAGAAAATAGACAGAAAATATTAGTCCTTAAAAAGGAGAATCTGGATGGAAGTATACAAAATAATAAGAATACTTTTTCCAGTGCATGGAATTAGACAAGCAGCCTATTCAAATCCAGAGAAACTGAGAAGACGCAGAGCCAGTGGGATACCTTGGGAAAAGCTTCCTGCTGGACTTGACCTTCTCCTCTAGGAATTTTGGAGAATCTGATTTTACTCTGATTCCCAGAGGCAGTCTAGCTTACTGCTTACAAACACAGAATCCAGAGACAAAATGCCTGGATTGCCAGACAGGCTCCAATCTCTTCTGGCTATATGACCCTGGGAAAAAGTTAAACAACCCCTTTGTGCTTCATTTTCTTCACCTGTAAATTGGGGATAATAACAGTACCTGCTTCTTACTGTTTTTGTGAGGACTGAATGAGTTAATATATGTAAAGCACTCTGACGTGCAGGAATAGATTAGCGACAAACACTAAGTTTTATATACGTGTTTTTTGCTGCTGCCCAAACAACTGTCATGACTACTGTGACCACCATCACAACCCAAAGCAACAACAATACCATCACATCATCATAACCACCACTAGAACCACTGCCATCACCACCTTCACCACTACCACCTCCACTACCACCACCACTGCCATCGCCATCACCACCACCACCATTGCCACTGCTGCCACCACCGCTGGCACCACTACTGCTTCTGCTACTCTTCAATGCTTTCAGAGGCTGCAAATTTAATGGTTGTTGGTATGTATTTATTGCTCCTTATTCTGCAATCTACTTGTCTCCCAGAAAGACCAGCAATATGCTGTATAAATACTTGGTAACCAACTGAATTCACTCCTACCTCAGTGTATTGCTGAGTGACAATCTCTGGAGTTGGCCCCAAGAACACGTAAAAGTCCAGAATTCCCCCTGTGGTGCGGTATGTCAAGGCAGGCAAAGGCTGGAATGTCACATCTGAAAATATAGGAAAATACTAATCAAGCTGGAAAGCTTCAAGGTGAGGAATTACCCCTGAAATCCATGCCCTCTTCCTCTGCCTATGCTTCCCTACCATAGAGCATTAGAGAAAGTATTTTTACTATACCTACACAGAACTGAAGAAGTTAAGTGGAAGTCTACAGGAACCCACCCCTAGATTTTTTTCCCTTTGGTGTGCTTTATTATCTAGCATCTTTTGTCATTCTGTTCTTTTTAAAATTATTATGATAACTTATATTTTAGAATAGTTAAGACTTACAAGAAGATGCAAAATAGTACTGAGAGTTCCTTTGTATTCTTCCCTCAGCTTCCCCAAATGATAACATTTTACATAATCATTGTACATTCTCAAAACCAGGAAGCTGACATTGATATAATACTATTAACTCAAGTATAGACCTTATTCAGATTTCACCAGTTTTTACATGTATGCTTTTTCCTCCTACCTCCTGATTTTCCACCCCCTTTCCAATATACGATAAAAATTTTCTTTATGCCCTCATTCTCCCAGAGTGAGTCTCTGACCCATAGCTTTATTACTAATTCAAATTATATAGATGGCTCCCATTTGCTGACCTCCAGGATATTTGGAATTTGCTTAGTTTTACCATCCCTTCTTACATGATTTTCGCCAAACAAAATTTTGGCTGATTCTGATTACTGCATGCTACCAAACTGAAATAAAAAGCCTAAACAGAAAGAAAAAAAAAAAACTGCATGCAAGATAATAATTTTGACTTAAGGGGCAGCTAGGTCAAACACATTCTAAAGTTCCTCAAGAATGACTGGTTGAGAAAAATAAGGAGAGATGCTGGCATCACCTTACCCATGGCATTGCTGTTTAGCAGGAGCACCCCATGGGCACTGCCATCCTCCTCCAGCCCCATGTAGTAGGGGTGGACTCCATAGGAATTCTTCTTGTACTGGGAGAGTCATGGAGGAGAAGTAGTAAAACGTTAAAAGACATTGTGGCCAAGAAACAAACTCAACAAAAATTAATAGCTAAGATGTCTCTAGTCTTCCCTGTGAACTAAATTAAACACATAGAAACAAAGGTGCCTTAGAATTGACCCACTTCTCTAAGAAGAATGTGACCATCCAAGTTGAGTCTAGGAAGATGAAGTCCCAATTTCAATTGGGAATTCTGAAAGACCTAAAGGAATGAATCTCTAATGGTGGAATTTCAAAACCCACAGCAATCTTGTGTAGAGGGAGACATTTTTCAGGGACGTCTTCCAAGGGTATCTGAAATCAGTGTGTGGGTGAAGAGAGGCAGAGACACAGATCCCAAATGCTCTGCCCTTACCCCTGGGGGTTGGTCTCGGGAAAACATCCCCCATGTGTGCCAGTTCAAGTCTCTCCGAAAGGCTGTGTGCTCATTTTCCCCAAAGCCGTAGAGGTACCGGGAAGGAAGGCGAGTGGAGATTCGGATGAACATGTCATTGAAGGTGAAGCCAAGGAGCTGAGAGTCCCAACTGCAACACAAAAAGGTATATTTGGAAAAGAAAGGGGCCATTCTACTGGCTTCAAGTAGCTGGCTTTTCAAGGACAACTGAACTCTTGATTCCCTTGCCCCACCCAGAACCATGTTAATCTCCCAAACAAAGCATAAAGTCTATTTGATTAAAATAATCATAGATGCCCTTGTTGAAAGCCCAGGAGCCAGCCTTCATGCTTCTATCTTCCTCTCACTACCTCCTTTCAGTTCTCCCTCCAGAACCCCAAAACTAATCCCTTCTCACCATCTCAACTGCTACCGCTCCATACCAGGCCTGCCTTCCACTCTTGGTCCCCTTCAGCTCCCTTTCTACATGGCATCCAGGGTGATATTTTTTAAGAGTATCTCACATCATGTCATTCCCCTGTTTACAATTCTTCAGTGATTTCTCATTAAAACATCTTATGAAGTCTTCAAGGCCATACCTGATCTGAAACCCACCTAAACCCCAGCTTCATCTCCCACCATTCGCCTCCTTACTTACTACATTGCTCCAACCACATTGGACATTTTTTTCCCCTTCATATGCTGAGTTTGCTCCTGGTCCATGGCCTGTGCTCCCATCAGTCCATCTGTCTAAAATGTTCATCCCCTTCCCCCAGATCTCCACATGGGTGGCTCCTTCTCCCCATCCAGGGCCTATTTTAAATGTACCTCCTTGGAGAGACCCACTCTAACGACAATATCAAGCAGTAACCTCCCATAACTATCAATCACTCTGCTCTTTTTCCTGCACAGCAGTTGTCACTATCTAAACATCCTTATTTATACTTTAACTTATCTTTGTTATTTACTTATTATTTTTTGTTATGAGAAGAGAGACCTCACCTTCTATAACCACAAAATATAGAAGAGGCACTCCATAAACATTTGTTGAATGAATCCCTACGTATATGCAACTGCCTCAGTAATTACTCCCAGGGGACTAAAGATTTCCCTCACAAGAACAGACTCAAAGGAAAGAACTTATTCATGAATCCGGAAATGGAGAATGTGATGCTTTGAGCCAGGAGGTCTCGAAGGACAGTGGACCTGGCAACGAATGTGCAGGTAACCATCAATTCCAAAACAGACTAGGAGACACCTACATTACAGTGCCTGTACTCTTTCGGCGAATTTCAATCCCAAATGGATTCTTCTTAATGAGGACATCATAGAGTCGACTCTCAGAGGTGCTGGATGGAACCTGGGGTATGTTGAGAGGGACTGGAACTTCATACCGGTTGTTGTTGGGATCATAAATCTGGGGCCAGAGGAAACAGATTTTAGGTAAGAATAGTAGTCTTCAAACCTATACCTTTAGCAGAAGATTGATGTCTTTGACAAAGAGCAGGAATGCTATATTTCTTTGTCTTCTTTAAGCTCAGGACACCATGGATTTAATTAACATATCTAAGAACAATGTCAGATTTAACCTTTGACACAAGTCTGTCATATCTCATTTTTAAGTCCTCTATTACAGTAACACGTACGCTTTGACATGAGAACTATCTTGGAAAATCAGTCCAGAATCAGTTTGGTATTTGTGAGTACTTATTTATTACTTTATGTATAGGTATACGAGTATATGTGAATACCTGAAAAATTTTCTGAATTAAAAAAAAATCCCCGCCAAAAAAATATGAACTCTATTTGATTAAAATAATCACAGATGCCTTGCCAAAAATGGGATCTAAATTGATTCATTGAGAACCTATTATATTCCTGCCTGATTCTGTACTAGACACCAAGGATAACTAAACTGAAAAAGACACAGTTATTGTTTTTAAGAAATTTACACGTTAATGGGAGGTGAAAATGAAGCACCCACAACACCTGATTGATCTGCGCTAATGTAAAGCCAGGGAGAAATGTTGTGAGATTAGAAAGAAGGAAATGCCTGACACTATTTCTGGGAGGCTGAGATGGTATCAAGGGGAAAATGCAGGCTGACTCCTAAAAGCTTTGCAACTGTTAATCAAGCACAAAAAAGGAGATCAAGTCATTCCTGGTAGAGAAATAAATGTGAAGGCACAGAGCATTAAAGCAGAGTCAGAAAGAGGCACATATTTTGGAGAGAGATGCTGCACAAACAGGAGGTAGACTAGGAAAGAGTTAAAGCTGGAAACCCAAGCAAGTTCATTATTTCAAACCCATTAGGTGCCTACCACATGCCAGTGCCACGGTGAGGATAAAAATATAAAAGACCATCATCCCTGCATTAGAAGGTATGGCAGAACACAAAGTCCAGGTTGATATTACATCTTGAAGAACCTTTTAGGCAATGCCTGATGTCTTTCATTTACTCTCAATAAACGTCTCAGTTCTAACTATCTACCAGCTCTGTGTCAGATTTTAGACAAACAATGATGAAAGGTCAAAATCTTGTCTTTGAAAAATTTGCAATTTGGTAGAGAAATAGACATAAAAACAGCCCATCACTAATCCTCAGATGTAATCAAATCATAGAAAAGAAAGAGATCCCTCACTTTCCTGGCTATTTCGTAGATATCTCAAATTCAGTGTACAAAACTGAACACATCATCTTATTTTGCCCAAGCCCAAATCTTTTCGATGTCCCCCTTCCGGTTAAAGTCATGACCATTCATTTAGAGACACAAGCTAGAAACATGGTAATCATTCCTGATGCTTCCCTCTCCCTTATCGCCTACTCGTAATCGTCACCAGATCCTGTAATCCTACCTTCTCAGTCTCTCGAAACTGTCCACTGTTCTCCATATCCTTTCCTGTTCCTAGTCTAAGCTCAATCCCTCACATGGATGACCTAATTGGTAGCCTCCTAACGTGTCTCTCCCTTTTCACTCTTGTCCTCCAAACCATTTTCCTTACAGTAGACACAGTAATCTTTGCAAAATACAAATCAGAACAGGTCTTACTGTTCCATCAATGGTTTCTCACTGCTTTTAGGATAATAATCTGGCATACTATAGCATGGTTAACTTAGAAAAGCAAATTTATTTTAGGGTTCAGTAACTTTGACCAGAAAAGAGTAATGGAACTGAAAAGGGCCTAGCCAGTACTTGATACATGTATATATACTGTAAACACATACCTTAAACTGCAGCATGTCATTCTTATGGTAGGTCACATTCAGATGGAGGGAGTTCACGGGTATTGAGGGCAAAGCATAGGCATAAGGAGAGGAATTTAAAGAGATGACAGCTGTGGCCCCATGGGTGTCATACTGAACATCACTGACAGAGTATAAGTCACTGACGAAATAGCAAAAAGGGACTCCAGGAGAACTGGATTCCTGAAAAATAAAGTCAAAGTCAGCTCAGCATGTGGTCCTAGGATGATAAATATTAAGGGGCTAGAAAAGGCAAATTACAGGGGAGATAAAGCCAGACCATCACTCATTTCCTTATATACTCTTTGGCAGTGACATAAGTTTAAATTCCTGGTCTCCATTCAAAATATTTGTAAAAGAAATGTCCCACTCCTGTCACTACCTATCTTTCATGCCCAGATAAAGACTCAGGTTCCTTTGGAAGTCCTTTCTTTCTATGGATTTTAAGTAGTGACATAGGTACTGGTGCTATGCTCATGAAATTGCAGATTAAGTGTAGAGGATTTTAATGTACATTAACGCTGTCAGCATGGTTACCTCCCAGACACAGCCACGGGCAGTGCAATTTTCTGCAGAAACACCATTCTCATCTGGATAACAGTCTATTTTTTCTTCATCCGCTACCTTCAACTCCCACTCCACAGTGTATGCTTCTCCCAGGATAAGATCAAGTTCTGTGATAAGGGCAACCTGTAGGAATGGGGAAGGGACAAGGAAATTTATCCTTAGGACAAAGGTCTTGCAAGATCTGAAACTTCTTTTAGGAAAGGAAATAGAAATCAGACCAGACTCTCAATAATCCAAGTAACATACCACTAGAGCTCATATGAAGAGAGCCATATAGCAGGAAGAGGAAATTATCCAGTGGGAACAGGCCAAAGGTCACAACTCTATCAGAATCTTGTACATAAAATTTTAAAAAATATCAGATCAAATAAAACCTTCTGTGATCACCCCTTCTCTTTCCTTCCCTGACTCCTCTTCCTCCTCCTTATTTTGTCAGGAAGGCTCTCTTCTGCACTTCCCTTTGTAGCCTAACACACGCAAGCACAAGGTGTCATCCCAAATTGAGCTTCTCTTCTTGCCCTCCGTTCCCCAAACCAGTGTCCCCCATTGGCCTGGAACACAGGAGTGTGACAAGAACACAGGAATAAGAATCATGTGGCCTGGGTTCTCATCTCCACTCTGCTGCAGAAACTTAGACAAATTATTTCAATTCTTTGGGTCTCAGTTTCATCAACTGCAAAATTGGTGAGTTGGCAAAATTGTTACATTTCCTTCCATTTCTAATATCCCAGCCTCTTCATTTCTCCAAGTCCAAATCCTCAAAACTTGAAAACTTCTTCTTTGAATTCCAGTCACTAATTCAATTATTTAATATTTTTAATGTATTTTTCTTATATTTGTCTCTTCTTTAACAAGCAATTTCCATAGTGGATGTCCTGATATGTCTAGCGTTATAAAATCTCATTCTAAGGATTATCACCCTTCTCCAGTCTCTTCCCAGTCTAAATTCATCTTGCACTTCCCTGTACTGCAAATCCCAGCCCCCAGAACAATGCTCTCACAATGGCACAGCCTTGATTCAAGGACCAATGCGAGACCCTAAGAGAATTAGATGAGATCCTTCTCACTTTGACACTTAAGACCCTCCAAAACCTGACCACAAGTATCTGTTCAATCAGATCTCCTTCCAAAAGTGAATCCCACCTTTTCTAATTAAACAATATTCACAGACTAATGCAAGGCTCTTCTCAGTCCTGAGATTGGCTTATTCTGATATCTCAACCTTGAATGCTTTATCTAGGCAAACGCCCTTTCTAGGAAAATGGTGCCCATTTGTGGAATACGTTGTTACTTGCTGGCTCTTTTGTATTAAAGTTCCTTTCTTATGCATTATTTCAGTTTAGAATATTAAAGTTCCCAATTAAGAACAAAATTTTTAATCCATCTAACACAGCTGTGGCCATTAGTAGGTAACTGCAAGTCCACTGGGAGTTGCTGGCCAAGTGTTTCTTTCTTGACTTAAGGGCCTGCCCTTCACCTTTACCTTTGCCTTCTTGTTTCTTCTTCTTTTTTTTTCTGCTATAATAGAGCCATAGTGACTGGAATTAAGCAGCCACTTCTAATCACAAGAGAAGAAAAGACTTTAACCCTTACAACCTTGAGCCACTGAACCAATGCTAGCAATTGACCTCTTTCTAAACTTTTGATTGCATGAGGAAAAAATCCTAATTTGTTTAAATTACCATTTTGCTGAGTATCCTGTCACTTGCAGCTGAACAAGTCTCTACCTGATGCACCATCTTTCAAAGTCCGGCTCTAGCCCTGCCTTCCCCAAGGGACTTGCTCAGCTACTCCATCAAGCTTTGAACATCAAATTAGTCATAACATAATGTTGGTTACACCAACCTATATCTTGGTTTGGGTCGCCTGTCCTTTTCTCAATAGTTTCATGCATATAAATTTTGTCTCACCACCCAAATCCAAACAATAAAAGGGTTCCTTTTATCTTATATAATTAATTTATTGAACAAACATTGAGTTTGTTTTCATATATGTACCCTTCCAATGGCTTGAACTTTCCTATACACACAATCAACCATATAATCCTTTATTTCTAACTCTGTAATATATGCTCCCTCAATGTATGCTGTCAGGACAAAATGTAAAATGTCATCGATATATCATTATAGTTGAAGACTAAATTTTCTCATTTTTCTCCAAATTTCGAAGGTCTCTCACAAACCATGCTGACACAGCAGCTTCCAATCCCAGATCATTTGGGATGACTGGAGTAAGGACTATTTGGCAAAAGGACTGTTCATAATGCTAAGATGCCAGAGGAACTGATTACAACCTGTTCAGGGCCATCAGGTCTAGTTACAACTCATGATAAATTATTTTACTATCATCATCTAACCAAATAAGTAGGCATTGGCTAGGCTTATCAAATTCTTTGACAAAATATTTTTTAAAAACATACGTGTTAGAGTGAGTCTATATATCTCAAAAGAGCTAAAAGAATGCACTTCAAAATTTTAATTATTGGTAATCCTACCTCCCACCTTTACCTTTCTAGCATCTGCCAGTGGCTTTCAGGTCCACTTTTCCTCTATTCTTGATCCCCACTTTCCTAACTTTGTTCTTCTCCCCTAGCCAGAGAGAACAGAAGAGTGAAGGACAACCAAAGACATAAGGATGAAAAGACTGCTCTACCTTATCCCAGTTTCTCAGCAGCTCCCTGTTCACTCTAGCTCTGGCCCCTTCTCATTTTTTTTCTCTCCTAACCCTCCGACTTCCCCATCCAAGGCCTCAGAGTATGCTCTGGTCCTCTAGGAACCCATGCAACCTTGGCAAAAGGAACACTATAAGCTATGAAGAATTCTTGATAAACTATCTCAGCAAAATGGATTTTTACCTGTAGGTTTGAGTCATAAGTGACATTAGGAGACATTTGACTTGAGACACCGTTGTGTTTCACTGTAACATTCCAAGGTTCCTGGGTTCCAAGGATTTTAATCTCTTTAAATACTAAATTATTGGGGTCTTTGTAGGTTGATTGCAAAATCTTCACATCTAATCGGTTCTGCAAAAAAATTAAGTACAAATGTATACCTTTAATCCACAGAGTCTCAAGTCACTCAAATATTCCATCCTGGACCAGATACCCAAAACTGCTCTTAATGCCACTTAATGTCTCTACTAATGAGTGCTCAAGGAGTACAAACTTATTTTAATACTCCCCTGAGCAAGAGAGAAAGAGAGAGAGAAACATACACACACACAAATTTTTAAAAACTGCTTTTAAAAAGACTGACCACTTTGATTTATCCATATCATTGCTTCTTTTTACTAACATGGATGATTCAATTATTGAGAGTTAAGTCATAAATTGAAATGTACTCATCTATAGCCATAAATGAGTATGAAGATACAAATATAATTACACACATACACAAACACACGTGAGTTAAAATGGTCAGACAAAAGCCCACACCAATACTGATAAAAATATGCTACTCACTTGGGTGACAGAAAACTCACATAAGAGATAAACTTGATTTGCCACAGTGTCTGAAAACGAGAGAGAGATGAGTCAGACTCTGACCTGCCCATCACAGAAGAACAGACTTCACCCTGGCTCTCCTTGAAGCTACATCCTGAGAACAAGATTATAGACAGAGTCTCCAAGGCCAAGCCATGTTTTCCCTTCTCCTTCCTACCTTAACCTCGAAAAGGTCCCCTTCTAAGCGCTTCCAAGGCATATGCATCAAGTGAATCTATTTCCTAAGCCTGAGCCATGAGAGTTGTCAGGACTCTGAAGACAGAAAAATGCACTAAGAAGCACGGCTAGATAGAGACACACTAGAAAAGTGTGTTCTCACTGCCTCACCGTGATGGGTATGTTTTTCATATCATCGACATTTGTCCATAAGTATTTTTTGGGGGGATATCTACACTGAGTGGCAGGAACAGTCTAGAAAACATCTCTTTCAGGTGCCCATTGACAATACAATGAGAGCCTATATATGTTGCCAGCCAGTGGTAGATTTAAGAGGTAGAAATGAGTTTTCCTTCCATCTGTGGTCCATTTACCACTACCTCTGAACAGTGCAGCCAAAACCAAAATTCTTCTCTTGAGTTATTAATGCTACTATGGCTGGTGAGATTTCTGCCACAGCTGAATGAATAGCAGAAGTAACTCAAAGATGCATGTTCAGAAATGGCAACATTGTCTCAAGAGTACTCACCTTTGGTTTCCCCATCATCCCAGAAAAGTTCGCCTTTTGCTTCTTTGTTCTCATCTAGAGCAATGATAAGACCAAGAGGGTTCCTTCGACTGAGGGAGACAAAATTTATGTAAGAGACAAAGACTTGAGACACAAAGAATTTTGCCAAATGATCTTGGAAGGATTCTATCAGATTGCAAATGGGAAAGTTACTAGTGCCAGGAGGCTCTGCTTTTCTTCAGGCACAAAGGCAAAATGAAAAGGCTCATCTTTCTTTAGATTAATCAGTAATGTCACAAAAGATAGAAATACCACAAACATTAGCAATAAACATCTATGTAGGAGGCAAGAAGTTAAGCACCCCCCAAATCACTGCAAGAGCTACAATAAAAACTGCTGATGAAACTGTTATTTGGAATACAGACTATTAGAAGAGAAAGAAATCCTAAACAAAAATTGGTTCAGCCTCATCATTTTAGAGATGATGTGTGCAGGTGAAGTATTAACTGCCATTGCGGGGATATATTTTTTCCCTGCCTAGGAAACATTTTGACTCAGAAAGCAACAAAATACAGTAAGGTCCATGGTCCATCTATATAATGACAACTTTCTTAATTTTGTTATTTATTATTAATTTAGAGACAAAAATAAAGCATTCTAACTATCTGCTTTACAATTTAGAATAGGAAACACAAAACACTACTCAAAAAGATGGTGAAACAGATGGACATAGAGCAAGAGGGTGAAGAAAGAGCAATTTCATTTGGAGTCTCTCCTTGCTTCACCATTCCTCCAGACTACCTCCCAATTCTCTGCTCCTGCTGCCTACCTCACTGATCTCACACTCCTATTCTATTCTTTCACAGTTCACCCTTCCACTATGCCCTATGCAAGTTAGGTTCCATTATCAACAAAATCACCCACTTTCATTTAACACACATATATCGAAGAACTTCCATTTGCTAGGAAGTCTAAGACATATAAAGCAGAACAGATCCCAACTGCATTGATGACATTAAATATTACAAGAAAAATTAAACAAATTCACCAAATAATCAAAGCAGAAAGTAAGAGTGACAAAAAAAGTTAAAGTACTTAGAGGAGTCCAGAATGACACTTCTAGCAGTAGGGTACATTAGATATTCTAGAGGACTCTAGACACTCTGAAGCACCCACCCACCAAAATACTACTTTCTCCTAGATAAATTGCAACACGTGATCCTTGAAGGGAGCTAATGTGACACCAAGTTGACAGAATTCCTCGCTTGCAACTGAAGAGAAGGCAAATCATCTCTGGATGAATGAGACACACATTTGAATTCTTAAGATCATCGCATTTGAAAAACAAAAACTTACTAAACACACAAGGTAATAAACCAGCGTGAAAGGAAGTTGGCAAAATGACTACCAATTGATTTATATTCCCCTAAGGACTTTAGATAGTAGAATTTTCAGATACAAAGTGTAAAATAACGGATTGAAATACTTAATAATAAGGAGGAAAAAAAACTCAACTAAACAACAAAAAAGTAACCAGAAAGTTGGAAGCGGCAGCACTCCCTCTGCCGGAACAGTTGAGTAAGATTTCTTGCAGCTGAAATCTGAGTTTAATTTGAAGGATCGTTAACAACACACCAAGCAAAGGATGTTGGAGAGGGTAATAAGAGCTGAAGCCCAAAAGAAGTAAAACAGATGGGTATTTTGGGGAATGGCTAGTCTAGAAGTGTGTATTAAAGTGTGTCAGGATACACAATTGTTAAGTTAACTTGGAACAAGATTGTGATTGGCCTGGAACAACCTAGTAATGAAAGAGTTTGGACTTCAAGAAGCGGCAACAAGTTGAGATCTTCATTTTGAAAAGACAACTTTGGTATCAATATGCAGAACAGCATGAAGGTGAACAATTAAAGAAAAAGAAACCAGCCGATACTGGACATAGAAGTATTTTCCATCAGTATCATAAAAAGTCTAAATTTGAAAAATTAAAATAGTAAGAGAGGTTCCAAAGAGAAGACAGGTTTATAATCTCCAAAGAATTCCCAGTCTATTAAAAACAAATGCGCTGATACTTTTAGAGACACAGATATGAATGTGTGCCTTTCTAGCACAGATAGAGCCTATAATTTCAGGATCAAAGAATCAGAAAGGAGAAAGCCGTGGTATGAGGGAGATCTGACGTGCACAAGAAATAATTTTGGAGCCTTGTTCTGCATCACAAGAAAGAAATGGATCAGTAGGAAGAAGGGAATGGGAAATTGAGATTATAGGCGAATAGAAACTGCACTCCCACTCCCTAGAAATGAGGATGAGTGAGTCAAGAGCATAGCGCAATGGACGCATTGTCTGACCAAGTCAGGTAGGGTGATCAATAGACCCAATTTGCCTGGAATTGAGAGGTTTCCCAAGACAGGAGATTTTCAGTGCTAAAATTAAAACAGTCCTGGGAAAATCAGGAAGGTTGACCACCCTAGCAGTCAGTGTGTTTTGAGGAGAAATTCAGCGGGTTTAAGGAAGGACAGGGATTAAGTCTTTCAAAATCCATCTGGATGCAGCTCTAAACCACAGCTTCTTCAGAAGAGGCCTAGGGAAATCTGGGGGACAGAGTTTGATGGCCACGCAAACACACCAATGCCCTTCCTCCCCACGCTCCATGTAATGCTTCCGTATCTTCTGGATGAACATAAGATGGGACCAGAAATGACCAGATTTGCCAATCTCCCCCTTAAAGGGAACTCCAATACACGCTGTACCTGGCTACAGTGGTTGTGGCTGGCTGTTGTGTAGGGAAGATATATCCTCCTCGAAGATGAAGCCCGATTTTGTCCCCAGGAAGATCCATCTCCACTTGTTGCTTCCTCCATCTCACTCGGCCCCCCTGATGCATGCAGACAAATCAAACACATTGCCATGACAGCACCTCCACCTATACCTCTTACCCACGTGCTGAGTTACCTACAGCTCTCTCCTTTTTCCACTTAGCTGAATTACTGTTTAGTCAGACAATCAAACAAGAAAAGGGAAAAAAATTAAGAACAATAAATTTCATCACCAGTTGGGGGTGTGGGGGAACATTTATGCCATGATGAGGCTATTTGACATATATTCTATGGACTGATAGTTCTAAACAAGTAATCTGACTCATGACCAAGCTCAAATTGCCCATTGGCCCTTCCAATATTTTCCCATGAGACATTCTACTTGAGTCTTTATCTTATTGCTGAATAAATTATATGGAAGTATTTTCTGCAGATTTCATCATGACTGATGTTGTGACCTAGTCTTACTTTATCAACTCTGTTATGAAATTACAGAAAACACTATAGAAACACTCCTCAGTGCATGGATAGGTGTCTCTCTCTAGGGGTATCTCATCTACGCAGCTGCAGCTGTAGTCTTGAAGAGCTTAAGAAAAGTCAAAGCTACTTACAGTCTCATAATCATACCAGACAGCATCAGGCATATATGCCATCACTTTCTCTGCACCCTGAAATTAAAACAAAATATTATTCTTCATGACCCAGTCTCTGAATGAGATAAAATGGACTTCTTAGCATTCCTAGGGAACTTCTTAACTGTATACTGAGAATGCATAAATGGCCTCTTTTTTCTGTGTTATCAAATCGTGCCTTTCTTCTAATAGGAATAATAGAAGCAATAACTTGCCAACTCAGAGAAAAATCCCAAATGGAACCATGTTAGGAATAATAATAACATTGAAAGGTGTCATAAAAATTCCAGCTTTACAGTGATTACCTCATTTAACCTTCTCAACAGTCCCCAGTAATAGCTACTATGATTACCTCACCTTTACAGCTGAGGAACCAGCATGATAACTTGCCCCAAACCACACTGGTACTAAGTAGCACAGGCAACAATCACACCCTGATTGGCCTGACCTTAGAATGAGTGCTGGGGCACTGCTCCATTCTGCCTGTACCTCATGTAGCAATTAATGATCTGCTATGAGAATCTGACAACAAATAGGACCATTCTTAAACCCGAATCACCAGTAGATGCTTCTACACTGGTTGCAAACTTGGTCAAGACAAAAGACTTCTAGAGAGAAAAATGTGTAAGTATCAGATATACAACTTACCAAAACCCCAGCACACTCTCTTCAATGCTGACTCAGTCACATGTATTGGAAATGGGTTTGGAATAAAGAGAAGATAAATGGTTCCAAGAAGAGAGAAGAGTTTGGAAGGTAGCAGGAGCAGAGGCAGAGATGACCAGTGTATCTCTGTGGGAACACTTGCCTCCTCTAGAACTGGAGTGATGAGGAGGCCGGGCCCCCATAAAAACTGTTGGTGCACATCCCAAGTGCTGCTGTCACCATAGAACCTGGAGATCGGAGAGACATTCACTGAGATTTGGGCCAATGCTTCCTGGCAGCTCTGCCCCCAGGCTGTCCAAAACATGCAGGTCCCCTGCCTGGTGCAAACCCCGCAAATTGTTCTGTGACACCTATTCAACTCCCACCTACCCACTCCTGTAGATGGATCCATTTTCCCCAGCCCAGATACCCTCCTACTCTTCCCCCAAGTTGGACAGAAGTTCCTATTCCAGTATCTATGCTAGGCAGGCTTCAAGCTGTAATCCTATTTGACACGTTCCCCTTTAAAAAACAAATAAAATGAGAAATATATTTTAAAACTTTAGCTGACTATCAACTGAACTCAACTGAATCAAGAAAGAACTGGATCTGATCATGAAAAATAGCAGACAATTTAAAATTTTACTCTTTTCTCTTTTAGGATGTCTGCCTTTTAACAGGGAATTCCAGGAGATGAAAAACTTATCCACAATAATGAATATATAATAGTGCAGATGTATGCCTGAGGGGCTAAAATGTCAGACACATGAGAGAGTTAAGTGTATTTTGTCAAGGAAAGCCTCAAGCGTCCTTTTTTAGAGTCAACTTAGAGATGCTCATTGGCTCACCATAAAAATTCTAGAAATCCTCTACAATATTCTTATTTGTACATAAACAACAGGCTCATTCCTAGAGCCTGAATATATACTGCATTACAGAAGACACCATAACGTTCAAGCTACCAAATGCTTTAAATTAAGACTAAAGAAACCAAGCATGAAAGAACTCAAGTGATTTGTCTAAGATATAGAGTTAGTTGGTGGCAGAAGAAAGAGAAGACCCTGAGTCTCATGACTTTAGTCTAGTTCTCTCCCCAAAAGGGAATAGGTATAACACTTAAATACACCCCAAGAATAGTATCTAGGCAGCAATAGCCTTGCAAATACCAACTGGGTATTCCGGTTATAAAATATGTATCTGAATAACTGTTTGAATTGTTTCAATTTTCATTCTTATATTTGATGATACAGTCAATATCACCCAGTTGTGTTAACAAAATTTCTTTGGATTAGGGGAACTTACTCATGCAGAAGGGGCCTGGCCACCGTGTCCCCCCGGCTGTGAGCTCGGTAGAAGAGGGTGTAGAGATATGGCAATAGAGTATAGCGGATGGTAAGGTAGTGCCTGGAGGAATTCACCAGCAGAGAGTCAGCTCCAAAGAAGGCAGGATCCTGGGCCTGGGAGGAAACAAGAGGTTATAATTGTGATCTGGCTGTGAATAACAGAAGCATCTGAAGAACTCCAGACCCCATTCATCGCAACCAAGAGTTTCCTTCCTGAAAGACCTGGGGCCTGGGTTGCAAACTTTACTCTGAACTGTACAGTTGGCAAAGGGAGATCATTTCACCAAGTAAGTGGCCGTTCTTCACCTTGCAACTCCGTCACCCTCATTCACTCTTTAGGAGTGCTCTCTTGGGAGGCCGCCATTTAAATAATTTTGAAATATTTCCTCATTTGATGCTCATTACAAAATGAGCAATGAAGATAAACTATACAGAGGTTTGATTTTAAAAAAACCTTCACAGACTCGCCATTTCCTTGCTTGCAGCAGTAGGACTAGCAGAGGCTGTGGCAGCAGAGCATGTTAATGGTGCATCAGAGGTCCTGGTTAATTGCAAAGAGTGGTGCAAATTAGCCTAAGTGAAGCACCAGGTAGGAGGCTGGCTCCACAGATCTCTTAGTGAGGATGCAGACAGATCCAGTCCTAATGTATGCGAAATTTATTTTGATCATATCCCCTGGGAGACTTACCTTGTAGCCTTGGCCATTGTGATTCCTGGAAAATGGATAAAATGCTCCCAGCTGCATCCACCGCCTGCAGAGCTCTTCAGAGGAATCCAAGAAAAAGCCACATATGTCAGGACCCACCTGGAAGGACACACAGACAGTGTGTATACCTTACTTTCATCCGCATCCCCCCTTTGCTTTCCATCATGGACCTCTCAACTGAACTTTGCTAACATCTTACAGAGATGGTGAACATAGTGTGATCGAATTGGGTTATATCCTGTATCTACTCTTTACTGTCAGGTGATTGAGTAAGTTACTTCACCTTTCTGTACCTCAGTTTCCTAATTTTGTTAAAGAGGGCACTAATTAGCTACCCGGGGTTTTAGCAAATGAGATAATGTAAGTAAAACACTTGACATGCCACACCACTATCAGAATTAATTTTCCAAAGCCTAAATCTGATCATGTCATTCACCTATTCAAAAATGCCCAGGGTCTCCTTGCTACTTATCCTATTAGCTCCTCAAAATTTGGTTCCAACTCATCTTTCCAGCATCATTTCCCATTCTAGTCCTAGACACCAAATCTTATAGACACATCAAATTCTCTCCCTTACTGTTTTTGCTCATGTTCATTTCTCAATCTTAAAATGACCTCTCCAAATTAGTCTGAGGAACTACACCCACTTTTCAAGGTTAAACTCAAGTACCATCTTTTCCATGATGTTTCTCGACTCCCTCTCCTGGCTCCCTCTGTTCTTCATAATCGTGTCAGAGTTAATAAGTCCCTTTCTCAGGATCTCCCGTAACATTTAATTTCTTTGTCCCTGTTGGGACTTTTACCCTAGCTTGTCATTATTATTTGCTTACATATGTGTCTCCTCTTACTAAATTTTAAACTTTTGGAGCAAAGATAATGTGTTTCTGTTATTATATTTCTGCTTTTCTCCACCTTCACCATGCATACCTAGCTCAGTGTCTTGTACATAGTAGGAGCTCAGGAAATACATATGTTGAATTTAATTAAAAGATGCCAAGGCCACCTCTAGGGTTCTGACAATGTTACATTTCCTCATCTTGGTGCTGGATACACAGATGTGTTCAGTTTGTAAAATTCTTCAACTGTATACTTAAGGATACGTACACTTTTTTGTATGTATGTTAAACTTTAATAGAAAGAAATATTCCAATGATGTCAGTTCAAGGTTGCACTTCTATCTTTAGAAGTAAGTACAGGAAAGAATTCATAGTATTAAAGCCATATTGATGTAGATGAAATACATGTTCTCAAGACATTAAATCCCTGGGCTATAGAGGGTAGAAGAGAAGAGCTTTATGGTTTGAAAACTTTCTAGAATGAGGCTTTCTGGGGATTGAGGTTCATAAGAGAGCTTGGAATGTGGACTCACCATAGGGATACCAAAAAGGTTGAACTCAAGGATGCCAGGGATGGACCATCGAAGGTCATTCCAGGTGGCTGTGTTGTCTCCTAACCAATGGGCTGCAAACTTGCCAGATCCCGCAAAGGTAGAACGGGTTAGAATAAAGCTTCTCTTACTAGGGAACACAGTATTGACCGCTCTAAAAAGGAGAGAGACTTAGGGAGTCAATGTGTGACCTTAGTGTCTCAGCCCAGGGGATACACCAAAGATCTAAAAAGTTAATACCCCATTCTTCTGTTCCGGTTCTCTCCCAGTAAGATTAGAGTTGCTTTCGGGAGCAGTCTATACATTAAGCATGTTTGTGGTTTGTTTTGTATTAAGGTGTTTTACATACATCATTAACTCCGTAACTTCCAAGAATTTCAAAAACAGCCTTGAAGAGGCTAGTAACGAGAGGTATACAATTTTATGGAACAGACTAGAGGTATACAGTTTTATGGAAGATATGTAACTTTACATATATATGTAAACGTTGGTCTCTCATATTGTGTGATTTTGGACATATTCAAAAATGCACTGATGAATGGCCTTTTGGAACTTAAATTCTTTTTAAGTAGAAATACTTCGGTGATAATTTTGTAATAAGAAAAGACCTTTTAAAATTATCTATGTATGTGTGTACTTTTATAATTAAACATAAATATATATCGTTATATTTTTAAAATTAGAAGTCTATACATATACTTAAAAACTTTTACTCTATAATTTTTTCAACAACTTTCAAAAAAGCTAAAGTTATACGCATGACATTGCTAATGAATGGAAGTGGTTTTGCTGTGGCTTCTTGCTGTCAGAGTCACAGTTAAGCGGAATAAACTCTCAATACCTTTTCCTCACTACAGAATTTGAATCCACACTCAAAGGTAGACATAGCACAGCAAAAGGATTCTGAGCCAGTATTTAAAACCCCAAAGTAGATGCACGTCTACAGGTTACTTAACCCTCCATACTCCAGTCTATACACTGCGGCAGAGAAGAAAATACATGGCTTTGGGTTCATGAAGAAATGGGCTTTAATTTTGCTTTTACAATTTATTAGCTGTTTGACCTTGGTCAGTTACTCCTCTTTCTTTCTTCCTACCTTCAATTAATTCTTTCATTTTATACATTTCATAAATATTTACTAGATTCCTTCTTCCCTATGTGCTAGGTAGCTTCTTCATTCAATCAATAATGATAAACACACTTATCTTGCCGAGTTTTAAAAAGTAATACACGTGAGTCACCTGGCCCGCTATCAAGATCAATAATTTGATCAGGTACTAAGTCCATAGCAATAGTGGTCTTACTCTGCTGTGGCAATCGCCATCGAGTAGCCGTACACATTGTGGACGTCATATTGCTTGCCCCAGTACTGCACTGCATCCATGCAGAGAGTCTTGGAGAACAGGTACCCATCAAGGACTCCTGGGACAAAAGAAGGGTCAGTCAACCAGAGCTCAAGATGCACACTGCCTGCTCTTTGACTGTCACAGAACTTGAAATTGTGGCTCCCTGGGTAGGCATTTATTGTGGCCATTCTGTAAATGATCATACAGATTCCTCACGATCAGAGGGCTATACATTTGGAGTAGTTTCCCTGACATATAAATAAATTGTGTTGACCTATACATATCCTCCCACCTGGGCACTCATGTGATTAGAGGTAGGCCTTTGGAAGCAAGAGGATACAGGTAGACTTGAGGCCCAATCTGAATTCTTCAAACTGAGCTAAATTACTTGGCCCAAGAATAAAAATATTGGATGGAAGTATAAATTAATTTCTCACCCCTTCTCTCCCTTGACCATATATTACAAAGGATGATTTCCCAATGCCTCTTTCATTCATCTATTCTTCTCTGTTCCCATTGCACCACTCTGCTTCGGATCCAAATTACCCGTGGATCTTAACTATTGCAAGAGTTTTGAATGGTTTTTCTACTTCTTATATATATTCTAATTCATACTGCACATTAATGCCAGACTAATATTTCCAAAACCATTTTACCATCATATTTCCCTCTTACCAAAACATAAATAGCTTCTATCACCAAAAGAATGAAGTATAAACAGTTTAGCCTCCCATCCAAGTCCCTCAACATTTAATTCTGACCCATCTGCCCCAATTACCTATTTTTCCACCAGAATGGAAGTCTTTGTAAGATGCTATAATTCTAGCAGGTTCCTTTCTTTCTTAATCAAGATACAATTTATGAGCCTCTAGCTTTCTTCCAACTACAACAACGCTGTGAATCTAGGGCCACACCCTGATAAACAGTGTTGTTCAACCCAATCAACTCTCACTAGCACCATATTCACTGACTCTGACTTTGACCTCCCAAGCCCTGGGCTCTGGCTTCCTTTCATCCTATGGTTCACGTCTGTTCTTCACACTCCTGTCATCACCAGACTTGACCCTCATGTGAAGGCCAAACCTGGTCTCTCTTTGGTAAGCCCTGACCTGGTGTGGGGTACACATTTAAGAGCAAGATAAACTAGCACTAGCCTCTGGCTTCTGCACCTTATCTTCTCTGGACCCTCCCTTAGAAAAAGCTCAGACTGTAGGTAGAAGGACTAGATTGCCCCTTTTGAATTTATGCCTCATTTAGGAAAGCATGGAGTGTTTTGATTTTCTTTCCTAGTTTTCTTTATGTATTACCCACATTTTCCCTTACCTATGCACATTTATGTGTAAACTCCTTTGCCAGGTTGTTCATATCTATCCTTATGCATTTAAAATGTCAAATACACATTGCCACTTTAACCAGACTAACCACCAAGGCTTACTGGGAGTGAATGGGGGATAATTTAGATCGCTTGTGGAACATCCTGACACGGAACCATCAATGAAATTGGAGACTTCATTCATATCCTACAAGACAAAAAGCAGAAACTATTAAGACAAAGTAACATGTTCACTTATGTTGGACTGATGGCATCTTTTTTTTTTTTGAGGAGTCAGAGAAATTATTCCAGATGTTTCTTTTTTAAATAGGTTCTTATGTACACGGAGAGAAATAGATGTTCTTGTCTTCTCTACCCATTGAAAGTCTCATGGAAATGTTTTTTAAAATCCCTTCATAATGATTTTTTTCTATACTCACTGGAAACGAAAAATTTCCAAACATATTAGGTGAAAAAATATTTCAACTTATATGACTGTCTCTATATAGATATATATCAACCTATGTATTCTCTATATATCCAAATATAGCTATGAATACACACACATAAATATATATACATATATAAACACACACATATGCAGAGAGAGTGAGCAAGTGTGCCAACAGCTGTGCAAGCAAGGGGTCTGGAAAGATGCATACGAAAATATTGATGGTGGATGTCTTTGGCTGATATCATTTTAGAGGATTTTTGTTTTCATCTTTTTAGCTCTGTGTTGTTTGAATTTTATACAGTTCTCTTATAAACAGAAAAATGTTCAACTCTAAAGCTCCCTAAATTTTTCTGAACATCAGCTGCTTTGTGTTTTTTTCATTTGATAGTATGTGAGACATTTGCTTTGACTGCAGCCACAGTTTTGTCATGCACCTGGGTACTTTGGCTCTGATCAGTTTGTCAAACATGTCCCAATGAAAGAGCCCTGACCTGACAATTGAACAGTTCAAGTACTTTGCAACACAGTAAGGAGTGTATAATTCTATTTTTACTTCAGTTCATTCATTTGTAAAAGAAGAGCTGGACTTGGAAAAACTAAATTTCTAAGTTTACTTCCAGCTCCGACAATCTGATTTTGATTCTAAGCTACATGCTTTGGTAAGATTATTTCAATAGTAAGACGTAATACTTAGAATTATTGCCATACTTGCTTTCCTCTCCTCCTCTTCTCCCTGTGCTTCATTACCCAAAGATATAGACATACGCAATCTGAACGTTAGTCATTTACTATTCAAAAGTACTAAGAACTCACAATCCAGATTCCATCAAAGTCCACTTGGTTGTGGAAAAGCTCAAATTCCCTTGCCCACCAAACAGCACACTGAGGGTTGGTATAATCAGGAAACACAGTTTTTCCAGGCCAGACCTGCAGGAGGAAAAAGAAAAAACATTGATCAGAGTAAATTAAATGAATATAGATTTAAAAAGAGTACTTAGAAAAGAAATTCCTGATATGGTCATAGCAACAGAGGGGGCCAGGCACACGTGCTTTTCAGTTAAGAATGTGAAGCACTCCAAATACTCAGAAGAAATGTCAGGAGGAGTCAAATAGTCACTTGAGGAGAAACTTATTTTTAAAAAAATGGTTAAATCCTTGTTAATCTTCAACTCTGCTTCACTGTTCTTTCTCAATTTCTCTACTCTCAATTTTGGGGATAGTAAATGAGGGAGAGTACTATATAAATTTCAATTGATCCATTACACATTGAGGGTTCCAAGCATCAGTTACTTATCTCGGTTCCTTTCTTATCCACTTCCTCTCTGACACTATGCACTCAGGTCAATCAGAGGTATTAGAAGTGAGCTAGCAGATAACATCTTCATGGAAAATGAGGAAAAATAAAGATTTGAGAAAGAAGTGATCAAACTTGTCAAGTACTACAGAGAAACAGAGGAATGAAACAGTTCTGTTAGATTTGCCAGTTAGGAGGTGACTGGTGCCATTTGGCAGAGCAATATCAGTGAAGCGATGGGGGAAGAAAGTAGACTGCAGTCAGCTGAAGAGCAAATAAGAGGTGAGGAAGTGGATATTCAGTATGTTAGGCTATTGTTTAAAAGGATTTGGCTGTGAAGGGAATGTAAGAGCTCAGATGGCTGGTAGGTATTTGGGGATGAAAGGAAAAGGGATAGTTTATCTCCAGCATATATAAGACATCTGAAAATGCAAAACAAAACAATTACACACACACTGCCACAGCCCCTTCACCAGCCCCCAACTTCCCCATTAAGTTACCTCCCCAATGAGTGGAGTCACTCCATTTGAAGCATTCACCCATATCTTCATATCTGAACCCCTGTCATAGGGGCCATAGGGTTGACTTGGGGAAGAGTTGTTGGAGATGGCTGGATCCTAAAGAAAATACAATGAAGGACCTAACTTTAAGCTAAAGACATTTAAAGGAGATTGGGAATTGGTGGACAAAGGAGCAGGAGGTATGTGTAGTGATAAGGAGGATCAAGTATCTGATTTGGGGGAAAAGAGGGTGGACATACCACAATGATGATGAGTTTCTGTCCATTATTGTGTAACTCCTTAGCAAACTCTGGGAAGTCTTTAAAATCTACTGGATTATAAGTGAAATCCTTCCTCTCATCCATATAATCAATATCAGCATGCTGAACGTCCTGAAAGGATGCACAAAGTCCACAATTTAGCATCTAGAAATTTCCCTATTAAAATGAGTCAGTCAAATTATCATTGCTATTATTCACAATGAACACTGACTCTGCTGGACTCTACACAGAGTTCTTAATCGGCCCCTGGCATCTCAGAGCTTCTTTTCGAAGGGTAATTTCAAAACCAAAGAATCCATTGGTTCCCTAAGGTCTAAGATGCTGCAATCAGGTTAACTGCAGCATCTTACCTGTTGACTAGAGCATCAAACTAACCAAACACAACAATTACAACAAATCACAAGGGCTATCAAAAACATGCGTTACCTAAATTTTACTCTACCCACAAGATAAAGAGGGGAAGGGATTGTCTCCCCACTTCTCCCTCATTTTCCGACCCCATATTCTCTTCTCTTACTTCTTTTCTGCTTCAAGCCTTCTTTGGCAATTACTCTTTCCTAGTTTGACCTGCATAAAAATAGTGCAGCCCAGAGGGAAACTGACTCTTGCTCTAGAACTTACCTGTCTGCCTCAAAGGGAATGGGGTGGGAGAGAAGAGGATTAGTCCAGAGATTTTGGGGCTTTTCCCTTTGCATCTCTTCTAAACCTTCATTTCCCATTACAGCCTCCAACATAATCAACACATTCAAATTTAGCCATTCAAAACAGAAATATTGTGTTACGTGCATGTACTGTATCCTTTTGCTCACTTAAACAAGGGAAAGAAATGCCTTGAGAACCCAAATAAAAATACATTATGCAAAATGTAGTCAATACAGGTAAGCATTAGAAAATTTAACAAACAAAATATGTGATAAGAAAAATAGAAACAGGAACAGATTTCCTCCTAACCTCACAGTTGTGGTCTCGAAGTACTATTTCCTACAAAGGAGAACTAGTTCTTTGAAGTAATGGCTGACCCACTAAAAAAGTCTAACATTCTGAATATATAAAACTTTTTATTGCATATTTTTTTTAACTCAGGGAGAGAAGGTATAAACAGTTGTTCTAGTTCCCCAAAGGAATTTTTGGAGGATTTTCTAAAGCCTTACTTACGTAAGGAAGTTGTGCTGCACGATTTCTCTCCACGACTTCTTTCATGTTGTCCAGGCTCCCATAATCATAACGACTGAGATGAAATCCAAGTGCCCAGTATGAAGGTAGGGCTGGTCGTCCAATGAGCTGAAGGAAATATGTGAAATGAAAGCAAGCAAATACTCTATTTTTAATAAAACATTTTCTAAGCATTGACTTGGGGGCACAAAACATACTCCATTTTCCAACACACTATTTCGTTAATGTTAGAATGTTAGCGTACTTTCCCAGCCCTTTCATAAATCATTGAGGGTTGAGTCAATTTGTAATAGCAGATTTATAATAACTACTTATAATAGCAGATTTTTATGAGTCACATTTGCCTATTAAATTTACTTTTCTTTGTGCTATTTAGGATTTTCTCAGTCATAATCATGATATGATAAGTTTACCTCCAGATACTCTTGAACGACTTGCTCTGGCGTGTTTCCCAAGAACACATAGAAATCAAGAATACCCCCGATGGTGCGGTAAGTGACCGCCGGGGCAGGCTGGAGAGAAACCTCTAGAAAGATTAAAAATGAGCAAAATAAAAATTAGAATTTATTCTAGAGTGATGATCACAAAGTTTTAGGCCAGAGGATCACCAACCATCTGAACATTAATAAAGTGATCCCAATGCCTCAGGTTGTATACAGAGGAACCAACTCTGATGATCAAAGTTTACCCTCACAGTGCATGAGAGCCAAAGCACGTTGTGCTTGTGTGTGTGATGGATTTCTATAACTGGTGACTTGAGCATCTTAAACCCTTTGTCAGGACTGAATCTCTCATGAAAAGGCAACCAGGTTCATGACGGGGTCCAGAATAAGGCACTGTGGAATAAAAATTATTTTAAGCTGAAAACATTCAAACTTCTGAAATCCTTTATCTAACCAAAAGTAGAGCCTCCCAAAAGAACTCAATTGTCTGTTACTTCAGTGAATAGAAGTGATCCCCATTCTATAATGCACATAGTGAAGTCGTAATAAAGACATTTCTAGGAATGCTACTTGCAAGCTGTGTTGAGAACTGTGTGATTTCAGTCAATGGAAGTGATACCCATTCTGTAATGCATGTAGTGAAATGTTAGAATAGATGTAATAAAGATGTTTCCAAGAAGAGAAAAAGAATTCAACTGTCATAAATCGCCTCTCCTGGAGCAACTCTAATCTTCTCTGAGATAATAAATTGGCACCTAACCAAATATACATTGTCACGAGACCGTCGTATCTCTCATTCATTCTCCTAAGGGCTCATTTATCTTTCCAAAAAGAGTCTTTTGTTTTCCCATAAGTGTGCTTTATCCCTTCCACCTCCTCTAAGAAGTCATTTGTTTTATCATAAGTGCTTTCTCCCCTCCCGTTAATCTATTAAGATGGTATACAAGCCCCAAATTCTAACCACCCCTTTAAGTTACTCTTCACTGAGCACTTTGTGTGTGTATATATGTTGTACATGTGAATAAACCCTGTCTTTTCTCCTGCTAATCTGTCTTTTATCAGTTTAATTCACAGACCCCCAAGAAAAACAACTAAAAGGGTAGAGCAAAAATTTTTCCTCTCTGATATTCACAACTAAAGAACATGTTCCCACCCCACACTCCATGGTTATGGCAGGAATATAACCCAACTAGACACACTGAGGTACTAGCCTCAGTGAATCTCATATCAAGCAAGAGCCAAACTGAAAAATTGTCAGGATTATATTATAAATTCAAAATCCATCTAAGCCCCATATATATAGGTATCTTAGGATCTTCTTAGATCATCAAGAGTGATCCTCAAACAATCTGCTATGAAGGATCAGATCTTTACTCTTTTATTTTCCCATTCATTCTAAACTGATACCTTCATAAAATAAAATGAAAATAAATTACTAGAAAAAGATTGATGCATGCACTTGGATGCTATAGCAATGCTGTGTCGCAATTTCTACACTTATCTTATCATAGACCTAAAACAGTTTGTGAACCATCTGCAGGCCACTCTTGAGTAGCACTGATCAAATCCAGTGATTTGCAGTTGAAAAGAGAGTGGGGATCAACATCCTATGCACACTGTCAACCCTGGGAGATTCTGATACATCTCCTCTTCCCCTGTGGTGATTGATTCATTGCTACTGGGATCTGTTGTTATTGGTACAAGCAGAAAAAAGGTGAGAATCATTGACCTAGTCTAAAACCTTCAAAGATGGAGAAGTTAGCTACTTTATTGGAATCCTAATATATTATGCTGCTTGGTCTTAAACAATTTGATCTTACTCTACATGACCCTTGTCATTTCACTTTAACTTGCTACCTTTGGAGTGTCTGAATGTGACAATGCTCAGTTGTAGCTCCCTGGTTAGGCCCAGCTACTGTCATCATTAGGCCCAGAGAATATGGCTGTTTCCTACCAGAGATTATATCAACCCCCCTAGTGGGTGAAAGTCTAAGGAAGGAGAAGAAAAAATTGGTAGAAATAGCCTCTGAGCAGATTATATAGGAAAGGGTTAGCTGTCCTAACTCTACAATAGAAAATACTCCAACAGAGGCAACCAGATTTGGCAAAATCATAAGCTAGGAGAGAAACCCCTAGTCATGGCTACCATGGATCAACAGGTAACAAAATAGGGATGGAACAATCAGAGAACACACAAGGTGCTAAGCTATGGCTCAGCCATTCTTAAAGGGCTCCGTTCTTCTTATCATAGTGCCATAAGAAAGAGATTTAAAATTGCTCTTATGGATTTTTTGTATGAATATTCCTTTAGTCCTTTACCCATGGCATTGCTGTTCAACAGAAACACTCCAAACGACAATCCACTAGCATCTTCAAGACACAGGAAGAACGTCTGTGCACCATACAAGTTAGTTCCATCCTGTAGAAAGATAATTAAATTTACCATGTAATAATCTAAACCCAACATGGCTAGAAATGAATTAGGAAATCAGTGTTAATGATGTGAGTAATTAGCAGGGAACTCATGGTCAGAATGGCACAAATAAATTTTAAAAATACAAGATCTGTATTTGGTCAATGTTACTCAAGTGAATTAGTGTTCTCTTATTGAATGAGCCAGTTATGACCATTTATCTAGTAGGAACGTGAGAGCTTATGGTATCTGTCAGGAGGTGGGAGAACAAGAATTTTGAAACTGTAGTTCAAAAAAAGCTCTTCTCTCAAAGAGGCTTGTCTTAACTTTGTCTCCAAGAGGCTTGACTTAACCCCATCCGCAAAAGCTCCATCAAACCTAATATCAATCAGGCATCTTTCTAACGTGCAACTAGACAGAGCTCCACTTGAGATAGCTAGTCTTTAGAAATTGAGTTGGCCTTCTAAGACATTAGAATAGTAGTTCTCAACCTGGGCTGCATCCCAGCCCAATTAAAACAGAATCCCTGGGGATGGAAGCAGACCGTGATATTTTGCTAAATTTTCCAAGGTGATTCCAACGTATTTTCATGTTTGAGAATCACTGCTCTAGAACAACACTTCTCAAAATTTGGTATGCATATGAATTACATAGGAACTTTAATTAAAAGTGGATTCTAATTCAGTCGATGCAAGAGGGAGCTGAGAGCCCACATTTCTCACACAGTGGTGCCCATTCAAGTAGCAAGGATCTGAGGTTCCTTATTAAACAACCATCACCAGCCATTCCCAGAGGAGCAGCTCAGACTCAACCCTTTTTCTGTTTTCCTGATAAGCATATAGTATAGTAAGGAGCGTGGGCTTTACGTTAGACAGGCCAGGGATTAGATCTTATCTCTGTTACTTCAAACTTTTTTTTACATTGGGCTATTTATTTGGCTTTTCTGAGTCTCAATTTCTCATCTGTTAAATGGAATAAATTATATTTATTTTTTCAGAGGTTTTTTTGTAAAGATAATGTATAAAAATAGTCACTTATAAATTATTTCCTTGATCACCTTTCATCCAGCCGCTAGTTCTGCTTAATCAGGAAAGTGGCTGAACAAGACCTATATGTAGTATTGCTGAGCCTAGAAAATAACTCTGCTTTGGGTTTTAGCAATCAAAACAAAACAAAATAAAACAGAACAATAATAACAAAATTCTATTCCTTCTATTCTTTCACTGTCTCAAACATTCTTCACGTAAAGAATAATTAATACAGTATTTTAGTTGATATTTTATTCTATTTTGCTGACAAATCTGGTAAGTCGGTGATTGATAAAGGTCAACCAAAAATATGAAGATAATAACCAACATATTGTGCAGAGTCGATATTATTAATGTTTTCTCCACAACTAGTTAGTTCAAAATTAAAATAAAATGAAAAATAGTTGACATTTATTAAAATGAAAAATAGTTGACATTTATTGAGCACTTTCTATGTGCCAGACGCTCTTCTAGAGACTCTATGTGTATTAATTCGATTAATTCCCATCACAACCCGATGAAGTAAGTACATTACCCCCATTTTACAGATGAGGAACTGAAGACAGAGAGAGGTGACTTGCCCAGAAGCACATACCTAGTGAGTAGTAGTGCCGGAATTCAGACTCAGACAGCCTCATCCTAGAATCTGACTCTTACCCATTATACTGTCCTGCTGGGAGTGATCTTCAAGAATGAAGCTATGGTATTCAACGGAGAAGGGCCCACCCTGAAAGCTTACCCCATTGGGGGTTGTGTCCCTATTAAATATGGGCCAGGTCTTCCAATTCATATCATGACGGTACTGCTGGTGCACATGTTCTCCCAGCCCATACACATTGGCGCTCGGCAGACGGATGGAGAGCTGCAGGAACTGATCAGCAAACAAGAGGGGCCCAATGCTTGAGTCAAACCTAGATACAGATGGGAAACACAGGGACAAGTGGGCAAGTAGGATGGAGAGAACACAACTGTTTAGCAAAGTATTCTTTATATTTCACTCAATACCCCCTATTTAATTGGCCCAATTTGTCCTCATCTGACATTTTTCCCTGGACACTAAGAGATCAGGACTTTTTGAGGACAGGTATCATGTGACACATTTCTTAGATTTGTCCCCTAGACACCATACCAACATGACCAGAATACTATTCTTATATTATAGTAGATGTCCCATAAATAGTTATGGATGGATAGGTGGTCAAACTGATGGAGGAAAGAAAGGGAAAGATAAAGAGGAAAAAATGATCAAACAGAGAAAAAAACAGAAAAAGGACATGACCCAGTGCCTGGCCTATAACAAATACTTAGTAATAAAGCACACACAAAAAAAGGAAGAAAGGAAGAAAAAGTATACATTTGTAGGTGGAGAGTCTGGTCACCAACAGTGGGCTCCCAACCTTCAGGAATGCTGTTGAAATGCACTCTTCCTCAGGCGTGCAACCTCCCTTCCCCATAACCTTCCTAGTCTGACCCTTGGACAGATTTTCAAAACTTACAGAACACGATTGTTGCTTCTTCTGGTCACTTTGATGCTAAATGGCTGTTTTGAGACCGTAACTTCATAGGTCAAGGCAGAAGCAGCATTTCCATTGAAGGATTGCACGTGTTCATGGGGCACTTCGTACCTGTCCTGGTTTTGGTCAGTTAACTGTCCAGAGAGAGAACAGAAAGCCAAAATGAGAATTTCTCTGTTTTTCCAAAACAGAAGCATCCTTAACAACACAAGTGCTTCCCAATATCTGTGCTCATGGTACTGGAACTCAGGCACTGATCCAAATGGCATTATGTCTGAGGTAGACCTCACATTATATTACCAAATTCAAATTCTTAACTCTTAGGCATAAATTAATCTTTAGGTAGAAATACACACTGCAAGTCTGCATAGAGGGGCTATCCCTAGAATTTTCAAAGCTGTGATAATTCTTTTTCTTTTCCCTCCTTACTACATCTCACATGGTATCAAGGGTGAATAAGGGATGGCCAAAGCTCACCAGTCAACTCATAATACATGTTTTGGAAGTTATCTCATTGAAGGAAGGCTATAGATGCCTTCAACACATAGGTGCTAAGTAACAATAATGACAGTAGAGAAAAACACCTCCATTAGCAAAATTTTCTATTTTGTAGTAACAGCAGACATCAGGGAGAGAAGAAGAACCTCTCAAATAGATTTTGGAAGAATAAATTAACTACCTTAAAGTGGAAACGATTAGATGTCTGACATTCCGCTGTGAGAAGGACATTGTTGACATCATTTCCAAACAGAGATGGAGAAGGCAACCTTTTCAACTGGGCTGTGAATCCTAGTATGTAGAGGGAAAAAGGTTTACATAGCTGGCTGTGTACATTTGCAAACAATAGATACGAAAAATCAGGCTTTATGTTTTGAAGGGGCTGGTGAAAAGACTTTAATTCCCCAAAGAAGAGCAGAGATAGATACCCCATCATACACACATGCTACCTGGGACCAGATTCTGAAGCTAGACATTGATTGTCATTACCTTATCCAAAAACCATGCTTCTCTTATACAAAAAATGATTGAAAATCTCCCCTAAAAGGCCTAACTCTCATCCCACTGGCCCATCAGGCATTCTTTGTTAATCACATACACTTTACACTCTCAGCCCTCAATGTGTGTATACATTATTCAGTTATTTTCATCTTACATCAAGGTGACCATGTACATTGATGCCATCTCCCTAGTTACATGATAAGCCAGGTGAGAGTTGAGACCTTATTAGAAAAACCCTTGAATCCAAGGGCCTCTGGAGGGGACGCATGACTCTTCCTTTATGCTAAGAGCCTCCCTAAGATAGTCACCTCCTGTTATCCCCCAGAATGTTTATTATTATGCCCTTCATTTTAAGGTGGGAGAAAGAAGAGGAGATATTTAGTCCATGAACTCTGACATTGACTAACTAACTTTCATAAAATGTTTATAAAATTGGAATTGTTTCCATATCATTAAACTCACATTATATTAGAGTTATAAGTAACCTCAGAGGTTACTGAGGTCAAATCATTCCCCTTAACAGTTAGAAACTTGGGAACCAAAGGGGTCATGATGTTTTACAAGGTTACAAAGGTACATAAATGTAGAGTCAGAAATAGAACGTGTTTCTCAACTCCCAAGGTAGTGATATTTTCTTTGATGCTAAAATAGATTCTAGTCCTTGATTAAGAGTAGGGCCCACCTTCTGTCACATGCAGTGATATGGCCATGCCCAGCAATACTCTTCATGTCACCACAGCTCTCCTCTGGAGCAAACAGAGCCAGCCTCCAGAGGGTCTGGAGCCCCCGTCATGGTCTGGCTTACCTGCATTTGTGTTTACAAGGTTGTCCTCCATTTGATAACCATGACTCTGAGAATAGTAGCACCAGGGCACACTTATGGGTCCCTGAGGATTCCAACAGCAGCCACGCTGGTCACATGTGGCCTGAAATAAGAGATTCGTCAAAGGAAATCTGTTTGTTTGCAGAACACTATCGTTTTAAACATAATTTGAGCTTGTAGTATCATCAATCTCATTTTAAAACTAAGGGAGCTGATATTTAGAGAAATTGTGCAGAGCTTGTACTCAAAACTAATTTTTCTGGCCAATGTCCTTCCTTGTTTTGTTATTATATAACAATATAGATACTGCAACATAGTCCATATCTGTCATCACAATAAAATTGATAAATTTAATTAAATATTCTAAACTACAATATAGTTATATCACCAGCAACTCAAAATTACAAATGGAGTTTCATTTATATTGGTTTCGGATTAAAAAATAAAAGACTTTGCAATCAACTTTATTCAGAAGCTTTGAAATCAAATCGATTTTGCTTTGACTTTTAAACGTGTATGTTACATATATGTGTGTTATGTATATGTGGCATATATATACGCACTTGTATATACATATAAATATATACACTCTCTCAACTTCTCCCAAGGTGAAAAATAATTGTTCCTTGAAATCCAAATAGATTCTAGTTCTTATTTACTAAAGGTGCCTGCCTTATACCACAATTGATGACTGAATCAGGTGGAGACTAAAATGAATATAATCCCTTTCTCATGTCAACTAATTTGCGAGAAGCTACCAGATTAAATACAAAAAGTACAAAGACATCTCTTGAGTGCGGGCTAGTCCTAGTGACTTATAACTAAAAGAATATGGCAAAGATAATGGGATATGGTTTCTGAGATTAGATTACAGAAAGATTTCTGTCTCCTGTCTTGCTTGCTCTCTTTCACTTGCTCTGTTGGAACCTCACTGTGGGAGAAGTGAGATGTTGTATTGTGGAGAGATCCACATGGCAAGGAACTGAGGGAGGTCTCTGGCCAATAACCAGCAAGGAACTGAGGCCCTCAGTCCAACAATCCTTGAGGAGCCGAATTCTGCCAACAATCACATGAATGAGCTTGAAAAGCATCATCCCACCATCCCAGCAGACAGCTTGGTTGCAGTCTTCTGAAAAACTTTGAGCCAAAAGCACCCAGCTGTACCAAGGCCAGATTTCTGACCATAAAAACTGTGAGAAAATACTGTTTGTGGTGTTAAGCCATTAAGTTTGGGGATAATTTGTTAAACAACAGTAGATAACTAATACCTCCTGCTACATTATTTACAGATGAAGAACCTGAGGCCCAGAGAGGTAAGGTTCACAGAAGTGAAGTGACCTGCCACAGGTTACTTAATAGCTATTGAGAAGGCAAGGACCAAAACTTAGTTCTCTTGCTATCCATTTCATTTTTTCTATACTCTGGGATGAGTATCTGCTAAGCACATTTTTAGGAGGATATGGCAATGCTTTGGAGATGATAAGACAAAAATAAATTGTTTAGATATGCTAACAATTAGATTTAATCAAATGCCAGTTTTTATGCTAATAGAAAATATTAGAGATGGAAAAACTCTGTCCATCTGTGGTTTATATTGCTATGGGATCAGGTTTCACTGTGTGCTCAACTTCAATCAGCAGTTTTGTTTTTTCCTTTCAAAACCCATTCAGCTGAAACTTCAGTATGACACGAAAAGAGAAATGTTCTGAAAAGAGTGTTGCACAGAATGGTTTTGTGTGCTCCCCAAAGCTTAATAATTTCTTCCTTGAACTGGAAAGGGCAGAGATCAAAGAGTGGCCAAAGTAGCAAGAAAAGTAAACACTCTCTGTTGGCCAACTTGAAAATACCGGTTCCATAGTGGAGCTAAGCAATTATGAGGAGAAGGGGAAAGAGAAGCAGAGCACGGGCAGTGCTTATCAAGAAGAGAGTAAAAAGTATGTGAGACCCAGGAAAACAGGTGTAGAGAGAAACTATAAAAAATGACGACATGAATAGGATTGAAGGCACATAAAAAACAATCAGACCCAAGGCATAAAATTCCCCTTTAAGTTGGACATGAGAATGAAAATTTAAGAGAAACTGCCAAAATAGTAATATACTGTATGACTGCCAATATAAGACCGAGGGGAAAACTAAGGGGAAAAATCCTAAATGTAAAAAATAAGGAAAGAAGACATGTATATGGCTGCGGGGAGGGGGGAGTAAGGAGCAGTATATAAAGAACAGAACAAATGGAAAACACAAAATGAGACAGAAGAAAAATTGTCGTCACAATAACTGTATAATTTAAATTCATCAGTTATTCATGATAAAATTCTTCACAAACTGGGAATAAAAAGTAACTTCCTTAGTTGGGTAATGGGACTCTACCAAAAAACCTACAATAAGCATCTTACTAAATGCCAAAATGTTAGAAATATTTCCTGTAAAATCAAAGACTAGGTGACCCATGTTTATGACTTCTTATAATTAAAAATATATTGGAGGTCCTGACAATACAATAGGACAAGAAAAGAAAGAAAATTTATAAGATTTCAAAGTATGAAGCTAAATTATCATTATTTCCAGACATAATATTGTCTAGGTAGAAAACCAAGAAAATTTATAGAAAGAAATCCAAAATAAGTATTATTATATTAAACCTTTTATTTTTGTTTTAAAGTTGTGACTTTTTCCAAGTGCAAGGGGCAAAAGGTTAGAGTTGCCACTAGGAGGTGGGGGAGGCTATACGAGGAGCAGGTTTCGGGATGTAAATGTGGGAGACAGAGTGTTCAGTTTTGACATGCTGGTTTTTTGTTTTTGTTTTTGTTTTTTTTAAAGATTTTATTTTTTCCTTTTTCTCCCCAAAGCCCCCCGGTACATAGTTGTGTATTCTTCGTTGTGGGTTCTTCTAGTTGTGGCATGTGGGACGCTGCCTCAGCGTGGTCTGATGAGCAGTGCCATGTCCGCGCCCAGGATTCGAACTAACGAAACACTGGGCCGCCTGCAGCGGAGCGCGCGAACTTAACCACTCGGCCACGCGGCCAGCCCCTGACATGCTGGTTTTGATTTATCTATTAAACATCTAAGTGGAGATGCTGAATTGGCAGTTGCATAGATAAATCTGGAATTCAGGAAAGTGATTTAGGCTGGAGGCATTAACTGTGATTTGCAAGCACATAGGAGTTGCCATTTATAAACATCATACCGGACGAAACCATCAAGAGATTGAGTGTAGATAGAGAAGAGATTTACAACATTTAGAGGTCGTATAGAAGCAGAGGAATAATGAAAGAGGTCAAAAGGTACAAATTTCCGGTTATAAAATAAATAGGTCACGAGGATGTAATGTACAACATGGTGATCATAGTTAATAACACTGTATCGTATATTTGAAAGTTGCTAAGAGAGTAGATCTTAAAAGTTCTTATCACAAGACAACAAATTTTTAACTATGTATGGAGACAGATGTTAACTAGACTTATTGCAGTGACCATTTTGCAATGTATACAAATATTGAATCACTACCTGAAGCTAATATAATGTTATATGTCAATTACACCTCAATTTAAAAAGATAAATAAAAAGAAGAAGAAGAGAAAGAATCAGTGAAGGAAACTGAGAATAGAGGTGGCTGTTGGTTTAGCCACAAATGAAGAGGATGCGGTGTCCTGTGAAGCACTGGCCCTTAGACATGATTCAGGCACTGTCAGCAGCTACAATTCCAACGACAATGTGAGCTGAGAGTTTCTTCTCCTGTCCAGATTTAAGCCACCCACACTTTAGCTCTTTTTGGATCATCCATCTTGCCTCAAGATATGGTGTTCATAAATTCTCAGCTTCTGTGGAGAGCAGGGTATCTGAGCTTATTAAACAGGCAGTTAGGAACAGGTGGGGAATTGCCTTATTAGGTGAGGAAAAATTTGGAGGGAGAGAGGAAAAACAATGTTCAAAGTTGAAAGTTGGGGGCTAGGAATCATATGAATTTGATTATTAAAGTCCATTTTACGCCCCATGCTGGTGAAAACTTATTAGAACTAAACTTCCACATTCTAGTAAAATATTTGATGTAAAATAATATTCCTTTAGAGCATTCAAAATGCCCTCAGTGCCCCCTTGTCTCCTTGCTGATAGGCTAGTAATAATAATTTTTTTAAATGTTGTAACTTTTTTCCTTTTCACCATTAGGCCTTTAATCTTCCTGGAATTGTGTATGAGATATGATGTAACATAGGAGTATATAAGTTTGACTACGCTATTAAAATTTAAAACTTCTGTTCATCAAGGCAGCATAAAATAGGTGGACATGGCCTCATAACAGTAGAAAATATTTGCAACGTATATGATAAAAACAAGAATTAGAATCCAGAATAACACAAACAAGAAACTTGTACAAATCAAAAAAGCTGAAGATAAGCATTTCAATATAAAATTGGGCAGAAGATAGAAAGAGGAAATTCACAGAAAAAAAACAACTGAAAGATGTTCACTCACACTGATATTCAGGAAAATTAGCACTAAACCACAACGGGATACTATTTTATAACATTCAAAATGGCAAAATTCCAAAAGGCTGTCAATCCCAGTTGTTACTGAGGATTCAGAGAATGATGGTGAGATGGTAAATTTGCACAACCATTTTGGACATCAGTTTGGCAATATCCAGCAAACTTGAAGATGTGAATCCAAATCCTTACACATACAAGTAAAAACATGTACAAGAATAGTGAGAATAGCATTGTTGAAGTTGCAAGATACTGGAAAAAAACTAAATTTCTATTAACTGGAGAAAGAAAGATTTTGATATACCATTTTATAGTGAGAGTAAATGAACTGGAAATTCATATCAATATAGATAAACCTCACAATGTTAAGTGGAAATAACTGCAAAAACATGTATTTCATTTATAGGTTATATATGTATATATATATATATATATATATATATATAATTTATAAGTACATATGTAGGTAGTAAATGTACAAAGAAATGCATGATAAATACTACCGACTTCAGAATTGTGCTTATTTCTAAAGAGGACAGAGATACAGCAGAGGTATATGGGGGAATTCATCTCTACTAATAATGTTTTATTTCTTAAGCTGGATAGTGGTAATATACTC